CTGAAATAAACTACAGCGCAGCCTAATGGCCAAGGTAGGCCAAGAGTCATCAGGAGTTGTATACAGGGATAATGTGGACGATCCATACCGCCTCCATTGTATTCTATGTGTAATTTTTATAAAATGTTGAGTTGGGGGCTGAAAATTGGTGCTACTCAGGGGCCCATTCTCTATGTACAGTTGTGTCCAAAATTATTCAACCCCAATGCTGTAAAGGGGTTTAGGGACTATAGTGTACATTTGGAATTGTATTCAGAATCAAATCCTACAAGGACGTTGTAACTACCCAAATGCAAACTAAAATGACATCAATTGTTTATGTAAATACAGTAGTAAATGGTTCTTATGTGGTATATTGTATTTTTTGATTGTTTGTAAATATAGTAAATGTGCAGATCAGTTACTCTTCACAGGAAGGGCAATGTACAAATTGCAAATAACTGACCAAGAGACACCTTATACAATTCCTCTTCAAGGCTGTCATGTCAATGCAGATGCATGACACACCTGATAGAGTAGAGAAGTAGTATACTAGGAACTGAGAAAACATTCAGATCAGTCAGCCCAGACAATAAGACCACACTGGAATGCGTAGAACAATTGCTGTCTCCAAAGAATAAGTCCCTAATCAAAAGCCATTGGACAACCACAAAAGTACACTTGAAACTTAGAACTGTTTGCCAATTAACCTATGATGAAAAGAACACCTTGCCTACTGTGAAGCGTGTCAATTGCTTTGGGTGTTTTGCTTCTGCAGGTACAGGAGAGCCAGAGTACCATGGGGAGATATTGGATGGAAACGTGACAGTCCGTCACACACCTGGGGCTTGGGAACGTGGACTTTTCAACAGGTGATCCCAAGCATTCCAAGTCCACTAGAGCATGGTTGCAGCTCTGGAAAGGCTGGAACATTTTGGAGTGGCCATCGCCCTGTCACCAGACTTAAATCCGATTGAGAACCTCTGGTGGGACTTAAAGAAAGCAGTTGCAGTGCGCACAGCCTAGCTGAACTGGAGGCCTTTGCCCATGAAGAATGGGCGAAGATACCCGTAGATCGCTGCAAAAGCTATGCTTTACGTTTAAAAGCTGTTATAACTGTAAAAGGATGCAGTACTAAGTACTAAGATTGAATGTCACTTGGGGGTTGAATAAAACTGATAATGCTGTGAGCACAGAAAAGACATGATTTCATTATAACTGTTATGTGTCTGACCTACAAGTGGTAAATGTAAGCAAGAATGACTGATGATCAAAAGCAATGTCAAACTGGCCAAAACACTGTGGGGGTGAATAATTTTTGGACACAACTGTATATGTATGATGTATACAGTGCCGGGACAGGGTCATCTAGAGTCCTGGGCTACCATACCAAACTACCCCCCCCCCCCCAACCCCTACAAGTTGTATGAGCATTATGTGTCAGAAAAAAAAATTGAGCACTAATCTGCTTGCTTAAATTACCCTCCCAAGACAATCCTGCCCCCTTGCTGAAATCCCCCTCTTCCAGCACAGCCCCCCCCCCCCCAAAAAAAAAAATCCCTCCTAGGACAATTCCTCTACTGCCTAAAATTTCTCTCCGAGTACACATCCCCTCCCCCCCCAGGGGCGGGACTAACCGTTTGAAAAACTCGGGCACTGCCCGGGGTCAGTAGGGGGCCCCATGAGATGCCCCTGGTACCTTTTTCATAGGCTTTTTTGAGTTTGGGTAAGGGCCCCATGATCCCCCTATTGCCCGGGGGCCCCATGAGTTGTCAGTCTGCCCCTGCCTCCCCCAACTCCCCCTTTCCAGCACAAATTCTGCCCTCCTAGCACAATCATCCCTACTAACACAATTCCCCTCCCTCCCCAAAAAAAAAAATAATTTCCCTCTTAGCACAAATCCCCTCCCCCCCCTCTACCATATCACCTCTTCTAGCACAACCCCCCACACCCAAATCTCCATCCTAGCACAACTCCTGTACTGCTCAAATTTCCTCTCTGAGTACACATCCACCCATTCCAAATCCCCTTTTCCAGCACAAATTCCCCCCTCCTAGTACAATTCCCCTCCCTCCAAAAATTAATTCCACTCTTAGCACAAATCCCCTTCCCCCTCTACCATATAACCTCTTCTAGCACAACACCCCTACCCGCCCCCAAATCTCCCTCTCTCCTAGCACAAATCCTTTCTACATATTGGTTACATAGTTAGTCTGGCTGAAAAAAAGACAAAAGTCCATTCCAGTTCAGCCATACAAAAAAAAAAAAAAAAGGTATCCTACACCCACAATTGATCCAGAGGAAGGCAAAAAAAACTGCAAAGCATGATCCAATTTGCTCCTGCAGGGAAACAAATTCCTTCCTGATCCTCCGAGAGGCAATCGGATATTTCCTGGATCATCTCTATCTCTGTTCCCAACACAAATCCCCCCAAATCACCACTCCTAGCACATGCCCCCATATTTCCCCTCCTAGAACAGTTCCTACCCCCCTGCCACCCCAGTCAAATTCTCCTCCCAAAACAAATCCTCTCCACCCCAATCTCATGGCGCCCCCCCCCGCCAACCTCACATGATACCACAGTGCCCAGGGCAGCTGCCCCTCCTGCTCACCCCTTGTCCCATCCCTGGATGTACATAATGATCTCTAAATATATATAAATGCTTAATTTACAAATGAAGGTCTTTTGGCATCAATAATATTGTATGTACTGGGATAGAAATTTGGCTGCAGGAGCATGTTCAGAGGGGGATGATTACCCACTTGCCCCCCTTCCTGACCAGGACATTTTTTGCGATACGGCGCTGTTACTTTCACTGACAATTGCGCGGTCTGCAATTTACGTCCTTTTTTTCCCCCCACAAATAGAGCTTTCTTTCGGTGGTATTTGATCACCTGTGCATTTATTTTTTGCACTATAAGCAAAAAAAAAGACAATTTTGAGAAAAAAACAGTATTTTGGACTTTTTGCTATTAAACATGTCCAGTAAAAAAATCTAATTTCGTCAAATTTAGGCCAAAATGTATACTGCGACATGATTTTGCTAAAAAAATCCCAATACGTGTAAAGTTATTGGTTTACATGAAATTTATAGCGTTTACAAATGGTGGTATAGATAATTTAATCTTTAATTTTTTTTTCTTCAACTAGTAATGGCGGCGATCAGTGACTTTTAGCAGGACTGCTGCGGACATTCTGGCACTGGGGGGGAAACTAACTTGGTGTCACTGACATCTCCAGTGACAGCAATACAATGATCAGCTCTAAAAAAAAAGCAATGACACTGTACTAATGGCACTGGGCAGGAAGGGAGGGGCGATCAAAGGGTTAACTGTGTGCTGGGTGTGTTTTACTAGGGGGCGAGGGGTGTGTTCTTCACTGTAAGCACAATGATTGGAATGGCTGTGCACAGCACAGCCATCTTGAGCAGTGTGCTCAAGTTGACAGGGAGGAAGATTGTTTGTAAACAAAACAATCTTCCTCCCCGTTGTAGATGCTTGGTAATCACCAGGCGCCGGCAGGTAATTACCGGCCAGGACCCGGTGAATGGCGGTACGGATAAGGCGTGAGTGCGTGGCTCATGCACGCCCCCTACCCGGAAATGCACAATCACGTGTATATGTACGTGATTTTGTCCACAGGTGCCGCCCCTAGCAGTATATCTGCTATAGTGCGGTCCTTAAGTGGTGATAGCGATACTAAAGGTTCATTTTTTTGGGGGGTAAAATAACATGCCTATACTTACCTGCTGTGTGCGGTGGTTTTGCACAGAGCAGCCCGGATCCTCCTCTTCTTGGGTCCCCTGCAGGATATCCTGGTTCCTCCTTTCTGTCGGGTGCCCCCATAGCAAGCAGCTGGCTATGGGGGCACCTGCTGCTCCCTGTGTCCATTCACCAGCCCTCTCTCTCCTCTTTGGCTGACTGGCTGTGATTGACAGCAGCGGGCGTCATTGCTGTCTTAGCCAACGAGAAGGCAGAGACCCAAGACAGCCGAGGCTATCGTGCATATTGCTGGATTTTGATGAGACTCAGGTAAGTATTGAGGGGGCTGGGGGCACTGCTGCTTTTCACCTTTGCATAGAATACATCAAGGTACAAAACCTGGAGCCTTTACATCTACTTTAATGGCATATTTCTGAAATGGTCTGGAGATGTGAGTGTTGTGTCCTCCGTCCTGAGACCGGTCCTGTTTTAATTTGTTCATAAATAATATAGAGGTTAGATCCCGGAAACTGTATCTGCCGTCATAACCTTTCATACTTACGCCGCGGCAAATAAGTTGGCAGCTTCAGGCACAGAGCAACCAGCTAAGTGACACCAACAATTTGCCCTCTTTGAAGCTCAGTAAGCTCAGACATGACTCCGTATTATTGGCAGCACACTCAGTGAATGACCAAAGTGAGGCTTCCCACCTGTTAGCTAGGTGTCTCATCACACAGTGGAAGCAAAGGAATGTTATATCACTTACTGTTTTCAACATGAAACGCGTTGACACTTGCACACCTGCAAATCATGTTGTTTCCACTTTTTCTCCAACCCTGTATATTGTTCTCTGTGTATAATATCTGATGTATATTATATGATGTATATAATGATCTTTATGTTATATATTATGTAAATCGATCGCTGTGTATTAAATGATGTATATTATGATCTCTATGAATATTATATGATGTATATAGTGATCTCTTGGTCTACCTATAATAGATGAGATATAATGATGTCTATGTATCACAGGTTGAATAGAATACTCTCTCTATATAGTACATGATGCCTATAATTATCTCTATTTATTATATGATTTATATAACGATCTATATGAATATTATGGGATGCATAGAACGATCCCTAGGTATCGGTAGAGTTGCGGCAATCCGCGGACAGGCTCCCCCTCCTCCCCCCTCTGCCCGGATTGGTTCGCTCCTCCCTCCCCCAGTCTCCGCTCTCGGTGGAAGAGCCCACTGCGTGTCGGAGGGGGGGGCGGGCAGTGACAGACCGGAGCCGGGCGGAGATGAGGAGTCATGGCCTCCAATACCACCGACATCGTCCGCCAGGGATACGTGAGGATGAAGAGCCGGAAACTGGGGGTGAGGGGGGCACCGGGAGGGGACTGCACCCACGGAACGTCTCATCCCCCCACTACACCACTCATCCATCCCCCCCAAACTGAGCACCCCAACATCTCCCATCCCTCCATTACTGAGCACCCCCACTCCACTAAACCCCCCACTACTGAATCACCACCCTACTCCACCCATCCCCCCATTACAGAGCACCCCTACTCCACCCATCCCCCCATTACTGAGCACTCCCTCTCCACTAATACCCCCACTACTGAATCACCACCCCACTCCACCTATCCCCCCATTACTGATCACCTCCACTCCACCCATCCCCCCATTACTGAGCACCTCCACTCCACTAATCCCCCATTACTGATCACCTCCACTCCACCCATCCCCCCATTACTGAGCACCTCCACTCCACCCATCCCTCCATTACTGAGCACCCCAACACCACTTATTCCCCCCGCCCTCCCTATTCTGAGCACCCCAACACCACCAATTCCCCCACTACTGAATCACCACCCCACTCCACCCATCCCCCCATTACTGAGCACCCCCAATCTACCCATCCCCCTTTACTGAGCACCCCTACTCCACCCATCCCCCCATTACTAAGTACCTCCACTCCACCCATCCCCCCATTACTGAGCACCCCCACTCTATCCATTACACCCCTCCATTACTGAGCACTCCACCATTTCCCCTATACTGGGCACCCCTATTACACCCATCCCCCATTACTGAGCAGCCCTACTCCACCTCCACCCCCCCTTTACTGAGCGCCACCACTACACCCATTCTGCCCCCCCTCCCTAAATTGAGCACCCCCACGCCACCCATACCCCTCCTACTTTACTGAGCACACCCACAAAACCTAATCCCCCCATACTGAGCACCCATCTCCCATTACTGAACACCCCATTCCACCGATCCCCCCCATTATTGAGCACCCCCACTTCACCTATTCCCCCCATACTGAGCACCCTCACTTAACCCAACAGCCCATTTTTGAGCAACCGTCCACTCCACCCTCTCATACTGAGTACCACTATTCCACCAATTTTCCCCACCCTATGCTGAGCACCCCACTCCACCCATCAACACATTACCCCTATACTAAGAGCCCTTACTTCACCCATTCCTCCCATTATTGAGCACCTCCACTTCATTCATTTCCCCCCCCCATTATTGAGCACCTCCACTCCACCCTTCCCCCATTATTGAGCACCCCCATACCACCCATTCTCCCCCCATTTCTAAGCACCTTCACTCCACTTATCCCCACATACTGAGCAACACCACTCCACCCATCCCTCCATTACTGAGCATCTCCATTCCAGTCCCCCCCCATACTGAGCACCCCCACTCCAGCCATCCCCCCATTACTGAGCACCCCCACACCACCCATTCCCCCTGTACTAAGTCCCTCCACTCCTCCCATCCACCCATTGCTTAGGACTCCCCACTCTACCCATTCCCCCCTATACTGAGCACCCCCAATGCACCCATTCCCCCACTACTGAGCACCCCCTCTCCCACTCATCCCCCTCATTACTGAGCATCCCCACTCCACCTATTTTCCCCCTATACTAAGCTCCCCTACTCCACCCATTTTTCCCATTACTGAGCACCCCCCAATCCACGCAATCTCCCCACTCTATACTGAGCACCCCATCTCCACCTTTCCCCATTATTGAACACCCAAATATCATTCATTACCCCCCTTCCCTAAACTGAGCACCCCCCACTCCACCCATCCCCCCATTATTGAGCATCCCCACTCCACCCATCCCCCATACTGAGCACTCCCATTCCACCCATACCCCAATTACTGAGCACCCCCAGTCTACTCCCCCCTATACTGAGCACCCCAACTCCACCCATCCCCCCCACTACTGAGCACTTTAATCCACCCATCCAACCATTACTGAGCATCCTCAACTCTACCCATCACCCTATAGCTGAGCACCCCCCCCACTCCACCCATTCTCCCCAATCACTATACTAAGCACCCCGACTCCACCCTTCCCCCCATTATTGAACTCCCCAACAATATTCATTTCGCCTCCCTCTCTAAACTGAGCACCCCCACTCCACCCATCCCCCCATTATTGAGCACCCATACTCCACCCATTCGCCCCCCCCATATTGAGCACTCCCACTCCACTCATACACCGTTACTGAGTACCACCAATCTACCCCTCCTCTCTAAACTGAGCACCCCTACTCCAACCATCTCCCCATTACTGAGTACCCTCACTCCATTCATCTCCCCCCACCCATACTGAACACCACCACTCCACCCATTCCCCACATTACTAAGCACCCCCAGTTTATCCAGCCCCCTCAAACTGAGCACCCCCACTCCACTCATCCCTCAATTACTGAGCACCTTCACTCCATCCACCCCTCCCTATGCTGAGCACCTCCCACTCCACCAATCCCTCCATTACAGAGTACCCCCACTCCACCCATCCCCCCCCCCATTCCATACTTAGCACTCCCATTCCACGATACTCCCATTACTGAGAACCCCCAGTCTACCCACCCCCCTGTACTGAGCACCCCCACTCCACCCATCCCCCTATTACTGAGCACCTCCACTCCACTTATCCCCCCATACTGAACACCACCACTCCAGCCATTCTCCACATCACTGAGCAACCCCAATCTACCCAGCCCCTCCCCCCACATTGAGCACCCCCACTCCACCCATCCTTCCATTACTGTGCACTTCCACTCATCACCCCCCCCCCCCCCCATACTGAGCACCCCCACTCCTTATACTAAGCACCCACACTCCACCCCACCTTTTCTTCTACTGAGCAATCCCATTCCACCCATACCCCCATTATGGAGCACCCCCACTCCAATTCCCCCCTTTATACTGAGCACTCCTACTGCACCCATCCTTCCCATTACTAAGCACCACTTCACCCATTCTCCCACCTCACTATACTGAGCTCTCCAATTCCACCCATCCCTCCATTATTGAGCACCCAAACACTACTCATTCCATCTTTTCCCTATACTGAGCACGCCCCATCCACCCCCCCACTCTACCCATCTTCCCATTACGGAGCACTCTTACTCTACCCCCCCCCCCCCCCATCCACCCATACTGAGCACCCCTACTCCACCCATCCCTTATTACAAATCACTTCCACTTCACCCATTCTTCCCCCTTCACCGAGCACCCCCACTCCACCCTTCCCTCCCAATACTGAGGACCCCACTCCACCCATCCCACCATTACTGAGCACCCCCATTCAACCCATTCCTCTCCTCCCTCTACTAAGCACCCCATTCCACCCATTCTCTCTTTCTATACTGAGCACTTCCACTCCACCCATCCCACCATTACTGAGCACCCCCACTCCACCATTTCCCCTCCCCTATACTAAGCACCCCACTCCATCCATCTCTACCATTACTGAGCACCCCCATTCAACCCATTCCCCTCCTCCCTGTACTGAGCACCCCATTCCACCCATTCTTTCTTCCTATACTCAACACTTCCTCTCCACCCATCCCACAATTACGGAGCACCCTCACTCCACTCATCCCCTCATTACCGAGCAACATCACTCCAACTCAATACTGAGCACCTCAAAACCACTCCTATGCCCTGTACTGTGTACTCTCAGCTCGCTGACCTTTACACCCACCCTCTTCCTAGGCTTTAGGTCTTCCAAATGCCCCCCATTCACCTCTGACCTTTCCTCTGCAGATATACCGCCGCTGTTGGTTGGTGTTAAGGAAATCTTCCAGTAAGGGGCCTTGGAGGTTGGAGAAGTATCCAGACGAGCGGTCGGTTGTCTTGCGTACATCACCGAAGGTGAGGAATGACATTATAGGGGCGCAGCCCTCAGAGGCCACTCTCAGCCTATCACATCTCTCTTTACATCTGATTGTACAACTCCACCTTATGGCCCTGGTACAGATGCTGTGATTACACCATAGCATACCAATACCCCCTCACTTGAAGATGGCGTATTGCTCAGAACACCACCCAATCAGTTTGGTTGGTCTTTTATGGTTTTCTGAGGCTGGATGGCCCTGGAGAGACACATAGCACCTGGGGACACCAGCTGGCAGGCTGTGACACATGAAGAAAGCAGAGCAGCATTGAGAAGTTGTGGGGGCACTCCAATGGTGTAGTTGGTGGTTCTAAATTGGGCTACAAGCTTTCCGTCTCCACTCTGTTCAAATGCTGCTCATCCATCCCAACAGGAGGCTTCACAAGGAGCTTCCATGGCCAGCCCAGCAGAGACCATGCTTACCTCTGGTCACAGGACACATTATACTCTTGTAGACACTTGTTACATATATACTCTCTCACATGACGCCCCCATGATCATGTCTCTCTCTCTGCAGGTGACGGAAATCAGTAATGTGAAGTGTATTATGCGGCTCCCAAAGGAGACTAAGAGGCAAGCAGTGGCCATTATATTCTGCGATGACTTAGCCCGAACCTTTACCTGCGACTCAGGTGAGCTGGAGATCCACTGGAGACACCCAACCACTGGTGTCAGTCAATGACGGTGTCACTGGGCTGCTGTAGTGTGGTAGGTAACTGAGGTGGCACAGTGTGTTATTGGGAAAAGTGGAGGGGGGGGGGGGGGTGACAGTACAGTTTTCAAGGATGAAGGTGCTGTAGTTACATCAAGGATGACTGTGAAGTAGTGTTGTCAGAGCTGACAGTGTGCAAGAGTTATCAGGGGTGACAGTGCAGTAGAGTTATCTGGAGATGGTGGTGATGTGCAGTTATGAGGGGTAATGGTTGCTGGTAAAGATATTTACAGGGATGATAGTGGGGTAGTCAGGAGATGGTGCTGGTAGAGCTATGGTGGATACCAGTGTTATAGAACTATCATGGATGACAGTGTGGTAGCATTATTGGGGAGACAGTGCAGTAGTTATGTTGGGGTAACAGTGCAGTAGTTATGTTGGGGATGACAGTGCAGCAGTTGTTTCGAAATGATGGTGCGGTAAAGCTATCTTAGGTGAGAAGTTAGGGTTAACAGTGAGGGATGATGGAGTGGTTGAAATATAAGGGATTACTGTGGGGTAATTATGGGGGGTTATGGTGCTGGAGACTTATTGGGGGTGACAAAGCAGTAGGGTTTTCAATGTTGCCCTGAAGTAGTACCATCTGTGATGATGCTGCAGTAGAGTTTTTGAGGATGATAATGTGGTAGAGCTATCTTGGGTGATAGTGCAGTAGAGCTGTCCAGGAGGATGGTGTGGTAGAGCTGTCATGGTGATGGTGCGGTATCATTTTTGGGGTGATGGTGGTGACAGTGTGGTAGTGCTATTTTAGGTGATGGGTTAGAGTTCATGGTAAGTTAGTGTTAATGGCAATGATGATGATGATGATGATGCAGTTGACCTTTTGGGGTTATTGGTACAGTTAACTTTTTGGGAATGTTAATTGGGGCGATGGTACGTTAGACCTGTTCAGGATGATGGTGCAGTAGTTATGTTGGGGAGGACCGTATCGGAGTCTATGCAGTGCATAATGTACTTTCCTTTTTTTCATTTGCTAGAACTGGAGGCAGAGGAGTGGTACAAGGTGCTGTCCACAGAATGTCTGGGTTCCAGAGTCAATGAGTATAACCTGGGAGAACCGGATCTCCTCACCCCGGGAGTGCAGAGTGAACAGACAGGTAGGGGACCACTATAAACCTAGCCATAGACCATATGATCCAACAATTGTATGGCTGATATGTTTGTCCTAAAACGATCTCAACCATCCAAAAAAACAGCAAATATTTCCTACTGGGGTATTGTGTTGATATTTTAGAATAACAGGCAGTGTAATCATTGTGGACATTCGTGTAAGAGATTTGCCCAGTCACTTCCACATTCAACCAACAATAAACGTTTTCTTTTAAAACATTCAGGTTGGGATCAGTTGTGATCTTGAGCCTTCTTACATTGTTTATAATTGTCCTGCATCTGATTTGTTTAATAGAATTTTGGTGAGACTGGAGTGATTTCTGGTCAACCTAGACATGTCAGTCTGTAATGGCGCTGATCTTACAGGATGTCATTGCTTCTTTATTGTACATCCCAGGGTACAAAGCATTTTCATATCCATTATGATCAGGTTAGGCTGCCACTTTCAAGTGAATAGACACTGGCAAAAAAAAAAAAAAAATAGACAGGAATCCCCTCCCAGGCATAACCCCTTCCAGGCAAGACTTCATTTTTTGCTAGTGTCTTCTTTGATGTCCTTCTGAGCATGCTTTGGTCAGTGAGTCTTGCAGGCTGCTGTGGAAGCAGGGACGGACTGACCATTTGGAAACTTGGGAACTTGGGCACTGCCCAAGGGCCCGGGGTCAGTAGGGGGCCCCGTGAGATGCCCCTGGTACCTTTTTCATAGGTTTTTTTGAGTTTGGACAAGGACACAGGGGTCCCATGATCCCCTATTGCCCGGGGGCAATGAGTTGTCAGTCCGCCCCTGTGTGGAAGGTTCTTTTCTGTTCTGGCTTAGTTGCTTGGGGCCTGTTGACTTGTTCCTGTGTTGCCCTACCCTCATATTCAGTGCTTTGGAATATTCCTATCCTAATAGATATAAAGATACCATGTGACCTGGGATGTACTCAAGAAAAGGAACTTTACAGGTAAACCAAATTCCCATTATTCTTTCAGAGCGTTTCAGTGTCTTCCTTCTGCCTTCCTCTAATCTGGACATATACGGAGAATGCAAGCTGCAAATCACAGAAGAAAACCTCTACCTCTGGGACGCACACAACCCGCGTACTAAGCTGCTCTCATGGCCGCTCTGTGCCCTGCGACGATATGGCAACGACTCCACGCGCTTCACTTTTGAGGCAGAAAGGTAAGAAAGACATAATGGGGTTAAATATGTCCTCAGGAGCTCTCAGAGACCTGGCACTGGGGGATACAGAAGAGATAGTGTCATTTTATTGGTCATCACACCAGCAGAGGTCAGGAGGAAGTCACAATGTCCTCAGAGCAGCCAGGAATAGAATACGATTTTTGTACTTGCCCTAAAATCTTTGTATTGGAATTTCTGTGTCCCTCAATTGACTTCAAGAAGGTCGGGTTATATTGCTGCCTACAGGCAGTTGGGACACTGGAAACTGAATAAATCGTAAGCCAGCCCTCATATAACCTCTCCTCTGCCCAGAGGGCCTCCGTTTTTTGAGAAAGTAGCTAAACAGAGGGGTGGGACCTGTGCCCATTAAGGGACTTCAAGAAAAGATTTCACCAAAATCTAATTTTCTTTATCATTCATTAAGGGTTATCAGAATTCCCATAGTTGTTAAGTCCAAACGTAGTCCAGCTGAAGGGTGGGCAGCACCCACTAACAGGTCCCATTAGAAACTGGGGACCATCTGCATCTCCAAATCAAGGACAAATGGGAAGCCCAATGCAAGATGGAAGAACTGCTATGACCAGAGGGAGGACAGAGGATCAACCTGATGTTCCAGAGCAGGACAAGGAAAACCACCGCCAAGGGGCCCCTGCCAGTGAATCAACAATTCACCAAAAAAAGTGGAAAAAAAAACACACTACCAAAACAGGAATAAAATAGGCAATCAATAAGGTCAAAGGATGAAAAAAATTGCTGAGCCCAGACCCAGGAAAAAACAATTTCAAAAGAAAACACCAGCCGGTCAAATTGAGAGAAATGGCCAAGTATTGTACTTCAATCCATAGATGCAAGAAAAGAAGATCCATGATGATGAAGGGGCTGTTTGGACAGGAAACTAATTGTGCAGCAAGATAGCAACGATGGAAGAGCCCTCACAACATAGACCACTGCCCCCCCCCCCCCCCTTAAGACTGGAAAGAAGGGGAGGAGGCGCAAGCAACTGCAAACTTTATAAAAAAAAAAAATACCAAGGGTACCTCACAACTCAAATGGTACACAAAAACACCATAAAAACCATACCTGAAGGATGAGCCAATCTTTCAACTCAACATCTAGAAGTGATAATACTGTATACCTGCCTGACTAGTTCCACAGCCATATTCAAGGAATCTTTTCCCTTGTTCTGCACCTATGTCACATTCTCTACCAAGGAGCAAGGGTCAGGAGTCTCAGATCCATTACTAAGAAGCATTTGTCTGTGTAGGAACAGGAACGAGGAAAGTGACAAAACAGCCACGGAGAAATAGGACCCAGTTTCCAGTGATCAGGTCCCAAAGAGGCCTCTAGGGATATTTGCAGCAGGATCCTAGCATGTTCCACCTGCTGAGAGTCCAGTGCAGTGATGGATGCGTAAGAAAAGAGAAAACACGGGTGCTGAAACCTCAGTTTGTAGGCCCCATGTAAGGAGATCCAGAAGGCAAAGCCTTGTCACCAGCAGACACAGCGTTGTCAATAGGGACACACTTAGTGCCTTCAGGCATATTAACCAGGCCAGTTAGTTAATCGCAGGGAGGGTTCTAGACCTACCCATAGGGGGAGGTCCTGCAGCACTCATGAGATGTCCAGCAGAGATCCAGTGGGCATATCCATTCTTCTCCCTGATGAAGCAGGAAATATCTCTTCTGGTGAGTCAGACGGAAAACCCAGGTGTGGAGACACACCAGACAAAGAAGTCCCCCCCCCCACCCAGGAAAAAAGAGAAGTTATCTCCCCATCCCCAGCCAGATAATAAAAAGTAGCACCAGGGAATTCTTGGTCATAAAAGGGATCCTTTGGATGTCTCTATCTGGACCCATACACCTAAGCAATGGAGGGGAGGTTAAAGGTAATTGGGAGCCCACACAAGAAGGGAAGACCATGATCAGAGGACAATCCCTAGATATCCTAAAATGGTACCACTTCTGAAGGTAAGTTCTTGCCAAGGTAGGAATCAGAGATGCCATGGTGTGGAGAGTTCAGATCAAATCTGGTCAGTCACATCATTGGGAGCAGCCATATCAGAGTACTGATGAGGGACAGCTGAACAAGATGCTAGATTAAGAGGTTTAGCCTGATGGTTACAGGTGGTGACTTGAGCACCGAAAAACTAGGAAGATATATTGCCCAGGGATCCAGCTGGAAAAACAGTCGGCCCCAACTTTAGGAAGTCGGGGTGCACCTTCATGCAGAAAAGTTACCAGAGTTACCCATGTAAAACTTCAGTAGTTGGGTTACAGTTTGAGGGTGGGTGGGGGGTAGGCAGGCACATATGCAGTAATTTACTTGATGTCACCAAATTGTCAGATAAATTAAAAAAAAAGTGGGTGAGCCTTCATGTGCATACTGCGCAAGGTGGCAGACATGTTGGTGCAGCATTATGTCTGTACAATGGCGACCTTTGTGTTTCAGGGTGTGCGGGATCAGCGAGGGGCTGTACACCTTCCAGACAACAGAGGGGCAGCAGATCTACGAGCGGGTTCACAGCGCTGTGCTGGCATTGGCCGAGCAACATAAGAGCCTCCTCTTAGAGATGGAGAAGAACTCCCGGGTGAGTCCCACCAACTCATACATATAGATTATATGGCAGTATCACCCCCATTATCCTGACTCATTCCTTCTCTACACTGTCATAGGTTTAAGTGTCGCCTTCTAGTGAACAGTGTGGAGAAAAGAGCATCATATTGCCCATCACCCACACATATATCTTCACTGTAACAAGCTTCATGCCTCATCGTCCCACTTTACAAATCTCCTCCTAGAAAATATCTGTCCTGCCTCTCCCCCAGTTATGTATCTTCTAGAAGATGACAGTCAAATCTCTCCACTGATTCTCAATTCTATATCTCCTCCTAGAAGATAATGGTCCTATCCCTCCCCTGATTACATATCTGGTCCTCAAAAGTGAAGGTCCTGCCACACCACCAATACCTGATTACATATCTCCTCCTAGAAGATGATGGTTCTACCCCTCCACCAATACCCAATTATATATCTCCTCCTAGAGGGTGATGGTCCTACCCCTCCCCCAAGTATATATCTCCTAGAAAGTGACGATCCTACCCCTACCCCGAGTATATATCTCCTCCTTGAAAGTGACGATCCTACCCCTCCACCAAGTATATATCTCCTCCTTGAAAGTGATGATCCTAGTCAGGTCCATAAATATTGGGACATGGACACAATTCTAACATTTTTGGCTCTATACACCACCACAATGGATTTGAAATGAAACGAACAAGATGTGCTTTAACTGCAGACTGTCAGCTTTAATTTGAGGGTATTTACATCCAAATCAGGTGAATGGTGTAGGAATTACAACAGTTTGCATATGTGCCTCCCACTTGTTAAGGGACCAAAAGTAATGGGACAGAATAATGATACTAAATCAAGCTTTCACTTTTTAATACTTGGTTGCAAATCCTTTGCAGTCAATTACAGCCTGAAGTCTGGAACGCATAGACATCACCAGACGCTGGGTTTCATCCCTGGTGATGCTCTGCCAGGCCTCTACTGCAACTGTCTTCAGTTCCTGCTTGTGCTTGGGGCATTTTCCCTTCAGTTTTGTCTTCAGCAAGTGAAATGCATGCTCAATCGGATTCAGGTCAGGTGATTGACTTGGCCATTGCATAACATTCCACTTCTTTCCCTTAAAAAACTCTTTTGTTGCTTTTGCAGTCTGCTTTGGGTCATTGTCCATCTGCACTGTGAAGCGGCGTCCAATGAGTTCTGAAGCATTTGGCTGAATATGAGCAGATAATATTGCCCGAAACACTTCAGAATTCATCCGGCTGCTTTTGTCAGCAGTCACATCATCAATAAATACAAGAGAACCAGTTCCATTGGCAGCCATACATGCCCACGCCATGACACTACCACCACCATGCTTCACTGATGAGGTGGTATGCTTAGGATCATGAGCAATTCCTTTCCTTCTCCATACTCTTCTCTTCCCATCACTCTGGTACAAGTTGATCTCGGTCTCATCTGTCCATAGGATGTTGTTCCAGAACTGTGAAGGCTTTTTTAGATGTCGTTTGGCAAACTCTAATCTGGCCTTCCTGTTTTTGAGGCTCACCAATGGTTTCCATCTTGTGGTGAACCCTGTGTATTCACTCTGGTGAAGTCTTCTCTTGATTGTTGACTTTGACACACATACACCTACCTCCTGGAGAGTGTTCTTGACCTGGCCAACTGTTGTGAAGGGTGTTTTCTTCACCAGGGAAAGAATTCTTCTGTCATCCACCACAATTGTTTTTCATGGTCTTCCGGTCTTTTGGTGTTGCTGAGCTCACTGGTGCATTCCTTCTTTTTAAGAATGTTCCAAACAGTTGTTTTGACCACGCCTAATGTTTTTGCTATCTCTCTGATAGGTTTGTTTTGTTTTTTTCAGCCTAATGATGGATTGCTTCACTGATAGTGACAGGTCTTTGGATCTCATCTTGAGAGTTGACAGCAACAGATTCCAAATGCAAATAGCACACTTGAAATGAACTCTGGACCTTTTATCTGCTCATTGTAATTGGGATAATGAGGGAATAACACACACCTGGCCATGGAACAGCTGAGAAGCCAATTGTCCCATTACTTTTGGTCCCTTAACAAGTGGGGGGCACATATGCAAACTGTTGTAATTCCTACACCGTTCACCTGATTTGGATGTAAATACCCTCAAATTAAAGCTGACAGTCTGCAGTTAAAGCACATCTTGTTCGTTTCATTTCAAATCCATTGTGGTGGTGTATAGAGCCAAAAATGTTAGAATTGTGTCCATGTCCCAATATTTATGGACCTGACTGTATATCTCCTCCTTGAAAGTGATGATCCTAACCCTCCACCAAGTATATATGTCCTCCTAGAAAATAATGATCCTCCCCGGATTACATATCTCCTTCTAAAAAACGAAGGTCCTGCCCCTCCACCAATCACTGATTACATACTGTATCTCCTCCTGGAATATGACAGTCCAACCCTTCTACCAATAACATTTCTCCTCCCAGAAGGTGATGTCCCTATCCCTCCCCTGATTACATCCCCCCCCCCCCCCCCCCCCCCGCAGAAGATGAAGGTCTTACCTCTCCACTGATCCCTGATTACATATCTCTCCCTAGAAGATGACAGTCTTACTCCTCCCCCAGTTATATTTCTCTTTCGTTTATTGAAGGACACAGCCATACTTTATGATAAATGGTTTGATGTCACCACCTACTGGTGCAGGATGTCCCCTATTATTTATCTCCTCTTAGAAGATGATGGTCTTACCCCTACCTCTTCCCCCGATTACATAAAGGTCCTACTCCTCTGCCAATCTCCAATGATAAATCTCCTCCTAGAAGATAACAGTCTTACCCCTCCACTGATCCCATATTATATATCTCCTCTTAGAAGATAACAATCCTACCCCTCCACTGATCCCAAATTATAAATCTCCTCCTAGGAGAGAACAGTCTTACCACTCCACTGATCCCATATTATACAGTTGTGTTCAAAATAATAGCAGTGTGTTGAAAAAAGTGAATAAAGCTCAAAATCCTTCTAACATACACGCAAAATGCATTGGGAACACGACACATTCTTTTCCAAATCAAAACATGAAGAAAAATATATCAAATTTGTGTTGTTCCTCTAAAAAAAAATTGAAGAAAAGTGAATATTAGACTGTTCAAAAAAATAGCAGTGTTTGTATTCTTCTTTACAAACTCAAACATTCACTATATAAACTGAAAAAATGTTGAAGATTTTGCTTTCCTTTGAATCACTTAATGAATATTTGGTTGTAGTCGCACTGTTTCTGAGAACTGCTGTACATCTGTGTTGCATGGAGTCACCCAACTTCTGGCCCCTGTGAACAGGTATTCCAGCCCAGGATGATTGGACGACATTCCACAGTTCTTCACTATTTCTTGGTTTTGCCTCAGAAAATGCATTTTTGATGTCACCCCACAAGTTTTCTATTGGATTAAGATCCGGGGATTGGGCTGGCCACTCCATAACGTCCATCTTGTTGGTCTGGAACCAAGATGTTGCACGTTTACTGGTGTGTTTGGGGTCGTTGTCTTGTTGGAACACCCATTTCAAGGGCATTTCCTTTTCAGCATAAGGCAGCATGACCTCTTCAAGTATTCTGATGGATTCAAACTGATCCATGATCCCTGGTATGCGATAAATAGGCCCAACACCGTAGTATGAGAAACATCCCCATATCATGATGCTTGCACCACCATGCTTCACTGTCTTCACAGTGTACTGTGGCTTGAATTCAGTGTTTGGGGGTCGTCTGACAAACTGTCTCCGGCCACTAGACCCAAAAAGAACAATCTTACTTTCATCAGTCCACAAAATGTTGTGCCATTTCTCTTTAGGCCAGTCAATGTGCTCTTTGGCAAATTGTAACCTCTTCAGCACGTCTTTTTTCCAACAGTGGGACTTTGCGGGGGCTTCTTGCAGATAGCTTGGCTTCACATAGGCGTCTAGTAAATTGTAACAGTCCTCACAGGGAACTTTACACCTTCTTTCGTCTTCCTGGAGCTGATTGTTGGCTGAGTCCTTGCCATTTTGGCTATTCTTCTATCCAATCGAATGGTAGTTTTTCGCTTTCTTCCACGTCTTTCAGGTTTTGGTTGCCATTTTAAAGCATTTTCGATCATTTTAGCTGAGCAGCCTATCATTTTCTGCACTTCTTTATATGTTTTCCCCTCTCCAATCAACTTTTTAATCAAGGTACGCTGTTCTTCTGAACAATGTCTGGAACGACCCATTTTCCTCAGAATTTCAGAGAGAAATGCACTGTAACCAGCATGTACAACATTTGCTGCCTTCCTTCCTTAAATAAGGGCAATAATTGCCACCTGTTTTTCAAAGAATGAATGACCTCACTAATAGAACTCCACACTGCTATTATTTTGAACATGCCCCTTTCAATTAGTGATTCAATTCCACAGAATCAGCATCATGCATGTCATGACTGTTGGGTCTGTTGGATTTCTATTACTCTACTACATCTGCTAGTAAATTATTTGCCATGTAGAAATATCATTTCTACCAAAAACAGTGATTGATCAGGTTAGTGATGTCTGACTGCTATTATTTTGAACACAACTGTATATCCTCCTAGAAGATGACAATCCTACCCCTCCACTGATCCCAAATTATATATCTCTTCCTAGAAAATGACAATCCTAACCCTCCGTTGATCCCTGATTATATATCTCCCCCTAGAAGATGACGATCCTACCCCTCCACTGATCTTTGACTACATATCTCCTTCCAGAAGATGACGACCCTACCCTTTCACCAATCCTTTCTCTTACCTGATTATATATCTCCTTCTAGCGACTCAACAAGGAGAACGAGAACGTATCACAGCCTTGCACCAGCACCTCCATGCTGCCTCGCAGTGCGTACTGGCATCACATTACTAGTGGCCAAAACAGTGGCGAGTCTTCCTGCAGTAACAGTAAGTTCTGGAATCTGTGCTGGACATATCTGTAGGAAGGAAAATGGTGGAAAGACCCAAATAATGTCACATATTAGAATTTTTGGTTTACCTGTAAAATCCTTTCCTAGGAGTACATCACAGAACAAAGACTGTCTTAATATTCAGGGCTACATGGGTTATGCTGCAATCTTCAGGTGTTGGACATTGGCCAAAATGGCAGGAATCCCCTCCCAGGCATAACCTCACCCAACTCAGCTAAGCCTCAGTTTTGTAACAAGCAGCGAAAAACACAAAGAAGGGTGAGATCTCTGTGTTCTGGGATAAACTCTAAAAAAAAAATGTTTTCATAGGTAAATCGAAAATTATCATTTCTAAATCATACATCACATGGCACAGAAGACTTCATATTCATAACTACTTGGGATATTCCAAACACTAAATTATGACGGTTGGGAAACACAGCAACAAAGCCAACACACCTAAAACCAGAAAATAAAATTATGGATAACACCACTACAAAGCCTCCTGCAAATCCTTCCACCTAAAAACTGTCATCCGCAGAGGTAAAACCTAGTAAACGTTGAAGAGAAGACCAGGTATCAGCTTTACAGTTACACAACAGAAGCTTGATTTGAGAATATACCAGGAGGCACTGACACTGATGGTGAAATGGGCCTTGACTGGGAAACCTTGCCCTTGATATCATAGTCCTGAGAAATAGACTGAAGAATCCACCTAGGAATAGTGGATTGAGAGGTCGTCCTTAGGAGGACCCTCAGGTAGAACAAATAGGAACTCAGACTGATGAAACAAAACTGTAGACTTTGAATAAACTCAGACAGTTCAAACAACATCCAAATACAACCAAACAACGTTAAAGAACAACTCCTTAGAGTGCTTAGGATTAGGACAAAGAAAGGGCAAAACAATGCAAAGAAGAAACAGCCTTAGCAATAAAGAGGACAGGGGCCTCAACAACACCTTATTCTGGTGAGGGACAAGAAGGGTTCCTTGCAGGAACGTGCGGCCAGCTCAGAGATAAGGGAAAACTGATCCCAAGGAATCACCAGTGCATCTACCACAAACACCTGAGGATCCCTGGTTCAAGACACAAACCTGGCCAGTTTGTTGTGGAATCTGGACACAATAGAACCACATCTGATGTCCACCACCACAGACAAATCTTTGCGAACACCTTCGGATAAAGGGCCCATTCTCCCAGATTCAGCTGTAGATGAAATTCTGCCTGCCTATTTTCCATGCTGACAATGTGCACAGCAGAGAGAATCACTTGTCTGCCCAAGATTGCAGGTCTGTGTTTTACTGAGCAGTGTGCACAACATCTGCCAGGAAATCCTCCATGGTCCTCTATATCTGAGACAGCTTTGGACACTGGGAGGACTGATCTACAGAGGATTCCTAAACCTAAACTGCATCTACCTCTTCCTTGTGCCGAGGAAGTTCCTCTGACACCTCATCCTCCTGCAAAATGGGGGGAGGAGAAGGAGAGTACCCATAAGCGCAGTTCAGAAATTTCTTCTCTTGACACAAAGAAAGTGGAATATTGTGACCTAATTCCCAGATAAGGACTGTGACTCCAAACTACACTGACCCTTTGGGGAGCCATTGCAGGGCAAACTATGTAGGGGGGTTCTCCCCTGCCCAATCTTGAACCATCGTGGTGGATGTGCCCTGCAAGATTTTAAGGGACTCGACTCACCTGCCATCACTGGATCACTGCCCAGGACATGTATAGCACAGTGAGGCCACCAGATACTCTGTACCCCAGAGATCGCTGCTCGCAGGGTCCAGCACATACTGGCAGAAATTAAAGGATGCCTCTGCTCCTGCATGTTGGGGCTGAGTAAGTCCCCCTAGACTAACCAGGCTGTAGCGACCGATCTGCATGAAGTCCATCTCTACCCCATTAGTGGTGTTAGGAACAGGTCAGGAATTAGGGGAAGTAAAGCCCACTACAGGAAGTCTTCAAAAATATAGACAGGCACCCATGGCCTAAGGACAATAGCCAAAAACCGAGGCGTAGCTAAACTGGGAGGGGTTATGCCTGGGCAGGGATTCCTGACTTTTTTTGGCCAGTGTCCAATCACCTGAAGTCGGTAGGTAGTCATGAACATGTTCCACCCCCTTTTTAAATTGGAACATGTAACATGTTCCAGCATTTGCAGCCTCTACCCCCAATCCCCCCCTCCCTGTGAGAGCAAGAAGGGGATCTTCTCTCTGCACCCGTTCTTACAATGTGAAAATAACGGGAGGTGTGGGTCTCCGCCCATACAGCCACGTCATTCATTCAGTTTCCTTTGAATGAGTGGCTACAAGTACTGTCAGCCATTGTGACTGACGGCTTGTACTTCTCGAAACTGTGGGGGCGCTGGTGAGCGTTCTCATGGTCCATTGACCTTGCTCTCACGAGGTACAGGCAGACAGGTATCCTGAGGGTCTTCAGAAGCCTGAGATTGGACCCCCGCTCTGATGGGTCCTTATAAATGCACATTTTTTTTACCTGCAAAAAAATGTGCATTTATTATTTTTTTTTTATATTTTTTTCTGAAAAGGTGAACTTATCCTTTAAGAAATAGTTTTATATTTATAGAGATGTATTTAAAGTAGAACACCAAACAGTCGCAAACATTTCTGAAATACAACTGACCTGTCTAATGATTTAATAACTCTGTTCAGCCACTGTGGTGATCCATACACTCTGCTAACACTGCAAAACCAGAAAGTTCACTCTAAAACTGTTTTACAGCTGCCCTCCTCTCCACCCCAAGCCACATCAGAGGGGCACCTGTCAGTACTATTCCTCCCAAGCAAGATCAGAGGGGCACATGTCAGCACTACACCCGCCCTCATCTCCACCCAAACCAGATCAGACGGGCACCTGTCTGTCCTACACCTGCCCTCCTCTACACCCAAACTAGATTAGAGGGGCACATGTCAGCACTACACTTGCCCTTATCTCCACTCAAACCAATTCAGAGGGGCATGTCAGCACTACTCCACCCAAACCAGATCAGAGGGGCACCTCTGAGTACTACTCCACCCAAACTAGATCAGAGGGGCACCTGTCAGTACTTAACCTTCCCTCCTCTCCACAACAAACCAGATCAGAAGGGCACTTGTCTGTCCTACACACACCCTTATCTCCACCCAAACCAGATCAGAGGGGCACCTGTCAGTACCATTCCTCCAAAACCAGATCAGAGGGGCCTGTCACCATTCCTCCAAAACCAGATCAGATGGGAACCTGTCAGTACCATTCTCCAAAACCAGATCAGATGGGAACCTGTCAGTACCATTCCTCCAAAACCAGATCAGATGGGAACCTGTCAGTATTACTTATTCAGAACCAAACTGGAGGGGCACTTGTCTGTCCTATTGCCCCAGAACCTGAGCAGAGGGTCTTCTGAGTGCTGAGCTCTGGGGGGTATTTTTTCTGCTGCAATGATCAAATTATGTACACTGGAATATTTTCCTCAATTAGATGAAATGATTCCATGTTCTATCTTGTCTTCCAGGATCATACAGCGGCCGAGACTCGGACCCTATAACTAGGCGGATGATTGAGAGGAAACTGCCCACATCGGCCTCTCAGTGACCAAGTCCTTATGATTCCGGGATGATGGACACCACAGTCTGTGACTAGATTTGGCTCGTCTGGATTCTGGAAACATTTGAAGAACTCCGTCATTAAGGCACCACCCTCTCTGCACTGAGGGGATCTTTTTGGACGAGCAGCTTGTGGAGGGACAACCCTGTATAAAGCCAATTTTGCACTATAAAGAAAGAACCAAGTTCTGACCTATCACGTCTCTTCATTTATATTGCTTATGTGTCATAACCAAACTCAGGCACAGGAGCCCCAAGTATAGAAGGGCCCTGTTATACTTGCTAATTGTAAAGCTGCTACAGGCAGTATGTCCTTAATTATCCATATAGACTCACGGAGGGTTCCATTGGAATCTCTTTCACCTGATACATTACTCCACTATAAATAAAGCCAATAATCATTTGTGATGGAGAAGGAACTTTACTCAAAACATTCTCTTTTCTCATTCTTGTCCATTGAGGGACATGGGAATTCAGATACTGTTGGGTTATACTGCTGCGAAACAGGCAAACAAGTCCCAGTATAACTCTTCCTCTACCCAGCATGCCTGTGGAGGATGGCATTTTTCAACCTTTTTTTGTCACAACACCCTTTAAAAGTTTGCAAAATCCCTTGTATACTCACCAAAAAAAAGCCGAAATAAATAAAATACAAATTAAACATACACACCCATGCTGTGATAAAATCCTTTAAAAAAAGTATAACAGTGTAAATCGAACATCACATCATCCATCAATATAGATCAAACATGAATGATGCCCAGCCAAAACAAAAACAGATTGACCTGCTGAGATCCATTCCCAATGGAAACTTGCCACGACGGACATTTCCCCACCATCAGCTCAATGTAAGCAAAGAGGCCAAGGATTGCCATGATTATGTTTGGTCAATGACATCACCATGGCTTCCTGCCCATCAGCTTGTTTACAATATGAAGCCACCTGCGTCCTAGAAGCCAGTGATGTTGTGGATGCCAGATTGTTGACATTTCTTTGAATTTTGATGGAACCCTGGTTGAGATAGGCTATCCTAAAAGGATGAACATCTTTTCTCCATCTCTGTGGAGGAAAGTCTACCTCTTGCTAGCTTTCTTTCTTTGATTTAAATTTTGTAGTCTTCTGATTTCAGTCCAGATTACTCAACATGTCGCTGTTGAGCTGGTCTCTGGATCAGTCTTTCCTAAGTCAGACATTGGAGTGGCAGACCTTGACCCCACTGGACTGGCAGTGTTAACCTGGAATGTGACCTTCGGGTACTGGGTTCCACTTATGCTCCTTTTCAAACTTCAAGTACTGGTAAATGTTAGCCGTAGAGCATTTTCCAGATCCAGAGTTGTGCCATTTCCTCAGCACTTGTCCTTGCTCTGAAGACTTACTATGGCAGTCTGTTCAGGCCAAGCACGGAGAGTTACAGTACCTAATTTGCACTGCTGGGTGCCTTTCAAATGTTACTGGTGGTTTTACCAGAAAAAGGTTAATGCTGAGGGACTGAGCATGGTTATTATCCGCTGGGTGGAGTGTCACATGCACTGTTTCCTGCTGTTCATTGTAGAGGAAGCATCATCCAGAGCACCACATGGTATTCTGACCTGTTCTTTTTACCCGCTTACAGTGACCCTGTCTACCTCCAGCTGTCTGGGTTTGAAAAAACCGAGACCTTGCCTCAAACTTTGGGTCTCTTTTAATCACTGCCACAAGGTTGCACCGTGTATCCAGACACAGGAGAGACAGTCCATGGCTCACACTCTTCTAACATTTCTTGGGGACATTTACCCTGTACCCTCTGATGGCACTGACATCTGTAATCTGGAAACCAGTGACCTTACAGTTATGGGCTGCACCTCACTGGAGTCTCCTGTATCTCCACTAAGTGAGGTTGAGTCCTCTACCTTGCCATTGGGGGCCTCTACTGCTGTCACACAACACTTTGTGGCCGTGCAGTGTCGATCCCACGTTCTCAGATTTAGAAATAACTTCACCGCAATCCAACTCTGAAGAGACTGTTTTTGAGGCACTTAAGTTTCCTGCCTTCAACTCCGTAATGCAAGAGATTATTTTGGCCCTTATTTATGCAATACACAATATCATGCTATTTACAGCCTTTGGTCTTTAAGGGCTTCTACAGCTGCAAAGATCTTTCTACTACACCTGCTATTTGAGATTTTAACCTATGCATACTGGAAGCAGCCTGAAAGGTCCTGGGCCACACCTGCGTGTGTACTGGAATTGTGCCCCTTTGAGAAGGACTTCATTAAATGTTGACTCCTGGGTTGTGTCCTGTATGGGTCTAATGCCTTTTCCTGGCATCCCTATTGTGAGCTACTTCGACAAACTCCTGTGAGGAGAGCAGGCATAATGGACTCTAAAGAACAATGTCTTTCCAAAGGGCTAACACTTGTAAGATATGATCAGATCTGACTTTATCAGGTTTCAGCATCGGAAATGGTCACCTGTAGGCAAGGGTATCCAACACATTTCCTCATTGCAAAGGGCCACGGCATGTTTGCATTCAGGCCTCTTGTTATCAGACAGGACGTTTAGTTACCCCTCTCTCCGCCCTCGAAGCAGCATCAGGCGGAGGACTTTCCTCTCATAGACATCTCCCTCTGTCGCCTCAATCTACTTCAGCCCCTTTCTCCATTATTCTCTAATATTTTATCAGTCCAACATGTCTGCCTCTATGGACCAGGTAGTCCCTGGTGTGATTACGCAGTCTTTCCTTCAGGGGACTGGTAGAGATTCTTCTCCTCCCATCCAGAGGGCTTCTCTCTTTAGAGAATCATCTCAGATGCTGCTGTCTGGTCTAGAACAAGGGGTTCATTTAACACCACTGGATCCCACTATGGGTAGTTCTCCTAATTCAAAGTCTACTGGACATCATTCACATATTGCTGTGCCTTCATCACTGAAAAGTAATGGGAACTTTTTCTGCAACCAGGAGAGCCTGGCACAGAGTCTGGACAATACCGTGAGTCTAAGTCTAACCTGCACTGCTCTACCCAATGGAAATTCCCTAGCATCTAGTTCCTCTCTACTAGTAACCTCTGATTGTGCAGGAGAGGCTCACACGTTTTGGTACGTCTTATCCTGCGAAACTGGGGGTCGCTGGAGAAGGATCCTGTGTCTCACTGGACTGTCAGCAGGCCAAACACTCCAGTCTTCCGTTGCTGGTATCCTTCAACAGGAATGAACCGACAACATTGTGGGCTCTGTCCATCTGGAGTTAGGTGTCCTTTTGTTGGCCGATTTTAAGCCTCTTAAAGAAGGTCCTTCTGGCGCTTTCCTTGTGCCCTCAATCAGGCAGATGCTTTTCGCTGTGCTGCCAAGATTTCTGTTCTTTGCTCCATGCATGTTGATGCTTCCCTGGATTTGGGAGATCAGGAGCATTCCTAGACTTATTGCTCAAGGAATAGGCAGATATGTTTCTTCAACTGGATCTCTTAGGATTTACCCTAGAGGGAGGACCCTAGAGAACATCTTGCGTTTCAGTGAGGCATCGGGTTCATCCTCAGTTCTATCTGGCTGTTCTCATCTCTCCAGTATGGGGCTAACATCTTGCTTCCATCTTCTGTCTATCCTTGTCGGCATACTTTCCATGCCACCCTACTCTTGCAGGCATGCGGACTTCATCAGATTGAAATTTCAAAAATATGAAAGTTCTCAGGAGTCACTTCCCATTCCTTGTAAGCAGTTGTTTTCTGATTCAGGGTTTTCCTTGAAAAGTGCTGCTTAGCAGGGTAAGTTGACTGTCCAGACAAGCACAATAGACATGGAGCTGTCATCCCTTTATTCTATGGAGAGGGGGGGGGGGGGGGGGGTGTAAAGGCTTAAGGTCTTCCTGCTTAGACTAACTGGTCCTCTCACCAACACCTGTTTGGTCTTGGGTTCCATCTAGGGGTTCCCCCCCCATATCAAGTTGTGGGTTTTTTTTTTCTTCTCTACATGGGAATTTGGAGTAGTTCCATCTGTGTTGGTGGATAGTGGTTGATTAGCCTTTTACTTGCTGCAAGTTTCAGTGTTTCCTCATATTTGGAGTACCTTCCCTCTGGTGGGGACATTTCTATCTGAGTCTTGAACATCAGGATGATTTACAGTGTTCTCCCTCTGGTCATGTAGGCAGTTCACCTATCAGGAAGGAAACTCTACCTCATCAGGTGACAGCGTCAGGCATTGGTCCTTTGGGTGTTATCTGGGCTAGTTAGGGTTGATCAACCCTCAGTCAAACTGCTTTTAGATGTCCATACAGTATCTGAACTCCTGCATCCCTCAATGGATGAAAGGAAAGGGATAAAAAGTGAAAGTAGGATTTTAGCAGTTCTTGTAAAAATCCTTTTCTTGGAGGCCAGAGGGATGCCTCCCCCCATGTTTTTCATCATGTGCTTTTTGAACTCATTGCTACAAAACTGAGGCATGAGGAGGGGGAAGTGTACTGGGGGCTGGCCTACATTACTTTTGTTTGCCAACTTCCAGTCCTGAAGGTAGAAGTATAACTAGCCTGTATCTCCTGTGTCCCTCAATGGACTTGAAGAACAGGATTTTATGGCAAGTACAATCCTTGCTTCTCTTTCTTTTGTTCATTGAAAGACACAGCCATACTTCAGTACAAATGGGTTTGAGGTCACCACCTACAGGAGCAGGGCACTAGGAAGCCCTATAATTTCCCTGCTTTGCTCTCTCTCCCACGCACCTGGCTTCTTCCCACCAATTAATCTCTCTCCTCACACTACACAAAAGCACCACCCAATATAGAGAACACTTTATTACAAAACAGGCATTGGAGTAGGGAAGGGGGGGGGGGGGGGGCAATGTTAATTCAGTTTATAGTGAGGACATCACTTTGAATTTCATGACTCAGCTGTGTCTGCAGGTCACTTAGCTTCCTCTTCAGACCAGACAGTGCAGACAGGACAATATTCTCTGGCCGAAGAGAGCCACAGGACTCCACATTATAGTAGAATCTGCAGGACACAAGCATTTTGTTAATACAACTGATAAGAGAACAGCAATACAGCTTTACAGAACACACAGAAAACCAATATGAAGAGATATCCAAGAACACATTTCTGTAGATGAGGTCAGCTGAGAACACATTCACTAGATTGGCAGTCACTCACCTCTCTGGCTTCCCATTGGGATCATATGGGGCTTGCACTTCCTCCTCATCAATTTCAGAATATTCACTCTTGGGCCTGGGCAGAGACACAGATATCACATGAAGAAACCAATCTCATATAAGTATGAGAGCTCTAGGGGGAACTCAGGCACTTAATAGGCCCAACTGGTCCATCAGCCATTTCATTGTCTTAAAGTGCAATTAACATGAGAGTAATGCAGGAATCCCATTGCCAACTCCTGAAAATGCCAGTTGACTTGCTTCCCTACTCCTGCAATTGTGACACAGAACTCACCTCTGTAAGTGTTCCTTGTCTGGGCCCCCAAAGAAACAAAAAATGGCATTATGACCAGGAAACTGGCACTTTCAGGAGGAGCCAATAACGGGAACTCTCTTACTGCTTTTGAGAATCATCTCTCCAATCCGATGGATGAATCTAGTTGGCTGCTGAAAGACAACTCAAGACAATGAAGATCCTCTGGCTGTGTAGCAGTACAATATTGGACCATTTCCCCAGAGAGCTCTCCACCATTTGCAGATATTCAGACCTACCCACAGCAGGGAGGGGTGTTGGGGGGACGAACGAACATATATACATACATCAACAGCTTATTGAGCTACTCGTCTCATAGCCCAGCACTCCTCGACTCCGTTGGCTCCAGAATAAAGGGGGACCTCACTGGAATTCAGGCAGGATTAGACACTTCTGACAAAAGCCCAGGGAGGTCCCCCTTTATTCTGGAACCTAACGAGTCAAAGACTACTAGGCTATGAAACGAGTAGCTCGATAAGCTGTTAATATGTATACTTACAAATGTGCATTTCGTTTTATAAATAAATGCTGTGTGATATTGCCCTAGGCTGGTGCACCCTCTCTTTTGTTTTTGTTTTTTTTTTGTAGTGGCTTCAGGACACCCCCAGTCTTCGAGGTCAGCAAGGCCAGAAGCACTTTCCTTGTGACGTGGAACTTTCATCTCTACCTGTACCAGGCACAGGAGCTTTTTTGTCTACTATCCACACCCACACATGACCCGGGCACAGACATGGACTGAACATGGAACATACCATTCTTCCGGTTTGGGGTAGACTGTGTGCCGCAGTGCATTGTCTGGGTCATATTCAAAAGCTACCCCCGCTGTTGGGTTCCACTTAGCGTGTTCCTTTCCAAACCCTTTCTTCGCATAAGCTCGGAGACGCAATTCCTGCCCCTTCCGCAGCTTCACTAGGAGAATATCTACAGAAAGAGGATAGACAAGAATCACAGCACAGCTCCAGACTGTCCACAACCTTCTAATAGTCTTCTGTACACTGATCTGAGCCTAGGGTCCACCCAATCCATCATCTTTCATCCACCCCAAGCCTAGGGCCTACCCAATCCATCTTGATGTGTCCACACCACACTTCACCACACTTCATTGTCCACCCTGTTCTCTAAGCCTAGGGGCTACAAATCCATCACCCTGTGTAGATGCCACACTTCCATGTCCACCCTGACCTATAGGCTCACCCAATACCTCTGTGTGGCCACACCACACTCCACTGTCCACCCTGATCTCTGAGCCTAAAGAATACTAATCTATCATCCCATGTCCAAACCCTAATGTCCACACCGATCTTTGACCTATGGGCCCACCACACTGACCTCCTGACCTCCGATCCCCAACTCACACTATCCCTGAGCCTAGGGCCCACCAATTCATCACCTTGTGTCCACACCACATTCCACTGTCTATCCTGATTTTTAACCACCAGATTAACCAATCCATATCCTGTGTCCACCCAGACCTCCGACATACAAGCCCACCCAATCCCTTAATGTGTCTGCACAACATTCTGCGGCCAATCTTCATCTCTAACCCTCTGCCCGCCCTTCTATATCTGCACCACACTCAACTATGCACCCTGAGCTCCAGATCCACCAATGTATCCCCGCATCCACACCACCAATCGCCATCCGTCCTAATTACTATGCAGATGGAGAGCACTCTATCCCAGGAACCCTCCACAATGCTCACCATCTTGCTCTACATAGTCATTGGGGTCATTGTCTCTGCTACGCGACGTAACCTGGAAGACAAATTTACAGATAAAACATGGCACCCAGGCCGACACTCACCCCGACTATCCACAGCCACATGGTACCCAGGCCGACACTCACACCGGTTCTCTACAGCCAGATATATGAAGTCACCTCTTCCCCCTCTCAGTATCAGTGGACTCACCTCCAGGTCTCCACCACATTCTTATTAGATGGAACAATGGCAGACTCAATACACATTTCTACCACATAATGGTAAGTGAACGTAGCAGTGATTTCGGTGTAGGTGTGACCTGGCTGTAACAATCACCTTTTACCATTGTTTGCTAAAGTATTCCAAAAAGAAACTCAGACTAAACAAGCTGCATGTCAAGGCAGTGATGAGTGATGGGGGTGGGGAATATTACACCAGTGTGTAGAACACCTAGCTCTGCCCATCATGTTACCATTCGTACAGACTGCCATGGCACTCACCGGGATGACGCGGGCGTTGTTGGAGATGAGGTCACGAGAGGTCACATGACGGGTCTGGTCTTCATTGCATCGAACGTCCAATGTGAACTCCACCGAGCACTCTGCACAGAACTCCTCACATGTGCAATCCTGTACAAAGGGGCAACAGTCAGGGCTTACCCAGTGTAGGTTCCTGAGAACACCCATGCACCCTGGGCTGGAGCAATGACATAAAAATATTGGTGACATTACCCCTGAGAACACTTATGTAACCCAGCTGGGCAAAGACATATTAGGAGACATTCCCCCCCCCCCCCCCCGAAGACACCTGTGTACATGGGCTGGGGCAAGGATATAAGAAACGGGAGACATTAACCTGCATTAGAGAACACCCATGTACCTCAGGGTGGAGAAAGGATATAAAGGAATATGAGAGATTACCCCCTAAGGACACCCATGTACCCCAGGCTGGGGCAATGATATCAGGAAAAGGAGACATACCCGGGAATACTGCAGCTTGTCCACAATGTCATCGCTGGTGAGGGGGACGAGCCCTGCAGAGGGGAACAGATGGTTAGGAGGGCACACTAAGCAGAGTCATGATATATAATCACCCGATACTCACCCACTCTGTGTGCTATGAACTCATCATGGAGGACTGAGGAATTGGCGTCTATCTGCACCCAGTCAATGGCTGGAATAGAAAAGATATTGTCACATTAGGAGGACATATCTGTCCCCTTGTTAGCAAAGGAGAGGGGCGGAGACCCTCCTCATATCTGAGCAAACAAATACGAGAGCGGTTTTATTTGTCCATCCAGTCCTGAGATTTTAAAAGCTCTGTGACGGCACAGCACCTGATTTGTCTCTGATGCAGTTCATAACACTGTGAGGAAGAACAAAAAAGAAAAAAGAAGCGCACCAACCTTGCGCATTACCTCAGTAACCAAAATTTATTAAATAAAAGAATGGTACTCACAAACAGCGAATAAAAACAGGCATGTCAGTCCTCAAAGGGACTTTAAAGGCAAGATGCAATTGCGAATCCCATCATGGAGGAAGCCACTCAGTACAGCTGACGTGTTTCTAAGGACAAGCCTTCTTCCTCAGAGCTTCCTCAGTCCTTTAAAGTCCCTTTGAGGACTGACATGCCTGTTTTTATTCGCTGTTTGTGAGTACCATTCTTTTATTTAATAAATTTTGGTTACTGAGGTAATGCGCAAGGTTGGTGCGCTTCTTTTTTCTTTTTTGTTCTTCCTCACAGTTCTGTTTGGGCTTCCCCAGCCTTGGTGTGGAGCTGCACGACCTTAACTATTTCGGTGGTCCCCTCCTTGCTTTTTTGGAGTCTGATTCCATCTACTTACCACCAGTCTGGGTCCCGGAGCGCAGGAGATATCGCATGCAGTTCATAACACTTACAGATCTTATCCCCCCTCACAGCCTGTGATTGGACAGTGAAAGGAGAAGCAGCACAGTGATTAGCTCATCTGTCACTCTGCTCTCTCCACCCATCAGCATGCCCCCTGTTGACACATGAGCACAACTAAATAGCTCCTCCCCCTGTCTGAGCTCTGCTATACAGAAACGCAGAGGGCTGATACCAGGTCCCGTTCAGGTACATAGACTAACCTCAGAATTCCTGCAAAATGGCTACTACCTGGCTGCCTTCCTCCTCAGTATGGGGTCACTCTACCTGCAGTGGATGAGTATGAAGCAAGCAACATGAAGTAGGCAGTCCAGAGAGGGTATTCAGTACCGGGGGCTCCTATTGGAGATTATTATGGCAGGAGGCATGACATAGAAACCGGGGGGGGGGCTGCCTCCACTGCTGAGATATCTCCATCCTCTAATACACAATGCAGTCTACAATAAGGTCAGAGAGAGGGGGACCACCCACAGCCGGCACTCACCGATTGTCGGGACTTCCGCTATAAACACTCGCCGGATGGAGTTTGCGATCCTGCAAGATACAAAGAAATCATGAGGGGGAGGAGCTGAGACAGGAGGAGCAGATACCACTACTAGACCAGTGCTTCTCAACCTTTTTTCATTTAAAGCACCCTTTGAAATTATGGACAGTCTTGAGGCACCCCATTGGAAAATGTGAAAAACTATTCCAAAAGTTTTTTTATAACGCAGCAACATCCACACATGTAGGACACCCAACATTAGAGGGGATTTATTCTTCCAAAGCAAATACTTTTGCACACTGGTACTGACTAGTATGCCCATGTTTCTTTTCTCCCTCAGTTTTTCTCCGTCAGTGACACCAGTACTGATGGAGAGGGGCAGGAGAGGGTCAAACTAGGATGCTGTGCAAGCAGCGGACATCTTCCTTATCAACTGATGATGTCATTAGTTGTCAGGACGCTGGTGGATAGAAGGTTGTAATGGTGCGCAATGAACACCTGTGGCTTTGTGTAACTAAAAGGCAGGCTTGTATACAACCTTTGGGCAATTCTAATACATTTTGCCAAGGCACCTCTGAAGGAACCCCAAGGCACCTCTGAAGGAACCCCAAGGCACCCTGGTTGAAAAAGGCCATACTAGATTCTAAGGCAGGGGTGTCCAACCTTTAGAAGAGCGAGGGCCACCTATGTGATCTGGTCAGCGGTTGCGCGGGCCCCAATGACATGAAATGGTTCAGAATTTCAAATTCTTTAAATTTTGAATAGCATAATGAACATTTTCCTCCTGCAGCCGCTGAATGCCGGTGGGAGGGAGGAGGAGGAGAAGTCGGCTTTCAGCAGTTGCAGGAATTTCTCCCTGTGTATGGCACCCCCACCGCCACTCCTGTGCAAGTGCCACACAGAATGTGACAGGCGGGCCACATGGGCCCCCTGGATCATGGAGTGGACTCACCATTGGGACCCCTGATGCTACACCAATGGCTGGTTGCGGGGGTAAAAAAAAAAAAAAAAAAACACCCACCCCAATGAAACTACAAATGAAAAGAGCCCTTACTGCCCAGAGCCCCCATAAAGCAGCTTTCACACCGACACGCTGCAGGTTCACCCGCACCACGCACGCGGCACAGTGCGCCTGCAGCTCAGCTGCAATTTGCAATAGACTTCTATTATATCTTGCGGGTGTGGGGGCCTTTTCTGGGAGTACATTCAGTATGAGGTGGAGGACCACAGGGTGAGCCCCCCTGCCCCAAGGAGATGGCTGTACATTCTCCCTCCCCCCCCCCCCCGTGTACAGGCAGGTCCTCCTCTTACGCCAGGTCGGTGTTCTCCACGATAAATTTGACATTCTCGTCAGTCAGTTCGGTAATGCGGACAGTTGGCTGGTTGGCGTACGGCATCTTTCCTCCAACCGGAAATCGGCATGAAAGAGCCCCAGAGGACCGGAAGAACTAGTGATAGATTGCTAGTTATGGATTGAGAGGACCGGAAATCGGGGAGATAGAGAGCATGGTATAGCTAGAGAGGACCGGAAGTCAGGGTGATAGAGTGTAAGGGGGCGGGTCTAGTCACATGTACTCCCATAGAGAAGCGGCATGGCAGAGTTCGTACAGCGCCGGGTAGAGGAACAAATCCCCGAACTAGAACAGCTGGAGAGAGTGGGACTGTTAACCCGGGGGGAGGTCAGGTGAGGGATGACTGCCCAAAACGATCTGTCTGTAACACCGCCCCCTTTATCTACTTGTCACCGGGGACAGAGTGCGACCCCACCGGAGAAACCGCCCCGTCTGCGGGGACAGCGCGCGACCCCACCGGAGAACCTCCCCGTCTGCGGGGACAGCGCGCAACCCCACCGGAGAACCTCCCCGTCTGCGGGGACAGCGCGCAACCCCACCAGAGAACCTCCCCGTCTGCGGGGGGGACAGCGCGCGACCCCACCGGAGAACCTCCCCCAGGGGACAGAGTGCGACCCCACCGGAGAACCTCCCCGTCTGCAGGGACAGCGCGCGACCCCATCGGAGAACCTCCCCCAGGGGGCAGAGCTCACCCCACCGGAGAACCTCCCCGTCTGCGGGGACAGAGCGCGACCCCACCGGAGAACCTCCCCGTCTGCGGGGACAGCACGCGACCCCACCGGAGAACCTCCCCGTCTGCGGGGACAGCGCGCGCGACCCCACCGGAGAACCTCCCCGTCTGCGGGGGACAGCGCGCGACCCCCCACCGGGGAACCTCCCCGTCTGCGGGTACAGCGCGCGACCCCCACCGGAGAACCTCCCCCAGGGGGCAGAGCGCGACCCCACCGGAGAACCTCCCCGTCTCCGGGGACAGCGCGCGTCCCCACCGGAGAACCTCCCCCGGGGGGCAGAGCGCAACCCCACCGGAGAACCTCCCCCGAGGGGCAGAGCGCGACCCCACCGGAGAACCTCCCTGTCTCCGGGGATAGAGCGTGACCCCACCGGAGAATGTCTCCGGGGATAGCGTGCGACCCTACCGGAGAACCTCCCCGTCTCTGGAGATAGAGCGCAACCCCACCGGAGAACCTCCCCGTCTCCGGGGACAGAGCGCAACCCCACCGGAGAACCTCCCTGGGGACAGAGCGTGACCCCACTGGCGAATGTCCCCCCCCCCCAAAGGACCCCTTAGAGACAGAATGTGACCCCACCAGAGGACCTCCCTGGCACGCGGGACCAAGTGTTACCCCCGCCAGAGGACCTCCCTGTCACTGGGAGCGGTCCCCCCACCCGGAGGACTTCCAGCCTCTGGAGACAGGGTGTACCCCCGGAAGACCTCCCTGTCATCTGGGACAGAGTGTGACCCCCACCAGAGGACCTCCAGTTTCTGGATACAGAGCATGCCCCCTTGGAGGACCTTACTGTCATCAGGAAAAGTGCAAACATAGAGAAAACACTGCTCAGATGAGTAAGAAGGCCAAGACCAATCAGGTGCCAGATACTTGAATAAAATGTCTTTATTCCAAGTGATATTACACAGGATTCCAGGGACCACACAACTTCAGTGCTTATTCATAACCAAATTAGGTCCTCCCCAGTGATGGGGGTCCTCCATGGGGGCAGGTCCTCCATGGGGGCACGCTCTGTCTCCAGTGATGGGGGGAGTACGCTCTGTCTGCAGTGTCGGGGAGGTCCTCCATGGGGGCACGCTCTGTCTCCAGTGATGGGGGGTACGCTCTGTCTGCAGTGTCGGGGAGGTCCTCCAGGGGGGCACACTCTGTCCAAGATGATATGGGGAGGTCCTCCGGGGGGGGGGGGGGGCACGCTCTGTCCCAGGTGACAGGGATATGTCCCCCTCTCCCAAGAGGACCTCCATGTCACCTGGGATAGAGTGTGACCAAACTGGAGGACCTCCACGTCACCCAGAGCATGCCCCCCAGAGGACCTCCAGTCTCTGGGGACAAAGTGACCCCCCACCCGGAGGACATTCTGTCTTCAGGTGAATCTCCTCCTTCTGGATCTCCTGTGATCACCTAATTGTTCTTGATGTTACAGGTCTGTTGTTAAGAAGAGGACGTCTCTGGAGTACAAACTGAAGAGAAGGGTTGTGGAAAAAGAGGATTTCATCGGCTATGTACAGGTACTGCTACGTATAATAATCTGATTTAGGCACAAGGCATCTGCTACAAGAGTATAACAGAGCGAGGTATGAGGCATGTCCTGTAGTAATATATCAGAGCGAGGTATGAGGCTTGTCCTGTAGTAATATATCAGAGCGAGGTATGAGGCACATCCTGTAGTAATATATCAGAGCGAGGTATGAGGCATGTCCTGTAGTAATATATCAGAGCGAGGTATGAGGCATGTCCTGTAGTAATATATCAGAGCGAGGTATGAGGCTTGTCCTGTAGTAATATATCAGAGCGAGGTATGAGGCTTGTCCTGTAGTAATATATCAGAGCGAGGTATGAGGCACGTCCTGTAGTAATATATCAGGGCAGCGAGGTATGAGGCATGTCCTGTAGTAATATATCAGAGGGCGAGGTATGAGGCATGATCCCTGTGGGGGGCTAATATATCCGCCCCTGTCCTGTAGTAGCGAGGTATGAGGCATGTCCTGTGGTAATATATCAGAGCGAGGTATGAGGCATGTCCTGTGGTAATATATCAGAGCGAGGTATGAGGCATGTCCTGTAGTAATATATATCAGAGCGAGGTATGAGGCATGTCCTGTGGTAATATATCAGAGCGAGGTATAAGGCATGTCCTGTGGTAATATATCAGAGCGAGATACGAGTGGTCCTGATGTTCGTTTCTCTCTCTGCAGTATGAGATCAACTTCCTGGAACTCCTGAAGAAGAGGCGTCAGGTGAGCACAGACTGTACGGGGCCTGGTGTGTCACTCTATACAGGGTGTGGGCAGGCGGTAGAGACTGTACGGGGCTGGTGTGTCACTCTATACAGGGTGTGGGGACAGGGGGCCCCATGGTAGAGACTACAGGGGCTCCGGTGTGTCACTCTATACAGGGTGTGGGCAGGCGGTAGAGACTATCAGTCCGGGGCCTGGTGTGTCACTCTATACAGGGTGTGGGCAGGCAGTAGAGACTGTACGGGGCCTGGTGTGTCACTCTATACAGGGTGTGGGCAGGCGGTAGAGTACTACAGGGCCGGTGTGTCACTCTATAAGAGGGTGTGGGCAGGCAGTAGAGACTGTACGGGGCCTGGTGTGTCACTCTATACAGGGTGTGGGCAGGCGGTAGAGACTGTACGGGGCCTGGTGTGTCACTCTATACAGGGTGTGGGCAGGCGGTAGAGACTGTACAGGGCCTGGTGTGTCACTCTATACAGGGTGTGGGCAGGCAGTAGAGACTGTACGGGGCCGGTGTGTCACTCTATACAGGGTGTGGGCAGGCGGTAGAGACTACAGGGCCGGTGTGTCACTCTATACAGGGTGTGGGCAGGCGGTAGAGACTGTACGGGGCCTGGTGTGTCACTCTATACAGGGTGTGCGCAGGCGGTAGAGACTGTACGGGGCCTGGTGTGTCACTCTATACAGGGTGTGGGCAGGCGGTAGAGACTGTACGGGGCTGGTGTGTCACTCTATACAGGGTGTGGGCAGGCGGTAGAGACTGTACGGGGCCTGGTGTGTCACTCTATACAGGGTGTGGGCAGGCGGTAGAGACTGTACGGGGCTGGTGTGTCACTCTATACAGGGTGTGGGCAGGCGGTAGAGACTGTACGGGGCCTGGTGTGTCACTCTATACAGGGTGTGGGCAGGCGGTAGAGACTGTACGGGGCCGGTGTGCATGGTGAATTGTGTCCTTTATCTCCACAGCGGATTGGTTACTCCTTTAAGAAGGATGAGATTGAATTTGTCATTGTACAGAGGATCCACCAACTGTTTGGCCGGGCCACCAACAAATGGAAGGTAGGTGCTGGGGCCCCTGTGCAGTCTTGCTAGTCCCCAGTTCTCCCATTTGCCATATCAGTTCTGTGTTTCTTGTGTTCCAGGACGACCTGCAGCTTTGGATGTCTCATATTGCATTTTGCAAGAAATGGGTGAGTTGTCTTGTCCTCATGTTGTTTACATCCTCTGTATGATCTCATGTCTCAGAATTTCTTTTTTTTTTGCTGTTTTCAGAATTGCCGATTTCAGCTGAGTAAAATATTTTCCTCCATGCTGGCTGTCCACTCAGATAAGCCAGGTAGGAGCACAGATTGGAGATAGAGGTTTGCTGTAATTGTATGACCATACATGCTAACCCCGTATCCCTTCCCTCCAGCGCTTTGGATAATGGCAGCAAAGTGGGAGTTCGAGGATCAGCTTTCAACTGAGAGCGCTCGACACCTTTTCCTGCGAGCACTCCGATTCCACCCGGACTCCTCCAAGATGTACCAAGAGGTGAGCACGGCCCATGGGCTGGGCAGGGACCCCTTCACTGTGATGGTGGTGGTTCTCTCACGTGTGTGTGTTTGTCACTCCCTCCTCACTGGCTTGCCTCTTGCATAGGCTATCCCCCCTCCAGTCCATCATGAATGCTGCTGCCAGACTCATCCATCTTACCAACCGTTCAATGCCAGTCCCTCCACTGGTTCCCGCTCACCCAACAAATAAAATTCAAGATACTTATAAAGGCATCCACAACTCAGCCCCTAGTTACATCACTAACCTGGTTTCAAAATGCCAACCAAATCATTCTCTTCTTTCCTACCAAGACCTCCTGCTTTCTAGCTCCCTTGTCACCTCCTCCCATGCTCGCCTCTAGGACTTCTCCAGAGCCGCTCCCATCCTCTAGAACTCCCTTCCCCAATGTGTCCGACGATCTCCATCTCTGTCCACTTTTAGATGATCCCTGAAAACTCATCTCTTCAGAGAGGCCTATCCTGCCCCAACCTAACAGCTATACATTTATTTTGTCCATCAGCCCATCCCCCAGTTATTACCTTTTTGTATCTCTCGACCCTCCCTCTTAGATTGTAAGATCTAACGAGCAGGGCCCTCTGAATCCTCCTGTATTAACTTGTATTGTAATTGTACTCTCTGCCCTCATGTTGTAAAGCGCTGCGTAAACTGTTGGCGCTATCTAAATCCTCTATAATAATAATGTAGTGTGTTTCAATGAAGACCTAGTGTCTGCACGGTCATATACATTGAAAACCTCCACAATTTTCATGGGGTGTACTTGCATTTCATATTTTGTAGTCCGTATAGAATTGGTATATGCGTTGTCTTTTGCCTTGTAGTACTTTCGGATGGAGCTGATGAATGTCGAGAAACAAAGGAATGAGAAGGAAATGTTGGACAAAGCCAAGATGGACGTTGTAAGGCTGAGCAGTGCCATGTGTTTTCTACATATCGGGGAGTTGTGTTGGGTGACCCTTATTAATGCCTAGCAGTGGTTACTGACTATGACCCCTTTCCCCTTTCTCACACAGCAGTCCTACTGCTATAAAAGAGAGGGGGATTTTTTGACCTGACATAATTTGGGGAGGTGGGTGGTGGCAGTTAATCTACTGAGATTCGTTCATAACAACCTAAAGGAGAATCCCATTGTCATGGAGCTGTAGGGTGCAGGGAGGACCCCTGCTGTCATTGAGCTGTAGGGTGCGGGGGAACCTTGCTCTCATGGAGCTGTAGGGTGCGGGGAGGACCCCTGCTGTCATTGAGCTGTAGGGTGCAGGGGGGAACCTTGCTCTCATGGAGCTGTAGGGTGCGGGGAGGACCCCCGCTGTCATGGCGCTGTAGGGTGCGGGGAGGACCCCTGCTGTCATTGAGCTGTAGGGTGCGGGGGGGACCTTGCTCTCATGGAGCTGTAGGGTGTGGGGAGGACCCCTGCTGTCATTGAGCTGTAGGGTGCGGGGGGGACCTTGCTCTCATGGAGCTGTAGGGTGCGAGGAGGACCCCCGCTGTCATGGCGCTGTAGGGTGCGGGGAGGACCCCTGCTGTCATAGAGCTGTTGGGTGCGGGGAGGACCTTGCTCTCATGGAGCTGTAGGGTGTGGGGAGGACCCCCGCTGTCATGAAGCTGTAGGGTGCGGGGAGGACCCTTGTGTGATGGAGCTGTAGGGTGTGGGGAGGACCCCTGCTGTCATGGAGCTGTAGGGTGCGGGGAGGACCTTGCTCTCATGGAGCTGTAGGGTGTGGGGAGGACCCCCACTGTCATGGAGCTGTAGGGTGCAGGGAGGACCCCCGCTGTCATGGAGCTGTAGGGTGCAGGGAGGACCTTGCTCTCATGAAGGTGTAGGGAGGACCCCCGCTGTCATGAAGCTGCAGGGTGCGGGGAGGACCCTTGTGTGATGGAGCTGTAGGGTGCGGGGAGGAACTTGCTCTCATGGAGCTGTAGGGTGTGGGGGGAGGACCCCCGCTGTCATGGTGCTGTAGGGTGCGGGGAGGAGCTTGCTCTCATGGAGCTGTAGGGTGAGGGGAGGACCCCCGCTGTAATGGTGCTGTAGGGTGCAGGGAGGACCTTGCTCTCATGGAGCTGTAGGGTGTGGGGAGGACCCCCGCTGTCATGGTGCTGTAGAGAGCGGGGAGGACCCCTGCTGTCATAGAGCTGTTGGGTGCGGGAAGGACCTTGCTCTCATGGAGGTGTGGGGAGGACCCCCGCTGTCATGGAGGCTGTAGGGTGCAGGGAGGACCCCCGCTGTCATGGAGCTGTAGGGTGCAGGGAGGACCTTGCTCTCATGAAGGTGTAGGGAGGACCCCCGCTGTCATGAAGCTGTAGGGTGCGGGGAGGACCCTTGTGTGATGGAGCTGTTGGGTGTGGGGAGGACCCCTGCTGTCATGGAGCTGTAGGATGCGGGGAGGACCTTGCTCTCATGGAGCTGTAGGGTGCGGGGAGGACCCCAGCTGTCATGGAGCTTTAGGGTGCGGGGAGGACCCTCGCTGTCATGGAGTTGTAGGGTGCAGGGAGGACCTTGCTGTCAAGTGGGGTCATAGAGTGTGATGCCACTGTGTGGGCGGAGTGTCCTCAAACCAGTATTCATATTGTCATGTCACAGGGTGAAGCTGGTTACTCAGACGCCATCTTAAATGGAGAATTGGCCCGGGTGGTTTATAAAACTGCAGTGGAGAAGATAACAGGTAAGCAGAACTCAGTGTACAGTATGTATATTATAAGTAATCATTATCGGATGACTAATATGATTGTGTCCTCAGGGGCCGAGTTCCACCTATCACTCCTGACAATTGCTAAGAAGTTCCAGTTCACAGAGGAGCTGCAAAAGGAGATCCTGTCTGAGTGAGTCTGATCCAATGACTATTCGCTATCTGTTGGTTCTGATCCGAGCAGATGATCCATGATACAACCTAGGCTGCTGTCCTTATAGACCCCATGGGTGAGGCATTGACAGAAATGCTACCAGTGCACCGACCACCTTCTGAAAATGCTGATCACCTGATCCTCCCTGGGTTCAGTACTTCACTTATCCAGAAGAAGCCTTGAACTTCTCAACTGCATGTTTGTATTTAGTCACTGATTTAGTTGCATTGAAGCTATGAAATCAGTATGACAGCCAGACAAATGGCATTTTCAGAGGGGTCCGCATTGGCAGCTTCCATTTTCCTGTCAGGTTAGGTTTACTGTAGGTCTGCCAGAAATAAAGTAAAAATATAATCTTGAACAGATTTGTGGGTTTGTGGTTGGGTTATATTAGGTTGTTATGTGATGGGGGTGTGGGGTCCAGTTGGGTCAGGCTGCTGTAGGTGTGATTGAGGGTATATTGAACAATCGTGTCAGATTGTCGCATTAGTAGTGTCTTGTTTGTGTAACTTGTTCTGAGTTGTTATGGTGGATGTAGGATCCAGTCAGGTGAGGTTGCTGTACGCATGATTGGGGGTGTAGGATCCAGTTTTTTACTCTGTATTGACAAATGTTCTATTTTTGTAAGAGTTTCCCTGTTTTTATATTTTTTTTTTTTTGGGAAGGTGAGGGGGACCTGGGGAGGGTTTTATACGTAGTTTGTGTGGGTGTTTTTTTTTTTTCTATGTTTTACCTTAAAACGATTTGATTTAACAACTAATGTTAATGAATTAAACTCTTATCGCTCAGCCTAAAGACTCTCCACACGGATGATCCTCTCACCTGGGACTTCTTGGCGCGTCAGGAACTGTTAATCAATCAAAGCTCCACCATCAGCAAAGTCCACGTCCAAACAGGCAAAAGCCCAGAACATAGCGCGACAAGAGGAGCAATGTAGTCAAGTGTATGAGACAGCTCTGAGTTCTCTCCACAAAGGTCTGAAATCTCTTTTGAAATGAAATGATCTGCAAAGTGTATAGCAGGCCAGTGTCTATAGATATGTCCTTTTATCTCTTCCTGCAGAATCCATGTGGGATCTGTACATCACCTTCTGTTTAGAGAGATACAGACGTAAAACTAACAGCAAAGAACTGAAACAACAGGTAGGTAAAGACATGAGCGCATCCCACATTCTGGACTCTGCCATCCCATGTTCTAGTTCCCTGCCCCGCCATCATCCCATGTTGTAGATCTCTATTATGTGTTCTTTATATGTATTTCATGGCTGGATCATATTTCTCTTGTACCTGTGATTGTCTGTGAAGGTTCTCATGGTTCTGGGTCTAATTAGAGATGTATTGGGTGTAAAACATTCACTTGCCATGACAAGAACATATCTGATGCAAGTCCAAGAACAGCACTTCACCTTTTTAGTTTAGTAAATCTTTCTTCTGGTTTCAGAGGACGGAGAGACTGCTGTCTGCTTTCTGCAAAGCACATGAAGCCACCTTATTAGCACCAGCGAGATACAAGGAGTGGGTGAGTGCAAGGACCGAATTCCTTTATAAGGACTGAGTATCATTCTTTATATATAAGAAAGTCTGTGGGGAGAGGATAGGGAGTACTCCCTTTAATATAGATTGTGACTGTGTGCTCTGTATACCTTTTTGTGTTGGAATCTTTATATGTAAGGAGGCCTTTGAGTGGGGGGAAGGGGATTGTGTATTCCCTTTATTATAGATGGGATTTTGACTCTGCTCTGTATACTTTTGAGTTGGAATCTTTTGATTATATTTTAGATTTCATGTCTAACGGAGCTTGGGCAGATGGAATCGGCAATAGATGTATCTTCTGCAGCCACTGACAGGTTTGGCTCATCTGTGGACATATGGAGGACGAGATTGGAGGTTCTTATCTCTTTGAAGGCTGGGGATGTAGAACAGGTGTTTGAGAAGGCATTCACACAAGTGAAGCCCAAGGTATGAGTTTTCTGTTCATGGGGTGGGTGTCTCTGGAAGGAATTGACCAGTAGACATGTGAAATGGCTCAGTGTTGGTGACCTCAGTCTGTGTTGGTTGTCCACAGGACAGTCCACCTCTCTGGACAATAATGGTGGAATGGAGCGAGAAGGAGAGGAGTGCAGAAGACACAGAGGCCTTGTACCAGGTAAAATGTGTTGCCTGTGAGTTCAGAGGTCATTTGTCAAGTTTTATTGGAGTTTTGTCAAGTTTTAGCGGGTTATTTTCTGTTTCCTGCAGAAACTTGTCCTAAACCCAACAGTCACCAAGACCATGAAGTTGAAATATCTGGACTGGACCTACCGGACTCAGGGATACAAGAGAACCAAGAAAGTGTTTAGTAGGTGAGTGGAGCATTGGGTCACATTGGATGGTATGGCCTAGCGGTGAGTGGAGAACTGGGTTACAATGGATGGCATGGCCAGGTGAGTGGAGCACTGGGCCACAGTAGAGGGTGTGGCCAGGTGGTGAGCAGAGCTTTGGCCAAGTAAAGTGGAGACATAAGTAAATGTAGTTTGTCACTTACAAGATATAGTTTAGAGAGAATGTATAAGCAGGAACAGTCACTAGGCAACGTGGTAGTGGATGGCTCAGGAGTGCGGTATCGGATAATAATCTGACTGATCACAATGAAATGTCTCCATTCTGTCTCTCTCCAGCTTACATGAGAATCGCCCTTTTTCAGAGGAGTTTTTCCAGAAGATGATTGACATTGAGAAGGAGCAGGTCTGTGTGTGCGCATTGTGGTCGCTCCAGTGATCTGGGAATTAGTGCAGCTACTCCGATCTGTCCTTACCCAACTAATTGCTGATCAGGCTTTCTTTTCCCTTTTAGGAACAAAGCAAGATGTTCAACTTACGGGAGTATTATGAACGGGCATTGCGGGAATTTGGCTCTACGAACCCTGGTGAGTTCTCTATGTGGAAAGTCTTTTACAGAAAAATTGCCCAATTTTCCTGCTTTGGTGATGCTCCATTGTAATGTAGACAGCATTCTGTCAATGCATGAGCTTTACCAACATTATGAGTTCATCTAGCTCTACCCAAACTAGGAAGACTGGAGAGGAGGACACCAGACTGTGGCTGCTGGAAATCTGAACTGACTGCAGGGTTCAGATGTACCACAGATGGACCTATTTATCAAAAACTTTAAACCTTTCTTCTCAGAAAAGATCTGTGAAATATTTGTCAGGTTTGGTGAGGAATGTTATCACTGACATTCAGTATCTGCAGAGGAAGTTGCTGTTCCTGACTTTTACTATTCAAGCTGGAGAAATGTCTGTCTGTGAATTTCTCTCACAGACAGACAGACAAGAAAAGTAAACGCTTTGATACATTTGGAGAATTTATTGAAGTCTGAAAAAAAAATGCACAAAAGTCAGAAAGCATCTGATGGGATGGCAGGGTGGAGCTACAGACCATTTGGATCTCAGTAAGTGTTCTCTATAAGAACTGAAGGCAGGGCTTAGACAACCTGGTACAATTCTAAGGAACTAAAAGTCCCAGCATATGGAGGGATGGGGGTCTATGAGGGGAGTGTGATTGGCTCCCTTGTGACTCCTGTGTCATGTTTATCTGGTAGTCACTGACCCTCCCCTCTCCCAGAATTCATAATTATTTTTTTTTTTTTGTTTGTTTTCTCCCCAGATTTGTGGCTGTCTTATATCAAAGAAGAATTGAGCCATTCAGAAGGAAAACCAGAGAACTGTGGCCCCATCCACTGGAGAGCCATGAAAATGCTGCAGGGGGAGGACATTGAGCAATTTGTGAATAAATACACCCTGCTACAGATCGGACACTTATAGCTGAACATTTCCATGTCAAATTTTTTTTTTGTTAGGGTGGTTTTGAGTCTTGTTCACTGTGATTTGATTATTTTTCCTAATAAAAACAATCCTTGTGGAGCTTCATCAGTGAAGTATCACAGCAGTGCATGAGAGAGCAGCCATCTTCAAGAATTCGGGCACAGTGTCCTGGCCAAGCTGGGTGGCAAACCGCAGCGACACAGATTGCAGGGCCAGGTGAGGTGTGCTGCTCCTGACAAGTGGCCAGGATTTGTAACCTCACTGCAGATCTTTAGCTGCTTCTATGATGTAATTGCACTCAGGAAGAATAAGGGTTACCCTCTGATCCCAAACAAGTATTCAGCACCCAGAAGATATAAAGGTTACATTTTGTCACTGTACAGGTACACAGTGCTCAGGAAATATAAAGGGTTACACTCTAACCCCCCAACAAGTGCTCGGGGGGAATAGGAATTAGATTTACACTCTAACCAAAAGCTAGTACTCTGAAGATACACTAGTGGCCAAAATTGTGGATACACCTTCTGATTTTGTCAGTTTTGTTTGATATCTTTACTTCCTTGTTTTTGAACTGCCAACAAAGAAAAGAGTCGAATGGGCCAAGGAACATCAAAATTGGACAAAAGAAGATTGGAAAAAAATTATTTAGAGTGATCAAACACAAATTTCTATTTTCGGAAGCGTTGGTATTCAATACTTGCGAAGAATGCCTTCCTGAGTGCGTGACAGCAACAATGAAACACCCTCAAACCGTCATGATATGGAGCTGGATGTCTTGGTATGGTGTTGGATGAATGCAGGTTATTGATGGCATTATTAACGCAGAGCGATACATCAAAGAGATCCTGGAACCAAAGTTGATTCCATCAATAAGCGACTTATTGGACAAAGGCACAGAATTTACTTTTCAACAGGATGGAGCTCCATGCCATACAGCTCGTAAATGCCTTAAACGGTTCAATGACAAGAAAATTCCTCTGCTTCCCTGGCCTGGAAATAGCCCTGACTTGAATCCCATAAAAAATCTGTGTTCAAGATTAAAATGCATGGTCTCGAGCAAGAATCCAAGCAACAAGCGAGGACTCATTGAGGCTAGCCTCAATGAGTCCTCGCTTGTTGCTTGGATTCTTGCTCGAGACCATGTAATAATCAATTCCTGGCATCATATGGTACATTTCCAGCCAAAATTAAACTTATTTAAAGATTTTTTTGTCAAGGTATTAATTTACTATATTTAATTTTACTTGTGCTATGACATTTTTAGAGATTTTTACATAAAAAGTACTTTAAACTGCAAAAGTTTGTAAAAATGTAAGGCATACCCACAGTTTTGGCCACTAGTGTATAAAGGTTAGGGTTACCCTTTGACCGTGAACAAGGACAACACCATTTCCAAAATAGTTGAGCCACTGTGTAAACTCTACATAAAAACAGAATGCCATGATTTGCAAATCTCAAACTCCTATTTTATTCACAATAGAAAACATATCTATGTTTAAACTGAGAAAATGGTCCATTTTAAGAAAAAAAGGCAATTTTAGAATTGATGGCAGTAACGTCTCAAAATAGTTGGGACAGGTCAACAAAAAGCTGGCAAAATAAGTGTTACTAACAAGGAAGATGGAAGATCTGGAAGAACATTTTGCATCCAATTAGGTTACTTGGAAACAGGTCAGTAATATGATTGAGTATAAAAATGGAATCTTAGCAAGTCAGAGTGTCTCAGATGTAAAGATGGGCAGAGGTTTACCATTCTGTGAAAAAAAAATTGTTGTGCAATTTCAGAATAATGCTCTTCAACTTAAAAGTGCAAATACTTTAAAAAAAAGAAGTATGGAGTTTTGAAAAAGAATAAACCTAGGTAAGTATGCTGCATCTGTCTGCTGCTGTCTTTGCCGTGAGAACTGAGCGATCAAACACCGTTGATCGCTCAGTTCTCCCCTCCAAGCAGAATGCTGTGATTGTCAGACTCCGGCTCTTTGCTCTGCCCCGCCAGTACTTACTAGAGTGCTGAGTTGTTAGGGGGACATGAGGGGCTGGCTCAGGCTGTGTATAACGAGAAGCTGACCCAGGTGCCAGTCCAGACTTCTGGGTGGATCCTAAACGTATGGTCTGGATCTTTTCAGAACCTGAACCAGCTCTGTGATATCAGCTGACAGCGGGCTTTAGCCTGGTTACAGGACCGCACTTCTGTGACATACAGAAGTATAGCCAAAATAGCTTTGGCTATACTTCTCCTTTAAATATATCATCATCAACAGTACATAATATCATCACAAGATTCTGAGGACCTGGAGAAAGTTCTGTGTGCAAGGGACAAGGCCAAAACATAATATTGGATGCCCATGATCTTCAGACGGCACTGCAATAAAACAGGTACGATTCTACAATGGACATCACTGCATGGACTCAGGAATACTTCCAAAATTCACTGTGAACACAGTTTGCCATACCATCCGAAAATGCAAGCGAAAGCTGTCAGGCAAAGAAGAAGCCAAACCTAAACATGATCCAGAAACGCTGCCATCTTCTCTGGACCAAAGCTCATTTAAAATGGTCTGTTGCAAAGTGGAAAACTATTCTGTGATCAGGCGCAGTGAAATTTGACATCCTTTTTTGGCAATCATGGGTGCCTCATTTTCTGGACTAAGGAGAGAGACCTCCTTGCTGGTTATCAGTGCTCAGTTCAAAACTCTGCATCTCTGATGGTATGAGGGTGCATTAGTGTGTATGGAATGGGCAGCTTGCACATCTGGAGAGGCACGATCAATAATGAAAGAGATATCCAGATTTTAGAGTGGCATATGCTCCCATCCAGCCAACGTCTTTGTCAGAGAATGCCTTCCATATGTCAGCAGGACAATGCTAAACTGCATTTATGACAACAGCATGGCTTCACAGTAGAGGAGTCCGACTGCTTAACTGGCCTAACTGCAGTCCAGACCTTTCACAAATTGAAAATATTTGGCACATCTTCAACCAAAAAATACAACGAAGGCTTAAGACTGATGAGCAGTTGTAATTCTTTATTGGGCAAGAATGGGACAAGTCCACTCCAGCAACTGGTCTCAGTTCCAAGACATTTACAGTGTTGTTAAAAGAAGATTGTAAGCTTGAAAGAGCAGGGCCCTCGATCCCCTCATGTTTTGCATTGTATTGGTATTGTTCTGTCACATGTTCTGTCCCCCTTTGTAATGTACAGCGCTGAGCGAACTATTGGCGCTTTATACTGTATAATAATAATAATGGGATGCTATACCGTAGTAAACATGGCCGTCCCAACTTTTTTTGTTCTTGTCAGTTTCAAAATTACTTTATTTTTTCTAAAAATAGTATATTGTCTCAGTTTAAACATTTGATATGTTTTCTATTGTGAACAAAATATGGGTTTATGAGATTTACAAATCATAGCATTCTGCTTTTATGTAGATTGTACACAGCGTCCCAACTTTTTGGAATTGTACACAGTGCTCAAGAGAAAGAATGGTTGGGGTTCCCTCTGACTCCAAACAAGTACACAGCACTCATGAGGACTAAAGGTTAGGGTTACCCTTTAACTTAAAACAAGCACTCAGCACCCAGCAGAAACAAGGGTTAGGGTTTCCCTCTGACCCAGAACTAGTACTCAGTACACAGGCTGCATACGGGTTAGGGTTACCCTCTGACCCCAAAGACGTATTCAGTACCCAGGAGATATAAAGGGCATCCCATTGCTGGCCTCCATATTTCTCAGTCAATGTCCCAGAACAAGTAGACAGAGAAAAGGCATAAGGTATTCATAGGCATACAGGATACTTGTTGCAGGTCAGGGATTCCAAGTATTGAATCCTGAGAATCATTGTGAATGTCAGGAAATAAGCAGTGGCAGTCTCAGCTTCTCTCATTATGGGTTTCCTCCAAGGCTCATTCATACCGATGTGTCGGTGCGCTGTGATATCAATTGTATCCCAGACATGCGTTGCTTGAAATGGTGCATGCCTGTTCAGGTGGTCTGAAATTTCACCAGAACAGCTTAGGCAAGATACTGGAATGGAAAGGGGTGAACAAGCCATAGAGTAAGCCTTGCAAAACCTGATGGAGGGGCTACCTTTTCTACACTCACCTGATCATAAATGGGAGGGCCTGCCTTCACTACAATCACTTGATCAGACTATGCTGCAGTAAGAAAAGCCGCATCTCTAGGCTTGTGAATCTTGAGCCAAGCCTCATAAAAATCCGAACCAACAGTGTCAGTCATTGCACACTAAGAAACTCTTCCCATGGGAAACTGCTGGGCCTTGTGATTGAATCTCAAGTGCTGTTCTGTATACAGACAGGGGAAGTGACCCATATTCCCATAACCAGGACCAACCAGAATATTTAATGTGTGGGAGACGGTTGACAGATCATGCAATAAGGTAGTGCAACTCATCCCCCTCTACTCCATTCCTGTCTATGGTGCGACTGACTGGTTGTACCGGCAGGTCTGTGATTTGTTGACTTCTTACACGCTCTTTGCGGACGACTCTGAGCAAAATCAGGGGAATGAGAATTCTGGGGTGTTCTGCACTATAATTACAAGAAAGAAATCATTTTTATCTATGATTTAGCAAAATGTAGGCGCAGAAAATAGAATTTATTAGCTTCAAATTACAGAATAGCAGGTGCATAAATTTTCTAAATTAGAGTTTTGCCCTAAAAGTCATCATTGCCAGACATAAGCTCAACTACCTGTACACCATTCTGTCTCCAGAGATAATGCCATCACAGATGTGTTCATGAGTCTTTACTGAAGAAACTGACACTATAATGTCCCCATACTCCTCATCAAGAAAGCCCAGACACTCATTTCCTCAAACCCCCCCAAAGAAGCTGACACTATAATGTCCTCGAACTCCCTCACAAGGATAGATGATGCTCTTATGCACCCAGCACACACAGATGTGTCCCCAACAATAGGAGCTATTTTGCTTTGAGAAATGGACTTTTCCTAGTTAATGTACAACATCATCACATATTAGAGCTCAACTAAACCCCAAAACAAAAATGTAATATTTCAGATTGTCATTCCTTATGTAGTGGCTGGATTCATTTTCTTTTTTCAGTCTAGAAACACTATCAGCACCTGCACAAATTACTTGTTGATCCTGCCAGTAATGCAGTGTCCCTGTCACTTCCTGTGAGCTAAGCAGACAGATGTCGCAATCTTTTCTTGTTTCTGTGAACTAATAATCCCATATATCCCCATACTATTGAAATGAGTGGAAAGGCAAACCATTCTGGGTGACCATGGATATGGTATGATGAGTGAGTGTAGACTCCCAGTGTAGTTACCAGCGTTTTCTTCCTGCATTGTGCAGAAAGCATCTTCATGTGAGGACAGAGAATTATCACCCGAGAAGTAAAACAGTCACTGGCCAGATAGCAGCATACAAACATTTAATAGATTCAGTAAGGTGCAAACATTGCTAAGGTGAGCAGAGCGCAGAATTCACCACGGCTGGTTCAGTCCCGTCAAATTCTAATGTGAGCGGAGCGCAGAATTCACCACTGCTGGTGCAGTCCCATCAGATTCTAATGTGAGCGCAACGCAGAATTCACCGCCGCTGGTTAAGTCCCGTCAAATTTTTCAACTGGAAAAGAAGCAGTAGTGAGAGCTGACACTGGTCCAGATGTGAAGAATATTTCATTTAAATGGCACAATGCAGGATTACATTGGTTAGTTGGCAATTTTTAAATTAAATATTCATATTAAATTTGTCTTAATATCAATGGCCAAATGAGAAATCGAACTGTGGAATTGATTTGCGTGTAAATTTCATATCTTGGAGTACAAAACAAGACATGGGCAGAATATTAATACACCCTGGGTTACAGGCATGTGCCTAAATTGACTGAACACCTCCCCTATAACCCTACCCAACTCCACGTGTCCTCAGTTTTGTATCAGGCAATGCAGAGTAACCCAGGAATAGAAGGGAAGGAGTCCTGTGCCCTGTACTGTACTCCAAGACATGGGATTTACAGGCAAATCAATATTCCTCTTTTCTTAAATTGTACAGCAGACAGACAACTTTTTCATACACCATGGGATATCCCCAAGCCATAAATAAAAGAGTGGGCAACAAAACTGTATCAACACGCCCAATAACAGGGGTTAAAAGTTTTTACAAAGGAATGCAAAGCCAAAGACCTTTGGAAAAGGGTACACAAGGCTGATGCCTGCCCTTACAGGATGTTAAGAGCTACATTCTGGTCAAGACCTGTTTTTAGGAAGACCAAAATGTGAGGTACAGAGTAATCTCTAGGACAGAACTGACTGCGCTCATTCCCAGTGAAGTAAGAATTCCAGGTACAATAATAAATCTTCCTGGATTTAGCTTTTCTTGCCTTCAATAAGGTAGGAATCCCAGACACATCCATCATTTATCACCTGGTTTTTAACAGCCACACTCTTAAAGACAGAGACTGTGAAGCAAGATGTAATAGAGGGCCCCATGACAGGAGGTCTGAAGTGCTGGGAAGAGGCCAGGGATTGTCTGTCAAAAGTCTGAGTATGCCTGTGTACCAGGTTCTTCTGGGCCAGTATGGTGTCAGAAAAAATCACTGCCTTCTTCTTTTGCTTTATTTTGTGAAGCAAGCTAGGCAGAATGTTCAGTGGAGAGATGGCATACACTAGCATGAACTGAGACCCGGGGATAACTAAAGCATCCTAAAGCTTGAGGATCCCTGGTTCTGACCACAAACAGAAGTAGTTTGTTGTATCTGGAGGCTAGGATGTCCCTCATCTATGGCACATCAAGTTGAACACATCTGGATGAAGAGACCATTCCCCTTGGTCAAGACGGCGGAAATAGTTGTCTGCCACTGCAAAGCACAGAACTCATCAATGAGGTAGGGAAATGGGAATATATACCGTAGATAAGCATCTTGGATGTCCATGGATGCCATGTGTTCCCTTTGTCTCGGAGATGCAACTTCTGGCCTTGTGGATTACATGAAAATGTTGGAATGTAATGGAATTTGTTGAGGGATTTTAAGTAAAGAATAGGATGGATACCTCAATTGGGCTTGAATACTGTGAACAGGTTCAAGTAGAATCCCTTGAACATGTCCTGTGGAGGTACTGGTACATTTACTGCCTGGAACAGGAGGTGGTTCAAGGCTTTTTGCAAGTCTGAAAGCGGTTAGACGATAGAGGTTTGAACTCTATCCTCTACCTTTTTGAAACCATTGGTTGAACCCACAGGTCTGGGACATCTGTGGCCCAGAGAAATGCAAACTGCAACAGAAGTGGGGACACCCCTTCATTGTGAAGAGGGTTTGGTGGATGGGAGTGCCTGAACTTAGGATTTGAAGTTAAGGTTAAGGACCTTTGGGAACATGTTCCACTTGTTTTTAGGGTGGAACATGTAACATGTTCCCAATTCTGCAGCCGCTGCCCAATCCCCCCACCTATGACAGCAGTATGGGTTCCCTGTACCAGCTGTCACTTTTTAAAGATAGCGTGGCCGTGTGGGGCTCCACCCACATGACCATGTCATTCATTTGCAGAATTCTATGAATGAATGGACTACAAGTACCAACATCCTTTGTGCATGTCGAATTGTAGTTCTCAATTAACTACTGCGGCGCTGTGGAGCCCTGTGGTAGTTCACTGATTCTTCCGGTCAGTGAATCTGCTTGCCCGTATGGGAAAGCTGATATATTGACAGATCTGCAGACCTACATGGCACCAGCGATCTGATGATTGCTGGTGCAATGCTTTACAGGCTCCTGCAAAAAAAAATACTAAATGCACATTTTTTTTAATACCTGCAAAAAAAATGTGCATTACTTTTTGGCAAAAAGTGAACTTATCCTTTAAAGCCTGGTTTGAGCATGGAGGTACTCTGCAGTTAGAGGAGCAAGTAACTCCTGAGGAGGAAGGTTAGAAGTTTTGTCACCTTCTTCTGGGGAAGCAAACTTTCCCACTTATAACCAGGTAACGTGAATTGGTCAAGTTCCTCACCAAACAGACACCTTACTTAGATATATTTGAGGTGCCTCTTAGAAGCAGCTTCTGCTGCACAAATTTTTAGCAAAAAAAATCTTGCGCATATGAATGCAGATTAGAGCCATTCTGGAAATTGGTGTCATGACGTGATCCAAGGCATCTACACAGAAAAGAAGAGCAGATGAAAGTTTATGTAATTGCTCTGTAACTGCACAATCCTGAAAGACTGGGTCATGTTAGTTGTTCATTGCCCTGGTCCAGTTAGCTGCGGTTTGGCATACAGAAACAGCACCAAGAGCTGGTTGCAGTGCACTGTGCAGCCTGTCAGAATAAAGAGAGCTTTTAAATGCATCTCACATTTTCTGTCAGCAGAAACTTTAAAATGGAACATCATCAGCAACTACCCCAGGGCACTCATCAGTCCATGCCACAGAAACGTCATCTATCATGGTGGGCTCTGCCAATAGAATCCTTCAGGGACTTGACTTCCGAACTGACATCACTGACCTGAATCTATATACCACCCTACTGGTCAACAAGGCAATATATCCTTTTGCAGGGTCCAGTGCCAACAGGTAATGTTAAAGGCCATCCGTGCATGTCCAGTGCGGGGTCCAGGTACCATTGCTCTACATGCTGAACAGCAGTAGGAAATGGATCTGGGAAAAGCTAGTCTCCTAATCCCAGATGGAAGTGCTTAGAAGCTAGCTACTTTTTCATGCTGAGATCACACAGACATCACCTAATGACAATAGCAAAAAAAAATGGATGCCTTGACTAGAAGGGAGGGGCTATATCCAGGATGGGATTTCCTTGCCAGTGCCCTATAACCTATCAACTTTATTGTCATGGATATGAAGATGCTCTGTGTCCCGTGATGTACAAAATAGAAACATGTATTTTTAGTTCTTTATTGACTAAGTACCAAATATTATCCACTAGTATTAGCTCTAAGCCCAACATATATTTTCCCATTCTCAGAAATGTCATGATGTCTCACTGCAGGTTATAACAATATTTTCACTTTTCTGGGCAGATAATACTCACCGTAACAGCAGCTCCCATCAGCCCCTGAATGACGGCTTCCCCTGTAGAGGTCACCTACAAAGACAGCACTCATCACAAACATGACAATTCCCTTCTGAAATGGTTTCTCTTTCTAGAAGAGCTATCTTGTATATAGTTAATATCTACCGAGTATAACATAGCAGGACATGCATCAGCCAGTACCTTGACTGAGTATCTGTGGGTGTGTTAGTGGGAGCGTTGTGTCAGCTCACAGGCTGCCTATGGGGCAAATCCATGGAAAGCCTGTGAAAGTGGATTATTTCACTGTACCTGTTTCACAGAATTGCCTGCAGTCATGGCATCAGATATGCGGTTTTGCAGGAAGGTCCAGGTATCCTCAAAGTCTGGAGAATTGTCTTGCATCATGACCAGCTCTGTGGTGTTATAAATACCTGCAAGAACTGCCCTGCGTGTGTACCAGCTGACCTAGGGAACAGACACTCAAACCAATCAAATAACAATGCCGTATCACCAGACTCCCCCTTTACTACTTAAAGGTGCACTCACATCTGTAGACTGGTCGCCAGCGTAATGCCAGATGTCGTCCACCATGGAGGTCAGTAGTTTTAAGCTGATAGGAATATTTTGTGGTAAGAGAAGAATTCCCAATGCCTAGAATAGAGAGATATAACGTCACTACTGCTGAGCAAGACACCCTTCTAAAGCCATCTTCTAAGCGGATTATCCAAAGATGCCTTTTCATTCATTATCCAAAACAACACTCTAAAACACTATCCAAAGACGCTCTCTCAACTGTTATCCAAAGACGCCCTCTCATCCGTTATCCAAAGGCGCCCTCTCAATCGTTATCCAAAGGCGCCCTCTCAACCGTTATCCAAAGGCGCCCTCTCAAACGTTATCCAAAGGCGCCCTCTCAAACGTTATCCAAAGGCGCCCTCTCAAACGTTATCCAAAGACGCCCTCTTAACCGTTATCCAAAGACGCCCTCTCAACCGTTATCCAAAGACGCCCTCTCAACCGTTATCCAAAGACGCCCTCTCAACCGTTATCCAAAGACGCCCTCTCAACCGTTATCCAAAGACGCCCTCTCAACCGTTATCCAAAGACGTCATGTCAACCGTTATCCAAAGACGCCCTCTCAACCGTTATCCAAAGACGCCCTCTCAACCGTTATCCAAAGACGCCCTCTCAACCGTTATCCAAAGACGCCCTCTCAACCGTTATCCAAAGACGCCCTCTCAAACTTTATCCAAAGACGCCCTCTCAACCGTTATCCAAAGACGCCCTCTCAACCGTTATCCAAAGACGTCCTCTCAAACTGATATCCAAAGACGCCCTCTCAACCGTTATCCAAAGACGCCCTCTCACCGTGATCCAAAGACGTCATCTCAACCGTTATCCAAAGACGTCATCTCAACCGTTATCCAAAGACGTCATCTCAACCGTTATCCAAAGACGTCATCTCAACCGTTATCCAAAGACGTCATCTCAACCGTTATCCAAAGACGCCCTCTCACCTGTTATCCAAAGACGCCCTCTCACCTGTTATCCAAAGACGTCCCCTCTCAAACAAATATCCAAAGACGTCCTCTCAAATGTTATCCAAAGACGCCCTCTCAACCGTTATCAAAGACGTCCTCTCACCGTGATATCCAAAGACGCCCTCTCAACCGTTATCCAAAGAAGCCCTCTCAACCGTTATCCAAAGACGCCCTAACTCAACCGTTATCCAAAGACGTTAATCTCAACCGTTATCCAAAGACGTCATCTCAACCGTTATCCAAAGACGCCCTCTCAACCGTTATCCAAAGACGTCATCTCAACCGTTATCCAAAGACGTCATCTCAACCGTTATCCAAAGACGTCATCTCAACCGTTATCCAAAGACGTCATCTCAACCGTTATCCAAAGACGCCCTCTCAACCGTTATCCAAAGACGTCCTCTCACCTGATATCCAAAGACGCCCTCTCAACCGTTATCCAAAGACGCCCTCTCAACCGTTATCCAAAGACGTTATCTCAACCGTTATCCAAAGACGTTCTCATCTCAACCGTTATCCAAAGACGTCATCTCAACCGTTATCCAAAGACGTCATCTCAACCGTTATCCAAAGACGTCATCTATACCGTGATGCAAAGACGCCCTCTCACCTGTTATCCAAAGACGCCCTCTCAACCGTTATCCAAAGACGTCATCTCAACCGTTATCCAAAGATGTCATCTCAACCGTTATCCAAAGACGTCATCTCAACCGTTATCAAAGACGTCATCTCAACCGTTATCCAAAGAAGCCCTCTCATCTGTTATCCAAGGACATCCTCTGACCCGCTATCCAAAGATGTCTCCTCACCCATTAACCAAGAACAACCTCTCGTCTGTTATCCAATAAAGACATTTCACCTGTTACGCAAAGATAACCTCTCACCTGCTATCTACAGATGACCGTTCACCCATTATCCAAAGACTATATCTCATTCATTATCCAAAGATGAGCTTTCACCTGTTATCCAAAGATGCCCTCTGACCCCTTTCGTTACACAGCCATCCTTCCCTCTACATACTCATAAAGAAACCCCCCTCCCCCCCATGGGGCAGATCTGTCCCTTGTACCTGAGGCCATTGTCCAATATAAGGGATTAGCATCCTCAGGCGAGCTTCCATAGCATCTCTCAAGAAGTCAGCTGTTGGTTTCTTGCTGAAACAAAGGAAATGAGAACACAAGTTATCAAGATTCCCCAAATTCCAGGAGACAAAACATCCGACCCCCTACTCTACACTAATGTTATCATTTTCCTTCCAACACACAATGATGTCCCTCGTCCAATCCCACACAGCGACATCTGTATATAGACAGCGTTCTGTAGATGGTGTGACTTGTGTATAGTGAGTGTCCAATACAGAATGTGACCTGTATATAGTAGGCATTCTGTAGATGGTGTGACCTGTATACAGCAAATGTCCTGTACACAGTGTAACCTGTATACACAGAGTCCCCTGTACATGGTGTGACTTATATATAGCAAGTGTCCTGTACACAGTGTAACTTGTATATAGTAAGTCGTCTGTAGATGCTGTGACCTGTAGATAGTGAGCGTTCTGTAGATGTTGAGACCTGTATATAGCAAGTGTCCTGTAGATGGTGTGACCTGTATATAACGAGTGTCCTGTAGATGGTGTGACCTGTATATAGCAAGTGTCCTGTAGATGTTGAGACCTGTATATAGCAAGTGTCCTGTAGATGGTATGACCTGTATATAGCGAGTGTCCTGTAGATGGTTTGACCTGTATATAGAAAGTGTCCTGTAGATGGTGTGACTTGTATATAGCAAGTGTCCTGTAGATGGTGTGACCTGTATAAAGCAAGTGTCCTGTAGATGGTGTAACTTGTATATAGCAAGTGTCCTGTAGATGGTGTGACCTGTATATAGCAAGTGTCCTGTAGATGTTGTGACCTGTATATAGCAAGTGTCCTGTAGATGGTATGACCTGTATATAGCGAGTGTCCTGTAGATGGTGTGACCTGTATATAGAAAGTGTCCTGTAGATGGTGTGACTTGTATATAGCAAGTGTCCTGTAGATGGTGTGACCTGTATATAGCAAGTGTCCTGTAGATGGTGTAACTTGTATATAGCAAGTGTCCTGTAGATGGTGTGACCTGTATATAGCAAGTGTCCTGTAGATGGTGTGACCTGTATATAGCGAGTGTCCTGTAGATTGTGTGACCTGTATATAGCAAATGTTCTGTAGATGGTATGACCTGTATATAGCGAGTGTCCTGTAGATGGTATGACCTGTATATAGCAAGTGTCCTGTAGATGGTGTTACCTGTATTTAGCAAGTTTCCTGTAGATGGTGTGACCTGTATATAGCGAATGTCCTATACATGGTGTAACCTGTAAACACTGAGTGTCCTGTAGATGGTGTGACCTATATATAGTGAGCGTCTCGTTCACAGTATGACCTGTATATAGTGAGTGTCCTGTACATGGTGCGACCTGTATATAGTGCACCTTCTGTAGATGGTGTGACCTGCATTTAGCAAGTATCCTGTAAATGGTGTGACCTGTATAGAGTGAGTGTCCTGTGTATAGTGAGCGTCCTTTATATAGTGAGTGTCCCGTAGGGGGCACTCACTCAGTGTTGCCCAGTTGCACCAGTTTGTGCTCCTCCTCCAGCAGTTGGGCCAGTCTGGCGTTGCACTCAGACACGAAGTGCAGGACGAGCTCGCTCCCGCCGCTCTCGAATAATCCCGCTGCAGCCACAGATAGGTCCAGAGTCTGTGCAGAGGGGAACTCCGGTTACACAAAACACCAGCACACCAACATGTAAAGTGACAGAAGCACAAAAAAAGGATTACCTTGGCGCCTTCAGCAATGGCCTCGGAGCTCCACCCATACTGCGGTACAAAAGCCACGGCCGCAGACAGAATACGCTGCTGCAGCTGCTCTTCGCTCTCGTAGCCTTCAGACTCCTCTCCACCCTGGTCTGTATACCTGAATGAAAGGATGGGGACCTCATGTGACCAGACTGCGAATATGTGAAGAAGCCCAGCCAGAAGAGATGGCAATCCATCTGAACACAGCAAAGGGGTGCTTCCACCCTACCTGGGAGGTGTGGAGCGCTCCTCTTCAGTCTTGTGAACTGACTCAGTGTGAGCAAATGATGGTGGAGGCGTCTTCTGATCCTCGTTATATCTGAGGGACGAAACCCACAAGTGGCGAGCTGAGCGCACTGCCAGGCCTGAAAGACAACATGAAGGAGAAGGCAGCCAATCAGAGAATCTGAAAAATAACGAGGAAGAGGTGGAGGGGGTGCGGGGTGAAGGAGGTGTATTTGGTAGATGAGGAACGGGCAGGGGTATACTTGGTAGAGATGAAGGGGTGGGGGGGGTAGTGGGGGTATATTTTTGGTAGAGGTGGGTAATGGGGATATATTTGGTAGAGGTTGTGGGGAGGAGTAATTGAAGTACAGTTGGTAGTTTTGGGAAGGGTAGGGGTGGGGGTAATAGGGGTATATTTTTTGCAGAAGTGGAGGAGAGGGTGGGGGGTGTATTTGGGAGAGGTGAAGGGGGGTAATGGAGGTATATCGGGTAGAGGTGAAGGGGGTGGGGGTATATTTGGTAGAGGTGAAGGGGTGGGGGTAATGGGGGTATATTTTTTGCAGAGGTGGAGGAGGGGGTGGGGGGTATATTTGGGAGAGGTGAAGGGGGGTAATGGGGGTATATCGGGTAGAGGTGAAGGGGGTAAGGGTATATTTGGTAGAGGTGAAGGGGTGGGGGTATGGGGGTATATTTGATGCAGGTTGAAGGGGGTGAAAAGGTGATGGGGGTAAATTTGGTACAGGTGGAGGAAGGTATATTTGGTTAACTGGATTATAATTGGTAAAGATTGAGGGAGGGGTGGGGTATTTTTGATAGAGGTGGAGGGGGGTATATTTGGTAGGAGTGGAGTGGGTAGAAGAAAATGGGGGAATATTTGGTGGTGGGGGGGGGGAATGGTGGTATGGTTGCTATATTTAATAAGGGTGGAGAGTAGTGGGTGGGAAGGGAGGTTAGGGGGTTGATTTGGTATAGGTGGAGGGTAGTGGGTGTGTATTTGGTGAAAGCAGAAGGGGTGTGTGTGTGGGGATTGGGTATATTTGGTAGATGTGGGGGGGGGGGGGTAATGGGGGTATATTTGATAGAGGTGGGGGTAATGGGGGTATATTTGATGCAGGTTGAGAGGGATGAGGAAGTGATGGGTGTAAATTTGGTACAGGAGGAGGGGGTATATTTGGTGGTGGAGGTAATGGGGGGTATATTTGATGCAGGTTGAGAGGGGTGAAGAGGTGATCGGGGTAAATTTAGTACAGGAGGAGGGGGGTATATTTGCTGGTGGTGGGTAATGGGCTATATTTGGTAGAGCGGGTGAGGGGTAATAGGGGTATATGTTGTAGACAGGTGGAGGGGGGTTAATTGGATTATAGTTGGTAAAGATTGTGGGAGGGGAGGGGGGGGGTGGGGGTATTTTTGATAGAGGTGGAGGGGGGTATATTTGGTAAGAGTGGAGTGGGTGGAAGAAAATGGGGGTATATTTGGTGGTGGGGGGTAATGGTGGTATGGTTGCTATATTTGATAAGGGTGGAGAGCAGTGGGTGGGAAGGGGAGTTAGGGGGTTGATTTGGCATAGTAGGTGGAGGGTAGTGGGTGTGTATTTGGTGAAAGCAGAAGAAGGGGTGTGTGTGTGTGGTGGGAGGGGGGGTATATGTGGTAGATGTGTGTGGGGAGGGGGGGGGGGGTTAGTGGGGGTATATTTGATGCAGGTTAAGGGGGGTGAGAGAATGATGGGGGTAAATTTGGTACAAGAGGAGGGGGTATATTTGGTGGAGGGGGTAATGGGGTATATTTAGTAGAGGGGGTGAGGGGTAATAGGAGGAAATTTGGTAGACAGGTGGAGGGGGGTTAACTGGAGTACAGTTGGTAGAGAATGGGGGGGGGGGGGGGGGGGTATATTTGATAGTGGTGATGGGGTGGGGGTATTTTTGATAGAGGTGGAGGGAGGGGGTATATTTGGTAGGAGTGGAGTGGGTGGAAAGTAATGATGGCATAATTGGTGGGGGCAAAAGGGGGTTGTGGGCACTGTTGCCTTGAACATCAAATTTCCATTTAGTTTTAGTCCTAGTTTATCTCCTGGGTTTAGTTCATCTGTATGGCATTAGTTAAACATTTCTCTAGAATTGCCAAACTCATAACAGGCGCACCTCGGTTTACAAACGCCTCGGTTAACGTAATTTTCGGTTTATGAATGAAAATCCATTGAAAATAATGCCTTGATTTACAATTTTTTTTCACAATACAGGGTTTCCCCAGGATGCATTGCGTCTGGGAGGTTTATAGCGCCTGCCCTGTGCCTTTAAAGTGTACTTTATAAAGAGTTTTGAACAAAGACTTTTTTTTTAACTTTTTTCTGACCTCCGGAAACGGATTCATTGGTTTTCAATGCATTTATGAATTCATTTTTATTCATGTCCCTGTACAGTATTTATGCCTTTATAGTGTACTTTATAAAGAGTTTTGAACAGATATAAAATACTTTTTTTTTTTACTTTTTTCTGACCTCTGGAACGGATTAATTGGTTTTCGATGCATTCCTATGGGAAACCGCATTTCTGTTTACAAATTTTTTGCAATACGAAGCGTCCCGGAGAACGCATTCAATTCGTAAACCGAGGTACGCCTGTATATACTCTTGGAGTAAAACTTTAATAACAGGTTATTATTTATGGTATTAATTGTTGCACAGACACAGATTTAGCCGTGATATATAACATCTTTATGAATAAAACCAGATTTAATAAAACAAAAATATTGTTTTTTGACAAACGAAAGTGCAACTTTACAGATTTTAGTTTTTTTTATTGTAAATTCTATTGGCTGTAACTTCATTGCACATATTATCTGAATATATTACCAACATTAAGGCCTCGTTCACACCATGGTGCAGGGACGTCAGTTTTTCTGCATGCGTTCTGCAAGGGCACAATGAAATCAATTGTTCTCTATGAGTCCTGTTCACACCACATCACTGGTATCGTGCAGATTTTTTTCTGCGCAGGAATCTGCAACGTGTATAAAACTCAGTGGAGCGAGTCTCTGCAAGTGAAATCTGTACGTCAGTTTCCATCAGTTTTCTGCAAGTACGGCGTGAATGAAGACTAAATATTAAGAGAAGAAAACTAAGAATAGACTTTTTCTTTCAGCAGCTCAGCAGTCTCCCCGACCTATTCACATGTGGCAGTGAAGTGTTCATGTTTACAATTTCCATTTAGTTTCTATCAGTCTTTTTACTAAAATGCCATTTTAGCTTTGGTTGTATTTTAGTCATCTGAATTGTTTTAGCAGTGCTTTAGTTGACTAAAATATTTTTGTCTACGAAATTAAAGCGGAGTAAAGGTGGAGGGGGGGGGATTGGGGGGTACATTTGGTAGAGGCATGGGGGGTATATTTGGTAGAGGTGGAGTTGGGGGGTTATTTTTGGTAGAGGTATGAGGGGGGTTGGGGGTAATGGCGGTATATTTTGGTAGAGATGGAGTTTGGTTTGGTAGAGAAGAAAGGGGGGTTGGGGATATATTTGGCAGAGGTAGGGGGGGGGGGTTGGGGGGGGTATATTTGGTAGAGGTGTGGGGGGGTACATTTGGTAGAGGTGGAGGGAGGTAATTGGGGTATATTATTTAGTGGGGGGGTGGGAGTATATTTGGCAGAGGTGGAGGGGGGTATATTTGGTAGAAGTGGAGGGGGGTTGGGGGTATATTTGGTAGAGGTGGAGGGGTGTAATTGGGGTATATTTAGTGGGAGGGGGATTCTGGGTATATTTGGTAGAGGTGGAGGGGGGTTAGGGGTATATTTGGTAGAGGTGGGGGGTTAATGGAGGTATATTTGGTAGAGGTGGGGGGGGGGGGGGTAATGGAGGTATATTTGGTAGAGGTGGAGGGGGGTAATTGGGGTATATTTAGGGGGGGGGTTGGGGGTATATTTGGTAGAGGTGGAGGGGGGTTAGGGGTATATTTTGGTAGAGGTGGGGGGGGGGGTAATGGGGGTATATTTGGTAGAGGTGGAGGGGTGTAATTGGGGTATATTTAGTGGGAGAGGGGTTGGGGGTATATTTGGAAGAGGTGGAGGGGGGTATATTTTAGTAGAGGTGGGGGGGAGGGGTAATGGAAGTATATTTGGTATAGGTGGGGGGAGGGGTAATGGGGGTATATTTGGTAGAGGGGGGGTAATGGGGGTATATTTGGTAGAGGTGGGGGGGGAAATGGGGGTATATTTGGTAGAGGTGGAGGGGGGTTGGGGTATATTTGGTAGAGGTGGAGGGGAGTAATTGGGGTATATTATTTAGTGGGGGGGGTGGGAGTATATTTGGTAGAGGTGGGGGGGTGTTAATGGGGGGGGGGGGTATATTTGGTAGAGGTGGGGGGGTAATGGGGGTATATTTGGAAGAGGTGGAGGGGGGTAATTGGGGTATATTTATTGTTGGTGGGTATTGGGAATATAGTTAGTAGAGGAGGGGGGGGGGGTATATATAGTAGAGGTAGGGGTGGGAGAGGGGGGAGGATAACTAAGGGCAGTGGGGGGCACAGTAAAGTTGGGGGTCATTTAGGGGTGAGTGGTGACGTCACTTATTGCAGAAACTTCCAGGTGACCGTCTCCCGGGTCACCGTGCCCTTCCCCCGTCCTCACCCGCTCCTGGGCGGCCCCTCAGCAGTAGAAGCCCCGCCCTGCTCGCTGCTCTCAGAGCCCGGACAGCCGCCATAGTATCTAGCCGGGAGGGGGCGTGTCCTGTGGAGGATACAACGGGAAGACGTCGTATCCGGAAGAGGGAAGCCAGAACCGGAAGTATTCGGAGGGGATCTGCAGGTGAGTAGGGGGGAGACCTAAAGTGTAAGGCAGGTCATGTGACCTCTAGAGGGGTTGTTTCCCTTAGCAACCAGTCAGCTAGCTACCCTTCCTCCCCTCCCTATAGAGAGCTGTGATGTGCAGTCTGATCTGTACACACTGAGGGGTTCTTGTTATTGGGGGCCCTCCATATCTCACTGTTCTGGGGGATTCTCATTCTTTATACACTAGCAACAAAAAAAGAAGAAAAAGCACAGAAACCAAACCAACTACCACCAAATAATGACAAATCTATTACACAAACTGTCACTGGTTTTTATGTGGACATTTTGGATAGGTGGGGGGAGGGTGGCTCTGAGAATAGCTGGGGGGGGCTGTTGGGATGGGTGCTGAGGGGTCAGGGAGTAGCGGGGGAGGCACTGGTTTTATGTGACAATACTGTTATTGTAATAAATTGTTTGGCGGTAGCCGGTTTGTTGTCTGTGCCTTTTCTTCTTTTTGTTGCTACTGTATTTAGGGGATTCCCAGGACCAACCGTCCACCTTTCATCCAGAGAACCAAGCCCAACCGTCCACCCTCATCCAGAGCCCAACCGTCCACCCTTCATCCAGAGCCCAACCGTCCACCCTTCATCCAGAGCCCAACCGTCCACCCTTCATCCAGAGCCCAACCGTCCACCCTTCATCCAGAGCCCAACCGTCCACCCTTCATCCAGAGCCCAACCGTCCACCCTTCATCCAGAGCCCAACCGTCCACCCTTCATCCAGAGCCCAACCGTCCACCCTTCATCCAGAGCCCAACCGTCCACCCTTCATCCAGAGCCCAACCGTCCACCCTTCATCCAGAGCCCAACCATCCACCCTTCATCCAGAGCCCAACCTTCCACAATTCATCCAGAGAACCAAGCCCAACCATCCACCCTTCTCCAAAGCCCAACCTTCCACCCTTCTTCCAGAGAACCAAGCCCAACCTTCCACCCTTCTTCCAAAGCCCAACCTTCCACCCTTCTTCCAAAGAACCAAGCCCAACCTTCCACCCTTCTTCCAAAGCCCAACCTTCCACCCTTCTTCCAAAACCAAGCCCAACCTTCCACCCTTCGTCCAAAGAACCAAGCCCAACCTTCCACAATTCGTCCAAAGAACCAAGCCCAACCATCCACCCTTCGTCCAAAGAACCAAGCCCAACCATCCACCCTTCGTCCAAAGAACCAAGCCCAACCATCCACCCTTCGTCCAAAGAACCAAGCCCAACCATCCACCCTTCGTCCAAAGAACCAAGCCAACCATCCACCCTTCGTCCAAAGAACCAAGCCCAACCATCCACCCTTCGTCCAAAGAACCAAGCCCAACCATCCACCCTTCGTCCAAAGAACCAAGCCCAACCATCCACCCTTCGTCCAAGAACCAAGCCCAACCATCCACCCTTCGTCCAAAGAACCAAGCCCAACCATCCACCCTTCGTCCAAAGAACCAAGCCCAACCATCCACCCTTCGTCCAGAGAACCAAGCCCAACCAAATACCCTTCGTCCAGAGAACCAAGCCCAACCATCCACCCTTCGTCCAGAGAACCAAGCCCAACCATCCACCCTTCGTCCAGAGAACCAAGCCCAACCATCCACCCTTCGTCCAGAGAACCAAGCCCAACCATCCACCCTTCGTCCAGAGAACCAAGCCCAACCATCCACCCTTCGTCCAGAGAACCAAGCCCAACCATCCACCCTTCGTCCAGAGAACCAAGCCCAACCATCCACCCTTCGTCCAGAGAACCAAGCCCAACCATCCACCCTTCGTCCAGAGAACCAAGCCCAACCATCCACCCTTCGTCCAGAGAACCAAGCCCAACCATCCACCCTTCGTCCAGAGAACCAAGCCCAACCATCCCACCCTTCGTCCAGAGAACCAAGCCCAACCATCCACCCTTCGTCCAGAGAACCAAGCCCAACCATCCACCCTTCGTCCAGAGAACCAAGCCCAACCATCCACCCTTCGTCCAGAGAACCAAGCCCAACCATCCACCTTCGTCCAGAGAACCAAGCCCAACCATCCACCCTTCGTCCAGAGAACCAAGCCCAACCATCCACCCTTCGTCCAGAGAACCAAGCCCAACCATCACCCTTCGTCCAGAGAACCAAGCCCAACCATCCACCCTTCGTCCAGAGAACCAAGCCCAACCATCCACCCTTCGTCCAGAGAACCAAGCCCAACCATCCACCCTTCGTCCAGAGAACCACGTCTAGCCATCCAACCCCTTCATCCAGAGAACCACGTCTAGCCATCCACCCTTCATCCAGAGAACCAAGCCCAACCACGTCCAGCCATCCACTCTTCATCCAAAGCCTAACCCTCCACCCTTCATCCAGAGAACCAAGCCCAACTATCCACCCTTCAGCCAGAGAACCAAGCCCAACTACCCACCCTTCAGCCAGAGAACCAAGCCCAACTATCCACCCTTCAGCCAGAGAACTAAGCCCAACAATCCACCCTTCAGCCAGAGAACAAAGCCCAACTATCCACCTTTAATCTAGATCCCAACCATCCATCCTTTATCCAAAGCCCAACCGTCCACCTTTCATCCAGACAACCAAGCCCAGTCATCCACCTTTCAGCCAGAGCCCAACTGTCTACACTTCAAACCGTCCACCCTCTATCCAGAGGTCAGAGCCCAACCGTCCACCCTCTATCCAGAGGTCAGAGCCCAAATGTCCACACCCTCTCATCCAGATACCAACTATCTACCCTTCATCGAGAACTGTGGCCTCCAAACTGGGGCCAGATGCGGCTCTTCCTTTGCCTTTATCTGGCCTTAGAGGCATTATTCCTGACTCTGACACCAATAATGGGGTGTTATTCCTTCCACTGGCACCAACAATGGGGCATAATTCCTATCACTGACAACAAAATGAGGCACTATTCTCGCACTGACGCCAACTATTTTCCCCTCAGTACCAAAGATAGGGCATTGTTTACTCCCACTGAACACAGTCCAGCCCGTCTGAAGTCTGACGGTAAACTGTGCCTTTCTTTAGAAAATGTGGAGACTTCTGATCTAAAGACTGGAGCCCAACAGCCCACCTTTCATCTAGAGATCAGAATCCAACCATCCACCTTTCATCCAGAGAACAGAGTCCAACCATCCACCCTTCATCTAGATCCCAACCAAAGGGAACCCATTGTCCCCTGAGCACGGATGGGGGAATTTATCTCACTGCCCAGTTCAGAATCACCAGCCAAACAGGCTCTATACTCTTAACTGTATATAGAATTTACAATGTGTGTATGTGTGTACATCTCTTTCATCTGATGCAGGATGGACAGTTTAGGTGACCTTGTGTCACCAGGTCAACATGTGGCAGTAACATGGGATGGCTCCTCCTCCACAGAGAGTCTTCAGGACTTTGTAGCACAAGTGCAGACTGCAGTGACCACGGATGGAAAAGTTTCTGTGGAGAATGTGGAACGCCTATTGAAGTGTAAGTTTTACCCTAACCCCCTCCTCCATTGTACTGATCGTGTCTCCAGAGTATGATAAGACGTGTCCCCTCTCTTCCATTGTACTGATCGTATCTCCAGAGTATAAGATGTGTCTTCTCTCTTCCAGTGTCTTGATCCTATCTCCAGAGAATGATAAAAAGTATCCCCTTTTCTCCAGTATACAGTACTGATCAGATCTTCTTTTTTTAGCGGCACACCATGATTCCTGCTTTGATGTCATCCTCCTTGGTTTAGTCCCAGGAAGTACAACTATTCACAGTTCTGACATTCTGGTGGAAGCAGCTCGAATTTTGAAGCCGGGGGGTACAGTGATCATTCAGGAGCCTGTGGATCTCCAGGCCGGTGAGATTTATTTGGGTGTCTATTGTTGGCATTAATACTGCCTCTGTGGCTGGTTGTATTGGATGTCTCCATTATCTAATAACATGTTGCATGCACTTTTCAGGTCACCTGATAATGCAAGAAGTCGTAGTGCAATCATTGATGTCAGTTGTATTCACTGCATATCTGCTCACTTCCTGCCTGACATCATGCCTCACTTTGCACACTTCCTGTCTGATGACATGCTTCACATTGCACACTTCCTGTTTTATGACATGCTTCACGTTGCACACTTCCCGTCTGATGACATGCCTCACATTGCACACTTCCCGTCTGATGACGTGCCTCACTTTGCACACTTCCCGTCTGATGACATGCCTCACTTTGCACACTTCCTGTCTGATGACATGCTTCACATTGCACACTTCCCGTCTGATGACATGCTTGACATTGCACTCCCGTCTGATGACATGCCTCACGTTGCACACTTCCCGTCTGATGACATGCCTCACGTTGCACACTTCCCGTCTGATGACATGCCTCACGTTGCACACTTCCCGTCTGATGACATGCCTCACGTTGCACACTTCCCGTCTGATGACATGCCTCACGTTGCACACTTCCCGTCTGATGACATGCCTCACGTTGCACACTTCCCGTCTGATGACATGCCTCACGTTGCACACTTCCCGTCTGATGACATGCCTCACGTTGCACACTTCCCGTCTGATGACATGCCTCACGTTGCACACTTCCCGTCTGATGACATGCCTCACGTTGCACACTTCCCGTCTGATGACATGCCTCACGTTGCACACTTCCCGTCTGATGACATGCCTCACGTTGCACACTTCCCGTCTGATGACATGCCTCACGTTGCACACTTCCCGTCTGATGACATGCCTCACGTTGCACACTTCCCGTCTGATGACATGCCTCACGTTGCACACTTCCCGTCTGATGACATGCCTCACACACTTCTGTCTGACATCACACCTCACATTACTTCTGACATGAAGAGAGAGAAATTTGCGAGTAAGCAAAGTTTGCTGTAATTTATGAGAGAATGAAAACCTGCTATCTTTTCATGTCACCATCACCTTCCTCCAGTGTAATGTGTAGGGTGGAGTCATCCATGTAATAGAGTGTAAGCTCCTGTAGCCAGGTGATGTCACTTCCTCTGTATACATATGCGTTGTTGATTTGTCTCTTCATCAGGTCATGGCACCAGTCTGCGGTCTTCGGCCCAGCTCTCCTCCGCTCTCACCCTTTCTGGGATGACCAGCGTGACACAGGTAGGTACTGATGGGGGTGGTCATTTTCCTGGAGTCCAGGGGTAGACTTAGCATTGGCTCTCCGGTGGACGTTGTACACCACTTGTACTTTCTAACTGGTGTTGAAGCCTCACATATGATGAGATGTTCCTCCGCATCCAACCTTTGGGGGAAATGTCATTATGTGACACAAAGCCCCACCCCTTTCCACCTGCTGTGTTATGATGTATAAAATGTTATTTCTGTCTAATGAAGAGAGGTCGACCCTTCATACACCAGGATCCTTAAATTCAGCCAATGAGATTAGAATATGACAGTCACATGACTGGAAGTGAAGATACTCCTCCTGTGAAGGAGATGCAGATGAGCAAAAATGGTCTACGGAATAGAAGATTTCACATCCTGATGTGCTTCTCCTTTCGAGTCATTGACATTCAGGGATCTGAGAGGGAGTGGTCACTGACTGGTCACATTAGAGATGGAGTGATCACCGATTGGTTATATCATAGAGGGAGTGGTCACAACATCTGTGTGTTCACATTATATGGGGGGGGGGGGTGGAGGGATAGGCTGCCGTGCTGTGAGCTGAACAGGTTCACATTTTAATAATACATTTTGTGAGGTTCGTCGTCCCCTTCTTTTCTCTGGGCCAGTGAGGTGAGGAATGTGACTGGCTGCCCCCAAAGTGATGTCATTTCCTCTGCAGATTCTGAATGTAGCCCTGACAGGCGGACAGACACAACATGTGAAGGAAACTCTCGGCTACTCTGGGACTAGCCTGGCCGCCGTCAGACTCCAAGCTACAAAACCCAACTATGAAATCGGATCTTCACGACCGCTGGCACTTCCCAAACGCCCTGTGACAGGTATGGGGCCACTGAGGGCCACATTGGGAAAATGGAAGGGTCCATCCTAGGGTGTCGCAGAAGAATCATATGATGAAGAGTCCTTCTGAGGGGGCCTCATGGGGGGTTCATATCATGATGGGTCTGTTCTAGGGAGCCACAGACGAATCATATCATATCATGATGGGTCTGTCCTAGGGAGCCACAGACGAATCAAATCATGAAGGGTCTGTAAAAGGGGGCAACAGCTCAGGGGAAACGTATAATGAAGTCACTCCAAAGGGGCCACAGAAGGCCGCACTGGGGAATCCTAATATCAGGGCTCTACAAATCCCAGGTGCCAGGTTGCCATGGCGATTAGAAATTGCATCCCGGCTCCTGGGTTTACACACTGCCTCCCATAGACTTCGATGCAAAGTTGCATCCCATAGACTTCAATGTACAAACGCCTCCAGTAAACTTCAGTGCAAAAACTCCTGTCAACAGCAATCCTATTTGAACAATTATCTCTGCATGCCACTCAACTCTATCACTTGCAAGTGTGGAACGCACAAACTCACACAGGATCCTTTTCATAATGACACTGAAAACACAAGGCATCTGTGTGAACCAGCTTAATAGAAACACATAATATCTAGCCTGTCACGTCAATCTATGCGCTTGAAAACGCATTCATAATTGCATATATGTGAACCAGGGAGCTCCATTCACACCTGGGTGTTTTGGGGTCGCAGCAGAATTGCTGTGATCGTAAAATGCAGGTTCATGTGCCATTATTTTCAATGGGGCCTAAAACATGAAGCTTGTCGCCCAAAAGTTGCCTTGCCCCAGGCACCAACAACCCATGCTACGCTAAAAAAATAAACTGTCTCTTGACTTTTTTTAGCTGGCTCCTAGATTCAAAGCAAATTTGACAAGCCCTGAGTCCATCCAAGGGGGCCACAGGGTTTGGGGAAATCGTATCATGAAGGGTCTGTCAGATGGGGCCACAGAAGGCTGCAGTGCCCAAGGAAACATTATCATAGAGAGGGTACGTCTGAGTGGGCCAAAGAAAGCCACACAGGGGACTCATAATATTGCTAGGCTTGCATGTACGCAGTTACATCACATTATGCTGGGCTTGCTGCAGGTAATGAGATTCTATCACTCTAGGCTTCCTGCAAGCAATGATAATTTGTAATCATGGGCAGAAAAGGGGAAGCTGCAGAGGACTGTTTACCCCATAGACAGAAGATGATCATGTATGAGCAGAGTCAGATCTGTTTACATGCACCATGTTCATTCTGTGTTATGAAGACAGGGAGGACAGTTTGTTGATGTTGGGAGATGGTCTGACTCTTCTCATTCCTCACTTAAGGAAGGCCGGCTGTAGATCCAGCTGCAGTGAAACTCTGGACGCTTTCAGCAAATGATATGAATGACGAAGACTTGGTGAGTATCTATCACTGGGTGTCCTGTCTACAATCTCCAGCAGTACTAACTGTAACTGACACACATAAGATACAACCTTCAGCAGGCTCCGGTACTAACTGTAACTGACACGTAAGATACAACCTCCAGCAGGCTCCAGCACTAACTGTAACTGACACACGTAAGATACAACCTCCAGCAGGCTCCGGTACTAACTGTAACTGACACACGTAAGATACAACCTTCAGCAGGCTCCGGTACTAACTGTAACTGACACACGTAAGATACAACCTCCAGCAGGCTCCGGTACTAACTGTAACTGACACACGTAAGATACAACCTCCAGCAGGCTCCGGTACTAACTGTAACTGACACACGTAAGATACAACCTCCAGCAGGCTTCGGTACTAACTGTAACTGACACACGTAAGATACAACCTCCAGCAGGCTCCGGTACTAACTGACACACGTAAGATACAACCTCCAGCAGGCTCCGGTACTAACTGTAACTGACACACGGAAGATTCAACCTCCAGCAGGCTCCAGTACTAACTGTAACTGTCACACGGAAGATTCAACCTCCAGCAGACTCCGGTACTAACTGACACGCGTAAGATACAACCTCCAGCAGGCTCCGGTACTAACTGACACGCGTAAGATACAACCTCCAGCAGGCTCCGGTACTAACTGACACGCGTAAGATACAACCTCCAGCAGGCTCCGGTACTAACTGACACGCGTAAGATACAACCTCCAGCAGGCTCCGATACTCATTATAACTGACACAGGTAAGATACAACCTCCAGCAGGTTCCGGTACTAACTGTAACTGACACACATAAGATTCAACCCCCCAGCAGGCTCCGGTGCTAACTGTAACTGACACACATAAGATTCAACCTCCAGCAGGCTCCGATACTAACTGTAACTGACACACATAGATGAGATTGTTGTGTAAAACACAAGCAGTGATGTTACTCCTCCTCTCAGGATCTCTTGGACTCGGATGATCTTCTGGATCAGGATGACATGAAGAAGCCCCTCCCCTCCACACTGAAAGCCCCGGGCTGTGGAGAAGGCACTGAGAAGAAACGCAAGGCCTGCAAGAACTGGTGAGTACACTGCCTTGTCTAACATGGGATGTCTTCTGCACAGGGGCCCCCACAGAGTTCCCATCCTCCCTTTTGATTTGAGAATAGACCCGCCTTTTAGTCTGAGATGTTACGGAGGGGTCCTGCCCTAAGGTCTGATAAGTTGAGGTGGGGTCCCACCTTTAGGTCTAATGAATTGAGGAGAGGTCCCACCCTCAGGCGTGGGGTTTTGAGGGGGGTCCCATCCTCTATTAGGATTACTGAACGGTAATGAGTTTTGTGACATTTGATGTTTATCTCACACAGTACATGTGGATTAGCAGACGAACTGGAAGAGGAAAAGAAGAAATCTGACTCCACACCTGCCCCATCAGCATGTGGCAATGTGAGTATAAGTATAATTGGTCTTGAAGGACAGATGGGATGTTCAAGGAGATAGTGGGGTATACACAGTATATGGGGGGTGTAACTGATAGCAGGACAGAAGTGGTTCAGTAGTTTAAAAAATAATTATATATATATGGGGGTGGAGTGTATTTAATAGCAGGCGATGACAGATGCTGTGGATCTACACTATATTGCCAAAAGTATTGGGCCGCCTGCCTTTACACAGACATGAACTTTAACGGCATCCAAGTCTTAGTCCGTAGGGTTCAATATTGAGTTGGCCCCGCCCTTTGCAGCTATAACAGCTTCAACTCTTCTGGGAAGGCCGTCCACAAGGTTTAGGAGGGTGTCTATGGGAAGGTTGGACCATTCTTCCAGAAGCACATTTGTGAGGTCAGGCACTGATGTCGGGGGGAGGAGGCCGGGCTCACAGTCTCCGCTCTAATTCATCCCAAAGGTGTTCTATGGGGGTTGAGGTCAGGACTCTGTGCAGGCCAGTCATGTTCTTCACCCCAAACTCGCTCATCCATGTCTTTATGGACCTTGCTTTGTGCACTGGAAGGGGCCATTCCCAAACTGTTCCCACATGAAATTGTCCAAAATGTCTTGGTATGCTGACGCCTTAAAAGTTCCCTTCACTGGAACTAGGGGGCCAAGCCCAACTCCTGAAAAATAGCCCCACCATAATCCCCGCTCAACCAAACTTTACACTTGGCACAATGCAGTCAGGCAAGTACCGTTCTCCTGGCAACCGCCAAACCCAGACAGGTCCATCAGATTGCCAGACAGAGAAGCATGATTGGTCACTCTAGAGAACACGTCTCTACTGCTCTAGAGTCCAGTGGCAACGTGCTTTACACCACTCCATCTGACGCTTTGCATTGCACTTGGTGATGGAAGGCTTGGATGCAGCTGCTCGGCCATGGAAACCCATTCCATGAAGCTCTCTACGCACTGTTGTTGTGCTAATCTAAAGGCCACACCAAGTTTGGAGGTCTTTAGCTATTGACTCTGTAGACAGTTGGTGACTTCTGTACACTGTGTGCGTCAGCATGCGCTGACCCTGCTCTGGCATTTTCCGTGTCCTACCAGTTCGTGGCTGAGTTGCTGTTGTTACCCAGAGGTAACCTATCACGGTACCACGCTTAGAGTCACTGAGCTCCTGAGAGTGACCCATTCTTTCACAAATGTTTGTAGAAGTAGTCTGCATGTCTAGGTGATGATTTTATACACCTGTGGCCATGGAGGTTATTGGAACACCTGAATCCAATGATTTGGAGAGGTGTCCCAATACTTTGGCAATATAGTGTATATATAATATGGGGGAATTAATAATTGGATGGGACATGACAGATGATGTAGACGTAGCGGGGGTAGAAGATGCCAGTTGTTTTTTACTGTATAAGGAGGGGTGGCAGGGGTTAGGGTGGGGAGTGCATGTTTTTATAGGAGGGTAGGATATGACAATGTGGATCTGGGCAGCCAACGTGTGTGTGTGTGTCATACACACATGGGGGGTGTATTAATAGCAGGGTAGGAGAAGACCAATGTAAATCTATATACATTGTGGTAAAGGGGCAAAACTGTAGCACTAAATTAAATAGATATAATAAACACAGTGCAAAAAATTGTGACACACCCAATCTCGTGATGATCTGTAGCATAAACATGCACAAATAACATATAAGGACATATATTCAATAGTTCAACTAATATCCTCACGATATACACATAAATAATGTGAAAAAAACATATGAACACCAACAACTCAGACGATAGGGGATTAAATAATATACTTCAAATAAGTGCAAAAACTCCGATCTCCGAAAGAGGAATCCAGCAAAGTTTGTCATCTGATGTCACAAGAGGAAAAGAGAGGAATCTTCCAAATAGCATTCATGCGAGTCCAATCTCGAGCAGGAGAATAGATTCCGGTGCTGTACACCCACATTAGAAAACTCTGCAGCTTACCAGAGATTTTTTGACCCTCCGGCTATGAGTGGTCATCTGTGCTTGAAAGAATAAAGCCAGGCATACATGGATCGAAATTCAATCCATGTATGGGCAGACTGATTGTACCCAAGTTGATCCATCAATTTTTGCACGTATTATTTTATCTATTTAAACAGTTGCGTTTATTGAAATCATACAAAAGTATAACAAGGCAAGGTACATAAGAACAGGCAAACGTAAGGCAGTCAGTTTAAATACAATTCACATGGAATTCCAACGCTAAAAATCATACTGAGTCAACTGGTCATCCTGAATGAAAAAGGGGGGTGAGGTAAGAATAGAGAAAAAGGGAAAAAGAAAAAAGAGAGAGGTAGGAGAAGAAAAGCAAATCATAATCAATAACCAAGCAAGTAAACAGTATAAACTGGGCATACCTGCAAGAGAATAAGCCAGTTATTATACCATAAGTCCCTGAGCCTCCACCCACACAGTCCATATTTTATCAAATTTGGATAATTACGGCTCATATAAGTAAGTTTGTACAACGGAAGCGCCCCATTGACTGCCGATTTCCATCCCGAGACTGTCGACGGAGCCAACTGATTCCATTTAAACAGAATTTCTCTCCTAGCATAGTAAAGAAGCATAGAAGACAAACAGTCTATTATGCTTAGATGTCTCCACAAGGTCCAAAAGGCCTAGCAACATAATCAGGGGATCCATGGGGATTTATTTTATCTATCCTAGATTGGAAGCTCCAAGGAGCAGGGCCCTCTAATCCCTCTTGTATTGAACTGTATTGTTACTGTACTGTCTCCCTCCATATTGTAAAGCGCCGAGCAAACTGTCGGCGCTATATAAGTCCTGTATAATAATAATAATATTTACATTGGCGCTACAATTTTGCACATATTCATTAATACTGGGTATCAGAGTACAGTGTTAGCAGCACTGGAGATTATTTATTCCAAGCACAGATTAACGTATTTTTCGCTCCATAAGACGCACTTTTTTCCCCCAGAAAAAGGGGGGGGAAAATGTCAGTGCGTCTTATGGAGCGGCCGGTCCGGTATTTCCACCGCCGCCGTGTCAGAATACCAGGCCGGCCGCTCAGCTCTGCAGCGGGACCTTATGGAGATGACTGCTGACCTTTGGGGAGGTTGGGAGCGGGTACCTGAATTTGACAGGTACCCGCTCTTACTTCTACGGAGTTGTTCATTGATCTTACCTGTTCCTCTATCCAGCGGCGCGCTGTCTTCCTGGCTTCTGTAGTGTGGGAGCTAGGCTTGACAGCCGGGTGCCAAGTGCGCATGCGCAAGAAGCGGTGCTTTTTGTGAATGGTAAGGCGGTACCTGGGACACACGACAGATCCCAGAAGCCGCCGGACCAATCACAAAGCGCAAGTGCTTCTCTCTCATGCGCACTGGGCACCCGGCTGTCATGCCGAGCGCCGACACTACAGAAGCCGGAAAGACAGCGCGCGGCTGGATAGAGGAAACAGGTAAGGTCAATGAACAACTCCGCAGAAGTAAGAGAGCGGGTACCTGTCAAATTCAGGTACCCGCTCCCCCCCTCCCCCCTCCCCAAAGGTCAGCAGTCATCTCCTGTGCTGTCCGCAGTCTCTGGTCATCCCTGTGCTGTCCGCAGTCTCTGGTCATCCCTGTGCTGTCCGCAGTCTCTGGTCATCCCTGTGCTGTCCGCAGTCTCTGGTCATCCCTGTGCTGTCCGCAGTCTCTGGTCATCTCCTGTACTATGTCTGCAGTCCATTAGTTCAGAATTTTTTTTTTATCCTGTTTTCTGCCTCTAAAACCTAGGTGCGTTCTTATGGAGCGAAAAATACGGTAATTAATACATTTACAGCTCACTTTAGTGGTTTTCCTTTCCAGTGTTATCTCGGAGATGCGTTCCGGTGCGCCAGTTGCCCGTATCTTGGAATGCCAGCATTCAAACCGGGTGAGAAGATTCTACTGAATCCCAAGCAGCTCCAGGATTCCTCATTGTGATTTTTGATCTCTATGTATATATAATGTTCAATAAACGTTCAATGTCACCTCTTCTGTGTTCAGCATTCATTTAAAGAGATGTGTGGCGTGTGATGCTGTCATGTGACAGCAATGATGAGATGCCATGGTGGTGTGACTTCAGTCATTTCATCCTCATGCTGAGAAATGGGTTGTCATGTGATGTCAGGACAGTGTGCTGATAGGATGCAGGGAGAGATCATCTGCAACTCATTGATTAGGGTTAAAGATTTCAGTGTGAGGGATCAATGCTGGTACTCCATGACTGAGTGCATGCGTCTTATGCAGGAGGACATATTGCATGGTTTCAGCCCTGACACACTGCTGCATTCTGTGTACATAGCAACAGCTGTCACTGATCAGTCCTTATCTTCTCCAGCCAGAGGGACTCTGATCTCTTCACCAGCCATATCTCTGCTCTAGCCAGGGGTACCCTAATCTCTTCTCCAGTGGGTTCTCTTATCTCTCCAGAAATACTTTTATCATCTCTCATCAGCTGCATCTACCCCACTCACCCAGAAACGGGATCCGGAGAACTGCAGTCATCCTGAGTGCAGTTACATTGGTCGGTGTAGTAATCACGCCTGTTATCTAGCAGTGGAAAGGTCATATAGTTACTCATTAGGCCCCGGCACACCTTCATTCAGTACCAGAGTCCTCTGGTAGCAGGCAGTCCTAGTACACACGGCGATCTTACATGGAGGGACCAGAATCTGGGCCAGGTAAGTTCTGGATCATTCCTATTTCTGCCCAGCAGAAATGTCCCATTATTTATTGTTCCTCCTCCTGTAGGTGAGGCAGGTTAGCTGCTAACAGACAAACGGTAGATCCTGACTGCTGTGCAACTACAAGTCCTGTCATGCCCTGTTACACTGTGTATGGAACAACAGGGGATGCTGGAATTTCCATAACAATTGGAATTTATAGAACTTTTGTACTCCTTGTACAATCCTTTTCTTGGAGGTCATTGAGAGACACAGGTGGTTATATTGTTGCCAACATGAGGATGTGACATTGGCAAACACAAAAAAAAAGAAAGCTGTAGGCCAGCCACAGTACAACCCCTTCTACTACCAGCATGTCTCAGCTTTGCAGCAAAGCAGTACCAACAGCATGATCATAGACAGGAAGGGGGGTGTACCTGTGTCCCCTTTATTGTTCTAAAAGCTGCCCAACTGAAGGGTGGGGAACACTGGCTAACAAGGCCCAAAATAAACAACACAACTGGCCTGCCTGCAGCTCAGAGCCGCCTGAAGGATTTTATATGTCCAAAGCTGGCATCAGAGGAGGCCTGATAGAACCTGTGTGCACATAAGACCAAGGGGCAGCCTTACAAATCTGGAAAACAGCAGCCTGATGCTGAAAAGCCCAAGAGGCGCCCACATATCTAGTAGAGTGCAACTTGAAAGTAAATGGTGGAACCCATTCCTTAAGAACAGGGGGTCTTCAAACTTTTTAAACAAAGGGTCAGTTTACTGCCCTGCGAAGTAAAACAACAAGAAGCGCACCAACCTTGTGCATTACCTCAGTAGCCAAAATTTATTTAATGAAGGAAAGGTACTCGCAAACAGCGAATAAAAACAGGCATGTAAGTCCACCAAGGGACTTCAAAGGTAAGAGGCCAGCGCGAATCCCATCATGGGTGTAGGTACTCAGTCCAGCTGACGCGTTTCGAAGGTCATGCCTTCTTCCTCAGAGCTGACTGGACTGAGAGTGTATGCTCCCATTTATGCCCACAGACTGAAATAGGACCCTCCCAAATGGGTTGGGCTGTCCTGGGCCGGGGGGACCCGGGTGTCAACAGAGTACAATAAATAGTCAATAGTCACCAGATGAATATAAATCATAAAATGAATTAAAATGTATAAAGATCCTCTCCCTCCAATTCTCCAATGAGACATCCCCTGGCTTGGTAATATTCAATGGATGTTATACTTTTTTTCTATACACATGTGTTCATATACAACATTACACTAATGAATTGCTATTACTGCTATTAATTCAATTTTATTAATTTTATGAATTCTGCTATGTCTAATAGACACTCTAGCTGAATTGCTCATCGTTTATGAACAAACAGACAATGTATGGTTCATGCAATTGTGTGGGTTCCTGTGTCTATGGATGTATATATATATTTTCCATATACATAGTATACAGTTTTTATGTATGTGTATATATAGTTTATATACATTGGATGCATCCGACGATCAGTTTAATGTTAATATCAACCAATTTTAAATTTTTCCTACTATTGTATTTATAAGCTGCACTTTTTAAGGTATAATGTATCATTTACCATCTATATACATTTTAATTTATTTTATTTTAATTTTATGATTTATATTCATCTGGATGACGATTTATTGTACTCTGTTGACACCCGGGCCCCTCCCCCCGGCCCAGGACAGCCCAACCCATTTGGGAGGGTCCTATTTCAGTCTGTGGGCATAAATGGGAGCATACACTCTCAGTCCAGTCAGCTCTGAGGAAGAAGGCATGACCTTCGAAACGCGTCAGCTGGACTGAGTACCTACACCCATGATGGGATTCGCGCTGGCCTCTTACCTTTGAAGTCCCTTGGTGGACTTACATGCCTGTTTTTATTCACTGTTTGTGAGTACCTTTCCTTCATTAAATAAATTTTGGTTACTGAGGTAATGCACAAGGTTGGTGCGCTTCTTGTTGTTTTACTTCGCAGTTTGTTCGGGCTTCCCCAGCCTTGGTTTGGAGCTGCACGACCTTGGATACTCTGGTGGTTGCTTCTCTGGAGGTTTTAATTCCATCTACTCACCACCGGCCTGGGTCCCGGAGCGCAGGAGAAATCGCTTTCAGTTTACTGCCCTTCAGGGGGGCCGGACTATTGGGAGTAGTCTTGGAATTGTCCTAGCATCAGAGTGAGAAAACAATGTCATCTTTGGTATTAGGGGATGAGCAGTATCCAATTGTTTGTGGCAGTGGAAAGAATAAATCCCCATCATTGATGTCAGTGAAATGAATAGTGCCCCATCATCGGTAGTGGCAGTAGAAGAAGGAAAAGTGCCACATCATTGGTGTTAGTGAGAAGAACAGTGCTTTATCATTGGTGTCAGTAAATGGAATAGTGCTCCAATGTTGGTGTCAGTGGAAGGCATAGGGTATAATTGGGAGGAATAGTGCCCTATTGTTGATGTCAGTAAGAGGACTAGTGCCCCAAGGGCTAGATAAAGGCAAACAAAGGGCCACAGTTTGGACAGTCTAAACCACCAAGTGGAACAAGAAGCTGATGCACCCTTGCAGAGTCCATCCAAGATGACAAAAAGGGAATCGGCCTTTCTAAAGAAAGCAGTGGCTGGGAGACTCTCACAGCCAGATCTACATCCATGCAACTGAGGAAAATTTTCTTTTAGTGAACTGGAGCTAGCCAGAGGGATGGGAAAAATGATTTTCCATGTGAGGTGAAAGATAGGACCTACCTTAGGTAGCAAATAAGACACTGGGCCTCAACACCACCTTGCCCTTATGCAAGACCAGAAAAGGTTCTTTGCGGGACATGGCCACCAGTTCAGGCACTCACATTGCAAAGACAATAGCTACAAGAAACATCAAAGAGGGAAAGCAACATAAGAGACACAGTTCTTCTTCAAGGAGTAAAAGGTCAGTGGTCTCAGAAAAAAATATGGCAAGAGCAGAGACCTAACCTGTTATGGTGCTGAAGACAAATGCTGCTCCAGATTCAGCTGTAGGAAGGAAAAGATTAATCTCACAGAGAATCTTCTATGGTGGAAGTCCCAAGACCCTTGCATGATGAGAGACCTCACAAGAAGTAGAGTTTATAGCTTTTAACATTTTGGGAATCACCCGTGCAGTTTTTTGATGGATCTGGAGCCCAGAAGCTTTACATCCATTGTGTCCCCCCACCTGTAACAGAGGTCCTCTACCAGTTCTTGGTTTGAGGACTGCTCCCCTGGGTCCAAACTCTGCTGACTGAGAAGGTCTACTTGCCAATTGTCCACGCCTAGGATGTAAACAGCAGACAAACCTGAAACGTGAAGTTCCATAAAGGAAAGAGTCTGCTCTACCTCTCTTGCAGTGGTTCTTCCTTCATGCTTGAAAACAGAAAACGGGATGGTAAGACTTCCCCAATTTCAGAAGAACTATTAACCAAGCCAGGGGCAACTTTATCCTGAGCGCCAAATGAATATGTCTGGCCAGGAACTGTCAATGTGATACCCATCTTGGGCTTGGGAACTGTGAACAGGTTTGAGTGACTCCCCTGAAACCATTCTGCCAGAAGAACTGGGACAATGACACCTCTATCCATAAGACCTGAGAAGGCTCAATGGGGATCTGCTAATCTATGTGGTGACATTGGAAGGTTGGAATTGAGAAACCAAGAAGGGGTCTAGGAGCCAAATTCCACCTTGTAGCCCCTGAAAACACTTCCTGCAGCCAAGCATCTGAGATGCAAATAGTCCAAGTGTCCACAGAGGTTTAAAACATGTCACCCATCTTCATACAGAGGGAGGTTTGTCAAAGGTTTGGTGGACAGGGAGCCCTAGACTTGAGTGGACTAGCAGCCAAGTTTGGAGGGGTTGGGGGCTGGGTGTGGATGTTTGTAGCAGTGGTGAAACAAAAAGAACTTTTCTTAACCACCAGTGAGGAATGAACCTTACTGGTCTGTGGCTTAGACTTCTGCTAAGGAAGAGGGATGCTCTTGCCACCAGTAGCACCCTTGATATTCTTGGTATCCAGAGTAGATCTGCAGAGGTGTAATCCCTTCGAAGGGCATGCAGATCATATATGCTTTTTTAAATGCAGGTTCCAAAGTCCAACACTTCAGCCAAAATGTCCCTCACATGAGACAGGAAACCTCAAGCAACCTATCAAAACTGTAACTTTAAGTAACTGTAAATACTTTTTTAAAAATAAACATGTTATCTTCACCTGCTCTGTGCAATGTTTTTGCACAAAGTGGCTTACGAACCTCCTCTTCTGGGGTCCCCAACCAGCACTCTTAGCTCTTCCTCTTCTCCAAGTGCCCCCCATAGCATGTGGCCTGGGTGAGCTCAATCCTTAGCCAGGCTGTGTGAACCCATTGACACATACAATGTGGCTCAGCCCCACCCCTGTTCCCACCTCCCAGGCTTTGATTGACAGCAGCAGGAGCCAATGGTTCCCACTGCTTCTGAGTCTCCTGTGAGAAGAGAGAGATATGGGAGAAGGACAGGCACAATGCTGGATTGAGATTGGGCTCAAGTAAGTATTTAAAGGAGGTCTGGAAAGGGGGGGGTTGAGCAGCTTTTGAAAGTTTTTTTTTTACCCTAATGCAAATAATCTTTTACCTTTACAACTACTGTCAGGCTACAGCCCTTAGTTCCAAACATTCTATGACAACAGGGTCAGCAGCATTAGTGGTAGGATCCTTTTGAAAGGGGCCACCTATTGCAGCAGGACTTTCCCCATCCCTCATGTCTAGAACGACATGGCATGGCAGGCTGGCGTTTAGGCAGCCAAGGCCAGTTGGTGGCAGGTGAGGATCAGATAGCTGGAGATGACCACATTTACTGTACGTGGGTGTCGTGAGCAGACCAAAGTTTTTCATGACTCTTTGCAAAACAGTAGCAACACTGGGGAGGTTTCTTTGCTGGAAAGAGCAAGGGCACGTGGCACCCTACCCAGACATATCCTTGACAGGAATCAGTGACCAAGTCCCCATCCTTGTTGAGATAAACTTCAGATACAAGCAGGAATTTCAAAGGTGCCCAGTGACCAAAGTCTGGCTGCAAATGAAGAGACTGGCTTTAAAGCAGTGGAAAAATAGAAAAATCTTGATTAAAGGAAAACAGTTTGAAGAGAAAAAAAATCTGGGAAAATAACCCTTCATCCTCACAGGACACCAGCAATTAACTGAGGCATGCTGGTAGTAGGAGAGGCAATCCAGAGCTGACCTCAGTGCCCTAGTCTCCTGTAGGCTGCAGTATTACCTGATGGTGAATGACTTCCTGTGTTCCTCAATGGATGGGAAATGAATATGGGTTTCCTGTCACTGGTGCCCAGAACACAGAAAGCAGATAAGAAATTGCAGAGCTGTGGCTGTTGGCCATACACAGAAAACTAAACAACTGATCTTTTTAACATTTTTTTGATTGAAACAATTGTTTTCATAATAAAAAGATTCATCTTGAGTTTGTTCAGATTCTTCATCAAGCCCAAATCATTTCAATTAAACTGATATCTCTTTATCTATTTTTGTTCATTTATTGCAGTTGTTTTTATTAATACAATTCCTTTATCAAACAATCTTGTTACATATATGGCTGACAAAACAGAGTGTGGAAAATATCAGTGCTCACTACAGTATTTTTTCTCTGGTAATCCCCCCGTATAGGTTCTGCGTCACCTTCCAGGCATGGGTGCCACTGCCAGCTGCAGGACAGGAAGGCGTAGACGGCAGCACCCAACTATGCCATCTGTACCCCCAGAAAGTCTCCTGGACATTAACCTGGCCACAGAGGAGGAGCTAATGACTCTACCGGGTGTCACACGAGCCTTGGCGCAAAGCATCACAGCACATCGGCGTAAAATCCGAACCTTCCGCAGAGTAGAAGACCTAGCACTGGTGACGGGTGTAGGAGCTGAACACATGCTGAAGCTACGACCAGAGATTACCGTGAGAGAAATCCCTACACAATGGGCAGTAAGTGAAGGGGAGATGACACCAAGTGATGACACAAAGGAAGAAGGCAATCGACCAGAAGAGACAGAAGGTCACAAGTAGGACTCCTGAACTAGAATTATAGATATGACAGAATGTAAATAAAGTTTATTCAGAAATCCTTTTACTATACCGGCTATGAAATGTCAGCTGGATGAGTGATGAAGGCTGAGGTTAGGGTTTGTTTCTATACCACATACACATAGTGCTCAGGTGACATACAATATACCTGCGATGAGCGCAGAGGTCAGGGTTCAGTCTGTAACACATAACGGTCAGATGACTAACAATGTACCAGTGATGAATACCAATGTCAAGGTTGACTGAGGTTGAAGTCAGGGTTCAGTATATAACACACACAGGGGTCCGATAATGTACAATATACCAGTGATGAAGGCTGACGTCAGGGTTCAGTCCATAATACACAGGGGCAGATGACGTACAAGATACCAGTGATGAAGGCGGAGGTCAGGGTTCAGTCCATATTACACAGGGGTCCGATGATGTACAAGATACCAGTGATGAAGGCTGAGGTCAGGGTTCAGTCCATATTACACAGTAGTCAGATGATGTACAATATACCAGTGATGAAGGCTGAGGTCAGGGTTCAGTCCATAATACACAGGGGTCAGATGATGTACAATATACCAGTGATGAAGGCTGAGGTCAGGGTTCAGTCCATAATACACAGTGGGTCAGATGATGTACAATATACCAGTGATGAAGGCTGAGGTCAGGGTTCAGTCCATAATACACAGGGGTCAGATGATGTACAATATACCAGTGATGAAGGCTGAGGTCAGGGTTCAGTCTATATTACACAGGGGTCAGATGATATACAAGATACCAGTGATGAGTGATGAAGGCCGAGGTCAGAGTACATTCTGTAACACATAGCAGTCAGAGGATGTACAATATACTAGTGATAATAGCAGAGGCCAGTGTTCAGTATGTAACACAGAGAGTTAGCCGATGTACAATGATACCAGCGATGAAAGCCAAGGTCAGGGTTCAGTATTCAACACACAAGGGTCAGATCAAGTACAGTATTACAGTGATGAAGGCCAAGGTCAGGGTTCAGTCAGAAGCACACATGGGTCAGATGATGTTCCATATACCAGTGATGAAGACCAAGCCCAGGTTTCATGCTAACACACAGTGGTCAGAGAATGTACAATATACCTGGGATGAAGGCCAAGGTCAGGGTTCAGTCTGTAACACACAGCAGTCAGAGAACATACAATATATACTAGTGATAATAGCAGAGGTCAGGGTTCAGTATGTAACACAGAGAGGTCAGCCGATGTACCTTGTACCACCGATGAGAGATGAAAGCCAAGGTCAGGGTTTGGTATTCAACACACAAGGGTCTGATCAAGTACAGTATTACAGTGATGAAGGCCAAGGTCAGGGTTCAGTCTGTAACATGCAGGGGTCAGATGACGTACAATATAAGTGAAGTGATGAAGGCCGAGGTCAGGGTTCAGTCTGTAACATACAGAGGTCGGATGATGTACAATATAAAAGTGATGAGTGATGAAGGCTGAGGTCAGGGTTCAGTCTGTGACACATAGTGGTCAGATGACGTACAATATACCAGTGATGAGTAACAAAGGCGGAGGTCAGGGTTCAGTCTGTAACATGCAGGGGTCAGATGACATACAGTGTACCAGTGACGGGTGATGAAGGCCAAGGTCAGGGTTCAGTCAGTAACATACAGGGTCAGATGACGTACAATACACCAGTGGTGGGTGATGAAGGCCGAGGTCAGGGTACATTTTGTGACACATAGTGGTCAGATGACATACAATATATCAGTGATGGGTGATGAAGGCCGAGGTCAGGGTTCAGTCTGTAACACACAGGGGTCAGATGACATACAATATATCAGTGATTGGTGATGAAGGCCGAGGTCAGGGTTCAGTCTGTAACACACAGGGGTCAGATGACGTACAATATACCAGTGATTGGTGATGAAGGCCGAGGTCAGGGTACATTCTGTGACACATAGGGGTCAGATGACATACAATATACCAGTGATGGGTGATGAAGGCCAAGGTCAGGGCTCAGATGACGTACAATATACCAGTGTATGCATCTCATGTGTCACTCACAAGCAGGACACAGTCGCCTGTCATCTCCAGTCCTTGACCAAGTCCCTATAACAGATCAATTTAGAAAGCAGAAGACAATGAGCTCATTTCACTAATACAGCTTCTGCGGGAACAATCACCATCCTGCCATCACAGTGTTAGGACAGAGCTGCACAGAGGACTTTGGGAGTTGTCTACTTCAAGGCAATAGTGACTGATTACTAAACAGAAGGAACATGTCTCCCGAGTGTAGCAGCACTGATCCTACAAGATGGCACCTTTGTCTCTCTGATGGATCCATGAAGTTTTTATTAGTATGACTGAGCTTGTACCTTGGTGTAGTTCCAGACATACTTGGGGTTTGTCTGCTTTTCTCTTATGTATGACTACAACTCTTACTAGTCAGCGCTCACCACCTCGGCAGGCCAGACTCGATACCTTTTATATTCAAGAATGGATTTTGCTCACTTTAGACTCCAGAGAAAGCAATATCTGCACAATTCTTTAGTAAGACCTCATCTGGAATATGCAGCTCAGTTTTGGGACATCAGAGAACTGGAGAAAGATCAGAGAAGGACAACCAAACTGATAAGAGGCATGGAGGAGCTATGGGAAAAAGATTAGCTGAACTTGAGCAGAGGTGATTAAAGCAGTATTTAACCTTCTATTTGAACTTGTACCTACAGGTAAGCTTGCAATCAGGCTTACCTGGAGGTACAATAAATATCTCCTAAACAAACACAGTTTAGGAGATATTCACATCAGCAATAGCCCGTGATGTCATTCGCACATGCACAGTGACGCTCTTCATTCAGGGCACACAGTGTGCCATGGAATGCAGAGCGTCGCACCTTTCCCACATGCGTGCTTGAGAGTGAAATAGCGGCCCGACCATTCAAACGGCCATGGCATGCAAACCCCGGCAGGAAGACTGGGTGAAGATGGAAGCCCTGGCAGCTATGACAGCACACTGCTGGAGGACTTTGTATAAAAGGTACGTTTGCCATAATGTGTTAGTGTGCAGTCCATACTAGCGCATTATGGCATAAACCTGCGGAGGGGCAAGGTTTTTTTCTTTGCCCAGTTCACTGCCACTTTAAGGGGGGATATGATCACCATGTTTAGGTATATACTGTAAAAGGTCCATATAGTGAACTTGGTGTAGAGATATTCACTTTCAGGTCGCTACAGAGAACGAGGGGCCACTCTTTATGTGTGGAGAAAGAGATTTTATCTCCACATACGGAAAGGCTTCTTCACAGTGAGAGCTGTGAAAATGTGGAATAGACTTCCTCAAGAGCTAGTTCTGTCCAGATCAGTGGATTGCTTTGAAAAAGAGCTGGATACATTCCTAAATATACAAAATATAACCAGATATTAACATTTAGAAGTGATAACACCGGGTAGTTGATCCAGGGAACATTGCCTTCTGGCGATAAAGAAGGAATTTATTTTTTTCCCCTGCTGGAGCAAATTGAATCATGCTTTATTGGGATGTTTTGCCTTCCTCTGGATCAGGGGTATCCGAACTATGGCCCTCCAGCTGTTGAAGTACTACAAGTTCCATCATGCCTCTGCCTCTGGGTGTCTTGCCTGTGGATGTTAGAGTCTTGCAGGGCCTCATGGGACTTGCAGTTCCTCAACAGCTGGAGGGCCATAGTTTGGACACCCCTGTTCTGGATCAACTCTGGGCATAAAATTGTGTATATGGAGATTTTCTATTGAATGAACTAGATGGATTAGATAGTATTTTTTGTTTTTTTTCAACCTGTTAGGACAGCGGTGGGTTGTCAGCCTGCTGCTCGGATAATTATCTCACCTGATACACTCACACACAATACAGTTCATACCACACACATAGGTTTAGACTTCTGTCAGCCTGCTCTGGATGGTGAAAGAAGCACATGGTAAAGACCGGCCACCAGTGAGGAGTAGATCAACTGACAAATGATCAAGATTGGAAAACATCAGCATTCATGGTGATTATCTGTATCATCTCAATGGGCCAAGTTGTGTTCATTAGAAGCCAAGGGGTAAGTGTGTGGTGTCCCCCCAGGCCAGAGACATCCTAATAGATTAATCAGTTTGTGAGCTCCTTGGGGGCGGGACATGGGAGACAGTTCTTTGTGCTCTATAAATACAAGAAATAAATAAACCTGACTGGGGACGGAGCCCGCTGCCAGTATTGAGGTCCACTGTGGCAGTGCCAATCTGCTACCCCGATAAGTCTTAGAGTAAATGAAGCAGATATATAAATAATGGGTGTGTCCTCTTGATTTCATCCCCCCATAACAAAATCATGCATGCACAAAAAGGTAAAAAAGTGTTGGTAAGACACTGGTGAGAATTGATAATCGTTCGACAAAGATCTGGCAAGAGGTCAGTAGAGCCCCAAGTGGTCTACACAGCCCGAAACAATGCCGAATCATGCCAATGCCAGGGTCTGTCACTCTGGTAGCAGCATCTGCAGCTCCTCATCACTGAACTGGTTGGTCTCCATGATGTGGTGAAGCTGCTGGTGATACCTCTCCATGTCCTGCATGAAGTGTGGCAGACAAGCATTATCCAGCTCAGCAAATCTCTGCAGACCTTCAGCATCTTCAAAAGAAACCTGCAGATAGAAATCCAGACAAGTCAGACAAGTCATGTCAATGTAGAAAAACATGTTGAACAGAACAAGAGGTGTCTTGACCTAATATGTATAACTGGCACATTAAAAAAAAATGTGAAACCCCAAAACGCCCAAAATGGCTAGCAAATGTAGTGATTTTTATTGTAGGCCTGAATTGTTTTTAGGTTTATCGCGCACTGAAATCTGTCCGAACATGTGTCTTGTAATCATCCCAGGTTTGGATAAACGTGTGAAACATAAGTTGCCAACCCGTAGTGACCAATAAAAATCACCAACTAAATGTACTCTTAATAGGGGGAGCTATTACAAAGTTCTCAAATCACAATATAAGTATAAATATAATACAAACAAATACGATTCTGTGCAAATATGCCAACATATAATCATGAATAGAAATTATATATTCAATCAAGTAAAATAGTATAATGACCATAAAAGTGTAAAACCGTCCATAAGAGTGCGGTCTTGAAGAAAACAAATTTCTTCTTGCTAGTATTCCTTCACCATACAGTATCCATGTTTCACCCAGTAAAAAGACATAACAAATCACTCACAAAAAACCAATGTGACCTCTTTAACCACTTGCCCTCCAGAAGATTTACCCCCCCTTAATGACCAGGCTATTTTTTGCTATTTCAACTTGTACTTGTGCGGTCAAACAATGCTGTACTCAAACTATATATATGTCCTTTTTTTCCCACTCAGAGCTTTTTTCACCACTGTTTTTTTATTTTTTGTGATATAAACAGAAAAAAAAAAACAGAAAATTTTGAAAAAAAACCCAGGTTATTTTTTGCTATTTCAACTTCTACTTGTGCGGTCAAACAATGCTGTACCCAAACTAAATATGTGTCCTTTTTTTCCACACAAATAGAGCTTTCTTCACCACTGTTTTTTTTATTTTTTGTGATACAAAAAAAAAAAAAAAATTAAAAAAAAAAAACAAAAAACACATATTTTCTACTTTCGGTTACAAAAAATATCCAGTAAACTCAAAGTTAGTCATAAATTTAGGCCAAAATGTATTCTACTACATTTCTTTGGTAAAGAAAAAAATTCCAACATGTGTATATTAATTGGTTTGTGTGAAAGTTATAACTATAGCTGCAGTGATTATCCCGGTATAACCCACTCAAAGTCCAGCAACGTACTAGTGCATTGCTGGCCCTTGTTGGGCATATATGTAACAGCAAAGAATATGGACATATGATGAATCGGGTCTGTAGACCAATATGACCGCAATTCATTCTTTTTTGTAATGCCCATGTTGAGGATTAGGCCCAAAAAAGGTTTAAATTCAGACCATGATAGGTTTTCCATGCAAATTGTCTGGCAAGAGCTGAATTTGGGTGGGCGGTGATGTATTGTTGTGCGTATAAAATTGTCTTGGCCCACAATCAATTGATACAAATCTTCTGTGAAAAACAGCGGAGGGGCTAAACGCTAGTGCTGGCAGCGAAAGGGGCTGATCCTGCTAACACTGTGTTTTTGGGGAACACTATACTAAGGAGGCACTAGTATAGTTCTGTTGGTGATCAATATATTTATCCGTACAAACACTATACTAGTAATGGCGTGATCAGCGACCTACAGAGTGAGTGCGATAGTGTGTGGGTGATCTAACACTAGCTGACCCTGGCTAGGGGGGGACGCTAACTGACCCTGATGCTATGTCGCTAGTGGCAGTAATACAGTTTATCAGTGAACAATTCTGTATAGTGACACTGTACTAATGGCACTGGCAGGGTAACGGGGTGATCAAAGGGTTAATAAGGGCAATCAAAGGGTTAAATGTGCTAATCTAACGTGTGTGCAAAATGTAGTACTTCCAGTTGCTGGGACGCAACCTGTTCCAGGGGTGCGCAGAGCGGCGGCGCCAGCATATACACAGCCACGCTGATACATTTGTGCCGATGTGGAGGCACATATAAATGTGAGCATTATTTCTGTATTTTTTATTATATTTTAATAATTAATAACAAGATTGCACTCTTATGGACATTTTACACTTTTATGGACATTGTACTATTATACTTTATTGGATATATCATTTCTATTCACGATTATTTGTTGGCAGATTTGCACAGAATCATGTTTTTACTAGCTGAGTATAGTTCTATTGTAACTGGTACATAACCTGGATATTTGTGATTGTACATAGAAATCATGGATCAATTATCTAATTTGGAAGATTATGTGGTAGAGAAAACAGTGGGAACAAAAAAAAAGCAGGTGAGGAAACAGGGGAAAGGGCTTAGAAACTCAGATTTTCAAATTGGGCAATCTATATTGTGCCCCCCACAGGACTTTCCAGTCATATACTGTATGTACTAATGTCAGATGGTCATTTACTGAATATACACTCACCAGCCACTTTTTTAGGTACACCTGTTCCATTGCTTGGTAACACAAATTGCTAACCAGCCAATCACATGGCAGCAACTCAGTGCATTTAGGCATCTAGAGACAACTTGCTGAAGTTCAAACCGAGCATCAGAATGGGGAAGAAAGGGGATTTAAGTGACTTTGAGCGTGGCATGGTTGTTGGTGCCAGATGGCTGGTCTGTGTATTTCAAAAACTGCTGATCTACTGGGATTTTCATGCACAACCATCGCTAGGGTTTACAGAGAATGGTCCGAAAAAGAGAAAATATCCAGTGAGCGGCAATTGTGTGGATGAAAATGCCTTATTGATGTCAGAGAATGGGCAGAGTGGTTTGAAATGATCAAATAACCACTCGTTACAATCAATGTATGCAGAATACCATCTCTGAACGCACATGTCGCAGCTTGAAGCAGATGGGATACAGCAGCAGTAGACCACACCGGGTGCCACTCCTGTCAGCTAAGAACAGGAAAGGGAGGCTACAATTCGCACAAATCACCAAAATTGGACAATAGAAGATTGGAAAAACGTTGCCTGGTTTGATGAGTCTCGATTTCAGCTGCAACATTCAGATGGTAGGGTCAGCATTTGGTGTTAACAATATGAAAGCATGGATCCATCCTGCCTTGTATCAATGGTTCAGGCTGGTGGTGGTGGTGTCATGGTGTGGTGGATCCATCCTGCCTTGTATCAATGGTTCAGGCTGGTGGTGGTGGTGTCATGGTGTGGTGGATCCATCCTGCCTTGTATCAGTGGTTCAGGCTGGTGGTGGTGGTGTCATGGTGTGGTGGATCCATCCTGCCTTGTATCAATGGTTCAGGCTGGTGGTGGTGGTGTCATGGTGTGGTGGAACCATCCTGCCTTGTATCAATGGTTCAGGCTGGTGGTGGTGGTGTAATGGTGTGGAGGGATATTTTCTTGGCACATTTTGGGCCCCTTAGTACCAATTGAGCATCATTTAAACACCACGGCCTGCCTGAGTATTGTTGCTGAACATGTCCATCCCTTTATGACTCCAGTGTCCCATCTTCTGATGGCTCCTTCCAGCAGGATAATGCACCGTGTCACAAAGCCCATAACATCTCCAACTGGTTTCTTGAACATGACAATGAGCTCACTGGACTCCAATGGCCTCCACAGTCACCAGATCTCCATCCAATAGAGCACCTTTGGGATGTGGTGGAAGGGGAGATTCGCATCATGGATGTGCAGCCAACAAATGTACAGCAACTGTTGTCATCTCAATGGACCAAAATTAATGAGCAATGTTTCCCACACCTTGTTGAATCTATGCCATGAAGAATTAAAGCAGTTGTGAAGGCAAAAAGGGGGTCCCAACCCAATACTAGCAAGGTGCACCTAATAAGGTGGCCGGTGAGTGTAGATGGTAGACAATAGACTCTTCCAGTCTGCTGGCTGTGCCAAGCACCCATCTCTACTCCTAGGTCCTTCATCCAACACAACTCTATTGGTTGAGTTCATTTTAACCCACAGATGTCCCAATCCTGACAAGAACCTGAATTGTGGACTGTGTCATCCCCGCCTTGAGATTACAGAACCCTCTTACCTTCCCAGGGAAGTCAGCAGGCGGAAGTCAATGGATCGTCTGTGCCGCAGTATGCGGATAATCCCATCTAAATAGACCTGGTCCTTGCTGAAGCAGCCTGGAAACACAACAATGCCACAACAGTTAGTGCCGAGCTGTGGCTCTCCATAGAGGTCTATAAAAGTCCGCAGATAAAGGCTCCTAGATCTGATTTCACTCTACCTTCAATGATACATACAGTATATACACTCTTCCCATGGCAACCAATCAAAATTCACTACTGATGTGACATCTGATTGGCTGCTATAAGTATATGCATTTTGTTTACAACAATACAGAATTCATGACCTCACAGACTGATCCAAGGAACTTCCTGGAACAATACAACTGGAAGAACAGAAATGATGTTCAGCTAATAGTTGGTTTTCGATCTCTGATCTCTTGCCTGGTTGGGCGGTGTCTCCCTGTCCTCGCTTGGCTCGCACACAGTACTCCCACCGTACAGCCGGATCTTCTACAAACTGCTGTAAGTCCTGGAAGAGTTCGGAGAAGCTGCAGGTGGCGGCACGGCTGACAGTGTAATAAAGTAAGGCCGCACGCCACAGGTACGGGTTTTTTTTCCGGAAGAGGACACTGTGCAAACTGGCTAATCCTTCCTCCGTAGGGTTCGCTGGCTTCAGTCCAAACTGCTTCCGTCCTTCTGAACCGTGCCAGGGCTGCTGGGCATCATTCACCCCACGCAAGTAATGTGTGCCTGCAGCACCAGTGAGAGAAAAAATGGTGGCATTAGTTGGACCTTCATCATCGGAGATTACACTGCCACCTCACTCCATCTAGAGAAGTAAACCGAAATCCTGATAACTGATCAACACCCCACTCCACCCCAATATGTAAACTGAAATCCTGATACGCAGACCAGCACCCCACTCCATCCAATGTACAGACCACCACCGTGCTCCACCCAGATATGCAAACGGAAATCCTGATATGCAGACCAGCACCCCACTCCATCCAATGTACAAACCACCACCCTGATCCATCCAATGTACAGACCACCACCCTGCTCCACCCAGATATGTAAACCAAAATCCTGATGTGCAGACAGCACCCCACTCCATCTAATGTGCTGATCAGCACCCCGATCCATTTAATGTACAGACCAGCACCCCACCTCAATAAATGTGCAGACCAGCACCCCAATCTATCCAATATACAGACCAGCAACCTGCCCCATACAATGTACAGACCAGCACCCCGCTCCTCCCAGACATGTAAACCGAAAACCTGATATACAGACCAACACCCCCACTCCATCAAATCTGCAGACCCACACCCCACTACAGTTAATGTTCAGACCAGTACCCCACACCATCCAATGTGTAGACCAGTACCCCACACCATCCAATGTGCAGACCAACACCCTGTCCGTTCTATCCAATGTACAGACCAGCACCCCGCCCGTTCCATCCAATGTGCTGCCCAGCACCCCGCCCGTTCCATCCAATGTGCAGACCAGCACCCCGCCCGTTCCATCCATAGTGCAGACCAGCACCCCGCCCGTTCCATCCATAGTGCAGACCAGCACCCCGCCCGTTCCATCCATATGTGCAGACCAGCACCCCGCCCGTTCCATCCAATAGTGCAGACCAGCACCCCGCCCGTTCCATCCATAGTGCAGACCAGCACCCCGCCCGTTCCATCCATAGTGCAGACCAGCACCCCGCCCGTTCCATCCATAGTGCAGACCAGCACCCCGCCCGTTCCATCCAATGTGCAGACCAGCACCCCGCCCGTTCCATCCAATTTGCAGACCAGCATCCCGCCCGTTCCATCCAATGTGCAGACCAGCACCCCCACTCCATCCAGTGTGCAGACCAGCACCCCCACTCCATCCAGTGTGCAGACCAGCACCCTGCCCATTCCATCCAATGTCCAGACCAGCACCCCAACCATTCCATCCAATGTGCAGACCAGCACCCCACTCCATCCAATGTGCAGTGCAGACCAGGACCCCATTCCATCCAATGTGCAGTGCAGACCAGCACCCCACTCCATCCAATGTGCAGTGCAGACCAGCACCCCACTCCATCTAATGTGCAGTGCAGACCAGCACCCCACTCCATCCAATGTGCAGTGCAGACCAGCACCCCACTCCATCCAGTGTGCAGACCAGCACCCCACACGTTCAATACAATGTGCAGACCAGTACCCCACACGTTCAATCCAATGTGCAGACCAGCACCCCACACATTCAATCCAATGTGCAGACCAGCACCCCCACTCCATCCAGTGTGCAGGCCATCCCCCATTCCATCCAATGTGCAGACCAGCACCCCACTCCATCCGATCCAATGTGCAGACCAGCACCTCACTCCATCCAAAGTGCAGACCAGCACCCCTCTCCATCCAAAGTGCAGACCAGCACCACGCACCTCCCATTGTGCATACCAGCACCGCCCCCCCCCCGTTCAATCCAATGTGCAGACCAGCACCCCACTCCATCCAATGTGCAGACCAGCACCCCACTCCATTCAAAGCGTAAATCATCAACCCACTCTATCATATATCAAGCCTATAATTAGACCAACATTTTCATCCATCCTGATACATGGCTGGCACCTCCTTCTACCGCAGTACATACACTTCCATCCCAAATTTACGATGCACAGCGGGAACACCCCCCTGACATGCAAACTGGCATGGCTCCATTTGCACACACCTATCTCGTGTCGGAGCACTCCCTCCAGCCAATGTTGCCGAGCACCCAGTAAGTTGATGGTTAATGTGGGTCGGCTATTCTCAGTCGTCATGACTGCCTGAGATAGGAGATCTTCTGTGAGTTGGACCACCACCTGGAGAGCACCAGATAAAGAGACAGCATGGAAACTTTCCAAAGTTTCACCGAAACCCCAGAGAGACAGACGGCGCCCAATATGTGTGAGGAGAGAGACAGACAGACAGACAGACAGCACCCAATACAGAAGGAAAGGAGAGGTGAGATAACATACAAGCGAGAAAACAGAGTGTGAGACCCAATGACAGAGAATAGAGTTTTCTAAGCAACGGAAAACCCAAAGAGAAGAAAATACATTCCACTACAATATAACCCCCTCCCCCACTGCACCCTCCTACTACCTACGCATCCCGTCATTGCAACCTCCTTCTACCTCCATCCCCTTACCACTGCACCCTCTTTCTGCCTCCATATTCCTACCACTGCACCCTCCTATTGCCATCCTCCCCTCTCTGCACCCTCTTCCAAACCCCATCCTCCTATCACTGCACCCCGCTTCCTTCCCCCTTCATCCGCCACTGCACCCTCTTCCTGCCCCCATCATCCCCCACTGGACCCTCTTCCAACCCCCATCATCCTCCACTGCACCGCTTCCTGCCTCCTCATCCCCCACTACAACCTCTTCCTGCCTCTTTCATCCTCCAATGCACCCTCTTCCTTCCCCCTTAATCGCCCCCTGCACCCTCTTCCTTCCCCCCCCTTAATCACCCCCTGCAAACTCTTCCTTCCCCCATAATCCCCTCCTGCCCCCATCATCACCCACTGCACCCTCTTCCTGCCCCCATCATCCCCAACTGCACCGCTGCCTGCCCCCATCATCCCCCACTGCAACATCTTCCTGACCCTTCATCCCCCACTGCACCCTCTTCTTTCCCCCTTCATCCACCACTGCACCCTCTTCCTTCCCCCATCATCCCAACCTGCACTCTCCATGCCCCCTTCATCCCCCACACCCTCTTCCTGCACCCCCACTGTACCCTCTTCCTGCCCCCATCATCCCCCACTGCAACCTTTTCCTGCCCCCTTCATCCCTCACTGCACCCTCCTCCTTCCCCCTTCATCCCCCCCCTGCACACTCTTCGTGCTCCCTTCAACCCCCTATGCACTCTTTTCCTGCCCCCATCATCCCCCCCACTGCACCCTCTTCCTGACTCCATCATCCTCCACTGCACTCCCTATTACCGTTCACCCCTCACTGTACCCTTCTATCACCATCCTCCCCTCACTGCACCTATCTATCCTCCCCACCCTCCTACCACTGCACTTTCCTTCTAACTCTCTCCTCCTCACCTTTTTCCTAATTCCATTTCCCCACTGCAGCCTTCTATCCTAATCCTTCCCCCACCACACCCTCTTCCTACAAACACCCTTCCACAAGGCACCCTTTTTCTTCCCCCATCCTTTTACCACTGTACCGCTACCCCTGCTCCCTCCCACTGCACCCTCTTCCTTCCCCCAGCCTCCTATCACTGCACCCTTCCCTCCCCATCCACCCCCGACTGCAGCCTCCTTCTACAACCCCCACACCTCAGGGCACCCTCTTCCTACCCCCATGCACCTATCACTGCACCCTCCTACCCCCATGCACCTATCACTGCACCCTCCTACCCCCATTCTCCCCCCCACTGCACCCTCTTCCTACCCCCATGCACCTATCAGTGCACCCTCCTACCCCCATGCTCCCCCCCACTGCACCCTCTTCCTACATCCACCCTCTTACCATTGCATCCTCCCCCTCTATGTACTTCCCTCTTCCGGTCACTCTGCACACTCCATACATATGAACCCCAGCCAGTCTCACCTCCCCGCTGCAACCTTCTTTCTGCATGTAACGGCGAAAGCAGGACCAGATCTGACTCTTGCTGAGTAATTTTCCTCCAGTTATTGACTCAAAGTTCTCATAGTTTCCATATTTACTGATGACGGCATTGAGAATCCGCAGAGCCTACACAGACAGAGTCACACAAGTCAACAAAAAGACATTTTCTTCTTTATAGGATACATAAAGACCCACATATATATGGGATCTACAAGCCTGTGACCAATAGTTGGTCATTCTATAATCAGGGGTCTACAAACCCAGTAACAACAGATAGCCATTCTATGAACAGGGAATGTACAAGAACACTGACATTGGTTGAGCATTCTATGAAAAGGGGATCTACAATTTCTCGGACACTGGTTGGTTATTTGGGGATTTGGGATCTATAAGGACACTGATATTGGTTGGGCATTCTATGAACAGGGGATCTACAAGCCCTTGGACATTGGTTGGGCATTCTGGGATTTGGAATCTACAAGGACACTGATATTGGTTGGGCATTCTATGAACAGGGGATCTACAAGCCCTTGGACATTGGTTGGGCATTCTGGGATTTGGAATCTACAAGGACACTGACATTGGTTGGGCATTTATGAACAGGGGATCTACAAGCTCTCGGATATTGGTTGGTCATTCAGGGATTTGGGATCTACAAGGACACTGACATTGGTTGATCATTCTATGAACAGGGGATCTACAAGCTCTCGGACATTGGTTGGTCATTCTTGGATTTGGAATCTACAAGGACACTGATATTGGTTAGTCATTCTATGACTAGGGGATCTACAAGCTCTCGGACATTGGTTGGTCATTCTGGGATCTACAAGGACACTGACATTGGTTGGTCATTCTATGAACAGGGGATCTACAAGCTCTCGGACATTGGTTGGTCATTCTTGGATTTGGAATCTACAAGGACACGGACATTGGTTGGGCATTCTATGAACAGGGGATCTACAAGCTCTCGGACATTGGTTGGTCATTCTGGGATTTGGAATCTACAAGGACACGGACATTGGTTGATCATTCTATGAACAGGGGATCTACAAGGACACTGACACTGGATTGTCATTCTGGGATTAGGGATCCACAAGCCCACTGACACTGGTTGGTCATTGTGGAATTAGAGATTTACAAGTTCGCAAACATTGGCTGATCATTCTTGGATTACAGATCTACAAGCCCAGTAACAATGATTGCTCATTTGGAGACATGAATGAGACCAAGGGGCCACCAGAAAAAGAGGACACCTAGCAACACCAGTCAGTGTCGTAGTATCACTCAGCAGGGATAGGAGTAAAGTAATCCTTAGTAATATCTTGTAATAGATGAAATGCCAGTCCCAGCGGGTCTCAGCAGTACATGGCAGGGAAGGCAGCAGTACTCCAAGCAAAGGTTGAGCGGAGTAGTCAGGGAAATAGAAGTCCCAGTCTCTGCGTAGAGAGAGAACCCTGCCTCTGCACAGGCTCAGGTCTGCCAGTCAGGGTAAAAATGCCTCTTAGCCCTCCCTCAGACCCAAAAAAAAAAAGGTCCTGAGGGGCAGAGACACTAGAGGGGACGGAGGGGGCATGCACGGGCTGTTGCTGAGCAACCATCCTTGTCCCCTAACGAGTGGCTAACCCCTCAGGATCATGGCAAGTGAAAAACACAAGGAGCTGGACAGCAGGGAATCCCTTTCTCCACACCTAGTAGCAATGACTGGTCATTCTGTGATCAAGGATCCATAACCCAAGTAACAATGGTTGGTCAATCTGTGATCAGGGATCTACAAGCCTGTAGCAATCACTGGTCATTCTGGGATCAGGGATCTATAATCCTAGTAAGTATGGATGGTCATTCTGGGATCAAGGATCTACAAGCCTGGTAGCAATAACTGGTCCTTCTGTGATCAGGGATCTACAAGCCTGGTAGCAATGGTTGGTCCTTCTGTGATCAGGGATCTACAAGCCTGGTAGCAATGGTTGGTCCTTCTGTGATCAGGGATCTACAAGCCTGGTAGCAATGAATGGTCCTTCTGTGATCAGGGATCTACAAGCCTGGTAGCAATGAATGGTCCTTCTGTGATCAGGGATCTACAAGCCTGGTAGCAATGAATGGTCCTTCTGTGATCAGGAATCTACAAGCCTGGTAGCAATGGTTGGTATTTTCTGTGATCTGGGATCTACAAGCCTGGTAGCAATGAATGGTCCTTCTGTGATCAGGGATCTACAAGCCTGGTAGCAATGAATGGTACTTCTGTGATCAGGGATCTACAAGCCTGGTAGCAATGAATGGTCCTTCTGTGATCAGGGATCTACAAGCCTGGTAGCAATGAATGGTCCTTCTGTGATCAGGGATCTACAAGCCTAGTAGCAATGAATGGTCCTTCTATGATCAGGGATCTACAAGCCTGGTAGAAATGAATGGTCCTTCTGTGATAAGGGATCTACAAGCCTGGTAGCAATGGTTGGTCCTTCTGTGATCAGGGATCTAAAAGTCTGGTAGCAATGAATGGTCCTTCTGTGATCAGGGATCTAAAAGCCTGGTAGCAATGAATGGTCCTTCTGTGATCAGGGATCTACAAGCCTGGTAGCAATGAATGGTCCTTCTGTGATCAGGGAACTACAAGCCTGGTAGCAATGAATGGTCCTTCTGTGATCAGGGAACTACAAGCCTGGTAGCAATGAATGGTCCTTCTGTGATCAGGGATCTACAAGCCTGGTAGCAATGAATGGTCCTTCTGTGATCAGGAATCTACAAGCCTGGTAGCAATGGTTGGTCCTTCTGTGATCTGGGATCTACAAGCCTGGTAGCAATGAATGGTCCTTCTGTGATCAGGGATCTACAAGCCTGGTAGCAATGAATGGTCCTTCTGTGATCAGGGATCTACAAGCCTGGTAGCAATGAATGGTCCTTCTGTGATCAGGGATCTACAAGCCTGGTAGCAATGAATGGTCCTTCTGTGATCAGGGATCTACAAGCCTGGTAGCAATGAATGGTCCTTCTGTGATCAGGGATTACAAGCCTGGTAGCAATGAATGGTCCTTCTGTGATCAGGGATCTACAAGCCTGGTAGCAATGGTTGGTCCTTCTATGATCAGGGATCTAAAAGCCTGGTAGCAATGAATGGTCCTTCTGTGATCAGGGATCTACAAGCCTTCTGTGATCAGGGATCAAAGCCTGGTAGCAATGGTTGGTCCTTCTGTGATCAGGGATCTAAAAGCCTGGTAGCAATGAATGGTCCTTCTGTGATCAGGGATGTACAAGCCTGGTAGCAATGGTTGGTCCTTCTGTGATCAGGGATCTACAAGCCTGGTAGCAATGGTTGGTCCTTCTGTGATCAGGGATCTACAAGCCTAGTAGCAATAACTAGTCATTCTGGATCAGAGATCTACAAGCCTGGTAGCAATGAATGGTCCTTCTGTGATCAGGGATCTACAAGCCTGGTAGCAATGGTTGGTCCTTCTGTGATCAGGGATCTACAAGCCTAGTAGCAATAACTAGTCATTCTGGATCAGAGATCTACAAGCCTGGTAGCAATGAATGGTCCTTCTGTGATCAGGGATCTACAAGCCTGGTAGCAATGGTTGGTCCTTCTGTGAACAGGGATCTACAAGCCTAGTAGCAATAACTAGTCATTCTGGATCAGAGATCTACAAGCCTGGTAGCAATGGTTGGTCCTTCTGTGATCAGGGATCTACAAGCCTGGTAGTAATGACTGCTCCTGCTATAATCAGTTCTACAAATACATGTCTTGATCACAGCTTGGGATCTGGTAAAATGGCCGGGGTGACAATCCATTCCAACCTGCACAAGGAATTGGTCAGATGCCTCGCTATACTTCTCCACCACACTGACTGGCACTGGCTCCTCATACTGGAACTGGGGATTGTGGGTATAGTTGGACAGGAAGAATTTGTCCCTTTCCTGTGCCACATTTGTGGGTCGAAGAGCGATCAAGAGGCAAGAACTCTTCTTGAGGGTGCGGTTTGCGGTTGTGGCTCTGCTGATAGAAGGTAGAGACCCCGAGCTTCGTATTCTGCCACGAGGACTACCACTGCTATTAATGGTGCAAGTACTCTCACTTCGACGCATCCAGCTACACGTCCCCATGTATAGGGAACATCCTGACAACCTCCTGGAGGAAGCCGGCTCCAACACCGAGTTCTAGTCCGATTTACAGTGGTACGCGGGCAGCTGCGATTGGAGGCCGGGGATGACATCGCATTGCTCTGTGGAGACATTCTCTTAGGTTTGGCAGAGTAACCGCGCACGGAGGTAGATGACATCCCTCTGCTGCAAGACGGGTGACCGGAATCCAGAACCATTCTGATTACACAGAGAACCGAACCTGAGGAGAGAAAACGTGAATGTCACACACACAGAAACAGAGGGCAGTACAACAAAATGGATGTATTCTTCACAACTCCCCAAACTTAAATTCTGACCAACAGATGTGCACAATACAGACAGTTCATGCTTCAGCCATTGTCAGTATGTGATGTCCAACGCCCCGTGTGCATAATACCCCATGTACACAGTATAAACACCTCTTTTACACAACATAACACCCCAAATACACAATATAACCCCCATGTACACAATATAAAAACACCCCATGTACACAACAGAACACCCCATATACATAACACCCCATGTACACAATATAAACACCTCTTTTACACAACATAACACCCGAAATACATAACACCCCCCATATACACAATATAAACACCTCTTTTACACAACATAACACCCCAAATACACAATATAACACCCCATGTACACAATATAAAAACACCCCATGTACACAACAGAACACCCCAAATACATAACACCCCATATACACAATATAAACACCTCTTTTACACAACATAACACCCCATATACATAACACCCCATGTACACAATATAATACCTTGTATACACAATATAAACACTTATTTTACACAACAGAACACCCCAAATACATAACACCCCACATACATAACACCCCATGTACACAATATAACACCCCAAATACACAATATAATACCTTGTATACAAAATATAAACACCCCATGTACACAACACCCCCTGTACAGTATATAATACCTCTTGTACACAATATAACTCCCCTTGTACATAACACCTCCATGTACACAATATAACACCCCATATACACAACACACCCTTGTACATCACACCCCATGTACACAATATAACTCCCCTTGTACACATCACACCATATACACAAATATAACACCCCATATATACACAATAGAACACCCCATATACACCACACCCCATGTACACAATATAACATCCCTTGTCCACAACACTGAGCCCAGAGACAGATGCAACATATAGCTAGATATGCTAGGGCCAGGCACATCAGAGGACGGAGATGAGATAGACTGATAGTCTTATTATCAGAGGGAACGCGGGGAACACAGTTCTGGCACCTCCAGAACTGAATGTATGTAATGGCAAGAGGTGCTGGGGTGTGCTGGAAAGTCTATTGATGCTGGGGATCTATTGTCACTGGGGGGGGGGGGGGGGGGTCGATTGTTGCTGTGGAGGTCCTTTGTGGCTGGTGGGGGATCTATTGTTGAGGAAGGGTTTATCAGTGCTGGCTGCTGGGAGATCTGTTGTTGCTGCTGGGGTATTTTGATGCTTTGGGGGGGGGGTCTATTGCTGCTGGCTGCAGGGGATCTATTTTACTGCTTTTCTTATTATTAACAAATTCCATACAAAAACATTGTACATTGTACAATGATACTTGGCTGTGCATTCTCTATAAGGAGTGGTAATGGGAGGTGGGTAGGGGGTGGAACCAAGTGACTGTGCTCGGAGGTAGGTAGGTAGGTAGGTGGGTGGGTGGGTGTGTACACATACATGACAGAGGTAAACATTCACAGTGCTGAAGAGAAAAGTAAGTGAGCCCATAGACTAATTAATTTAACGCAAGCTGATTAGAGTCAGCAAATTGCACACTCAAAGTTCAATTAATGGAATGAGTTTGGAGGTTCAGAGCTACTTTGATTGATAAAAGACAGTCAAGTATTTTAAGACTGCTGTTCATAAGAAGCATCAGCTGATGTGAACCACGCCTCCCAAGAAGCAACAGTTGATGAGAACCACGCCTCCCAAGAAGCATCAGTTGATGAGAACCACGCCTCCCAAGAAGCATCAGTTGATGAGAACCACGCCTCCCAAGAAGCATCAGTTGATGAGAACCACGCCTCCCAAGAAGCATCAGATGATGATGAAACCACGCCTCCCAAGAAGCATCAGATGATGTGAACCACGCCTCCCAAGAAGCATCAGTTGATGTGAACCACGCCTCCCAAGAAGCATCAGTTGATGAGAACCACGCCTCCCAAGAAGCATCAGTTGATGAGAACCACGCCTCCCAAGAAGCAACAGTTGATGTGAACCACGCCTCCCAAGAAGCAACAGTTGATGTGAACCACGCCTCCCAAGAAGCATCAGTTGATGTGAACCACGCCTCCCAAGAAGCATCAGTTGATGTGAACCACGCCTCCCAAGAAGCATCAATTGATGAGAACCACGCCTGCTAAGAAGCATCAGTTGATGAGAACCACGCCTCCCAAGAAGCATCAGTTGATGAGAACCACGCCTCCCAAGAAGCATCAGTTGATGAGAACCACGCCTCCCAAGAAGCATCAGTTGATGAGAACCACGCCTCCCAAGAAGCATCAGTTGATGTGAACCACGCCTCCCAAGAAGCATCAGTTGATGAGAACCACGCCTCCTAAAAAGCATCAGTTGATGTGAACCACGCCTGCTAAGAAGCATCAGTTGATGTGAACCACGCCTCCTAAAAAGCATCAGTTGATGTGAAACCACGCCTCCTAAAAAGCATCAGTTGATGTGAACCACGCCTGCTAAGAAGCATCAGTTGATGTGTACCATGCCTCGTAAGAAGGAGCTCTCTGAAGACATACCATCATGAGTAGTTGATCTGCATGAAGCTGCAAAGGGATACAAAGCAACCTCTAAGTGTTTAGGTGTCCATGAGTTGACAGGGAAATTGTCTATAAACGGAGACAGTTTAGTACTGTGCGTTCTCTTCCTAGAAGTGGGTACCAGCCAAGAGGTCTCCTAAACCAAGAGGTCTCCTAAACCAAGAGGTCTCCTAAACCAAGAGGTCTCCTAAACCAAGCGGTCTCCTAAACCAAGCGGTCTCCTAAACCAAGCGGTCTCCTAAACCAAGAGGTCTCCTAAACCAAGAGGTCTCCTAAACCAAGAGGTCTCCTAAACCAAGAGGTCTCCTAAACCAAGAGGTCTCCTAAGGCACAACACAGAAACCTCACTGAGGTAAAGAAAAAACCACCAGTAATAGCTAAAGTCTTGAAGACATCTCTGGAACTGGCAAACATTCCTGCTCATGAGTCTACCATGTGTAAGTCTTTGAACAGGCAGTGTCAGGCTCCGCCCAACGGGATCTCTAGTGGTCCACGGCACGGGGTTTCCCAGGACGCGGAGTCTAAGTCCCAGTCTGCCTTTTCACCAGGGCCCCTGATGGTGGGGATGGACTTGGTGCAAGACTGAAACCAGGTCGCGTTCCTGGGCACCCCCGGCGGCGGCAGAGGGGTCCCGCTGAGGGTATGTGCCCGGGTTGAGCCTGCTGTGAAGGGGATGACAGATCCCGATCCGAGCGGGATGGATGGGATGACAGATCCCGATCCGAGCGGGATGGATGGGCGACTGTCAGGGGTAAGCGAGGTCAGACTAGCCGGGTCGGTATCGTGCGGGCAGCGTGGTACAGGGGGAGTAAGCGGAGAATGGTCGGGGTCACAAGCCAGGTTCAGCAGGTAGCGGGCAGCGCGGTACCGGTACCGGGTCAGGCAGAAGGATGGTCAGGGACGAGCCGGGGTCAGAGCAGGAGAGGGTCAGCGTATATCAGAACAGGCAGAGTTTGGCAACAAGGAAACGTACTTACAGGACAGGAACAAGACCTTGCGGCAACTTGGATATGCACAGGGCCGTTTAAATAGAGCGCCCTGTTCTTCCATTGGTGCGGCCGCGATCGCTAGTGCGCATGCGCGGCCGCCGCCGCGATCGCCGAGGACCCAGTGCTCTGCGCATGCGCGCACCGCCGTGAGCCCGGGATCCCTGACAGGCAGGGTGTCCATTGCAGAACATCACAGAGGAAGCTGCTGCTCTCTCCCCCAAAAAAAAAAAAAAAAAAAGAAAAAAAAAAAAAAAACATTGCCATGCACCGGAAGTTTGTTAAAGAGCACCATGGAAAACTGCAACACTATTGGGAAATGAACTGATGATTGTTCGGGAAGAATACTCAGCACTAAGTATGGCGCAAAAAGGGCACAGCTTACGAACATCAAATCATCATCTCAACCGTGAAGTATGGTGGAGGGAACATCATGACTTGGGCTTGCAAAGCTGCCTTGGGGCCTGGACCTCTTGTCATCATTGAGAGGAAAATGAAGTCCTAAGTTTACCAAAATATCCTGCAGGACAATGTTGGGGTGGTTGTCCATCAGCGGAAGCCCGGTAGAAGTTGGTGATGCCGCAGGACAATGTTGGGGTGGTTGTCCATCAGCTGAAGCCCGGTAGAAGTTGGTGATGCCGCAGGACAATGTTGGGGTGGTTGTCCATCAGCTGAAGCTCGGTAGAAGTTGGTGATGCCGCAGGACAATGTTGGGGTGGTTGTCCATCAGCTGAAGCCCGGTAGAAGTTGGTGATGCCGCAGGACAATGTTGGGGTGGTTGTCCATCAGCTGAAGCTCGGTAGAAGTCGGTGATGCCGCAGGACAATGTTGGGGTGGTTGTCCATAAGCTGAAGCCCAGTAGAAGTCGGTGATGCCGCAGGACAATGTTGGGGTGGTTGTCCATCAGCTGAAGCTCGGTAGAAGTCGGTGATGCCGCAGGACAATGTTGGGGTGGTTGTCCATAAGCTGAAGCCCAGTAGAAGTCGGTGATGCCGCAGGACAATGTTGGGGTGGTTGTCCATCAGCTGAAGCCCGGTAGAAGTTGGTGATGCCGCAGGACAATGTTGGGGTGGTTGTCCATCAGCTGAAGCTCGGTAGAAGTCGGTGATGCCGCAGGACAATGGCCCCAATCAGTGAAGTACTGTAACTCCACCACAGACTGGCTTCTGAAAACGAAGAAGCACCATTTGGATTGGTCCAGTCAGACCCCCCGACCTTAACCCCACAGAGGAGCTATGGAATGGCCTCCAGAGAGCCGGTCACAGCAGTCCAAGATAAAGCAGTTGTGTAGAGAGGAGCGGTCAATAATTCCTCCCCAACATTGTGCAGATAGATGACAGGACCAGGGACATCGGAGGACAGAGATGACAG